CAGCGCAAAAGCTGGCCATGTAATCACTACGCGAGCCGTAGCAAGTAAGTCGCTGCTAAGTCGGCTCTCTGCTAAAAGGCGTTTGTGCGTAACAAACCAAAAAGTAGGGGAAAGAACGGTCAACTTAACCTGTCTTTACTTCCCAGAATCAATACAACCTTTTACCCGCCCAACAGCGGCACTGTATGCTCATTCATCTTGATGGCGATGTGCTTGCAATCTGCAGTTAACGTGCATTGAAATACCTTTTATATTTATTAGGGTCCGCAAGCTGTGGAGTTTGATCTTCAGCAGCTACATGACTCACCGACATATCGCGCTTGATATATGCTCAATGTGCGAGAGAAAGCCACGAGAGGGTATTCCAGCGCAGTATGCGGAAAATGTCGAACCGGATGACTATGCTGAATATCTCAAGCACAAACTGGTACACACCCTGAGCACTGTAATTCCAAACCGTACGCAGACGCTGGCGCTTATGGAGGAAGGGAACCACTCTCACGGGGACTTCAATCTAACCACCACAATGACAACGACCGCAACGGTGTTAGCCGGGAAAGGTTTTCGTCTGCCGGTAATCATTATCAAGAACGGGTGTGTTACCGCTTCGCCGCTTGGTCCGCCACAAGACTTCCTGTCCATCGTCCGCAATTACAGTGGAGCATGGGAATGCCACGGATTGTCGAAGGTGATGGCGGTGTGTGACCAGCTGGTGCTGATCAATTTCACGGCAGTAAATTTAATCACCGGATCTGCGCTGCACATATTACGCTACAATAATATGACTTCTCAGCCCTGCTTTGAAAAAGCGTTTCTTCGGCGGGATAGTATGGACACACGATGTCAGGTGGCAATTCCGTGTCTGTGCTTTCGTCGCGGGGAAACCGCCGCTGAAAGGGTCCGCATTCTAATGGCGGCGGCCAACGGCCAGTGTCCGGCTGTCGACGAGCGCGTGTATGAAAAGGTCACAAAAATGCATGCGCGCTGGATACGAATGCTGGCCTATCCGGGTCAATGGACCGGTATTCGCATTTTCTTGCAACTGTACGTCTGCTTTGAACGTAAAAATAGGTAGTACCACTGGCTAACAAATTGCAAGTTATCAGGATTTCGGTTAAAGTGTATAGTTATTTTTTATCAAAGCGTTACCTTTACTGTTACATAAACAGTTTATTTCGTTATAAATCTGGGTAATCCAAGCTCTTGTTTGTTGGATTCAATACTCTTCGACCTGATGACGCGGTGCAGCGCTGGAATACTTTGGATCTTCGTCAACTGGACATTGCTGCTTTGTCCCGTGTCACTTTTGCGGCACTGGATGGGTGTTTTGAATAATACGACATGCGTAGAAGTCTTGGAGACATGGTTTCGGCAATATTTTTGTGGTAGAGCTCCTTTGGCTTTAATGGTTTCATTGCTCACTGCACTGCGGCGAGGTAGATCACCACTACACCAGCACGCAAATGAGATTGATATTAATCTGTCTGTTGGGATGCGAATTCGAGCAAAACATTCTGTGGTTTTTTTAACGAAATGATGTTCATTACCTTCGATGCTCATAACATCCGAATTTGTAACGATTATTTAAAGTTTCTACCGTACATAGGTTTTGTATTTCGTAACAAGGTTTTCTCATCAAGAAGCTGAATGATGGTTTCGGGGCAACGGTTTTCATTGGAATTGCAATACTTTGTACTGGCATTGTTGCTTGGAAATGAAGTTCCAGCAAAAAAAAAAACAAAATATCCCTGTTATTCTAAAATAAATTTAAGGTTATATTTTTGCACACTTCCAGAGATATGGATGACCCCTTGGAGTCGGGGGTCTCTTCCTAACCGTTTTCTTTAGTTTGTAACGTTTATTAAATAAAATGTTAAAATAAAAACAGATTCTGCTAATATAATTCAAATGGTAATCTTGGGCCAGTTTTGCTCTTCTAGGAGTAAAAATTCGAGGTCGAAGCTGTTACATAAACAAGGTCGGTTACGAGTTGAATTTAACTTTTCTTATTTTTTTGGTTGGATTTTTTGTTATAAGTTTTAGGGTTTCATTTGGGGTATGAAACTCAATAATTTTTGTTTTATTTAATATTTTAGTTTGTTTTTTTTTTAATAGGAGTGTAGAGAGTTAGTTTGGCAGGAATAAAATTTTCTGGGTCTATTAAAATATAAGGATAAAGTAGTGAAATTAAAATAAATACAAAAATAAAAATAGAAATTCTTAAAATATCTTTTCTTGAAAAATATGGATAAAATGGAATTTTATCAGATGCTATTTGAATTCCTATGGGGTTAGAAGATTTTTGTTCATGCAAAAAAACTAGATGAAAGATTACTGTTAAAACTAGTATAAATGGAAACAAAAAGTGAAATCTAAAAAAACGAGTTAGAGTTGAATTGTTTACTGAAAATCCTCCTCATACCCATTCCACTAAAAGTATTCCTATATATGGGACTGCTGATAAAAGATTGGTAATAACTGTAGCTCCTCAGTATGATATTTGGCCTCAAGGAAGAACGTAACCTAAGAATCCTGTTAATATAGATAATAAAAAAATTACTATTCCTATAATTCAAGTTATTGTTAATATGAATGAATGGAAATATAGTCCGCGTCCGATATGTAAAAATATAACAAAAAAGAATAGGGAGGCTCCATTAGCGTGAATAAGACGAATAAATCATCCGTAATTTACATCTCGTATAATGTGGTCAATACATGAAAAGGCTAAGGAAATATCAGAAGAATAATGTATAGCTAAGAAAACACCTCTCAAGATTTGAATAGTTAAACAAGTTCCAAGTATTGAACCAAAGTTTCAAAAATGTGTAATATTAGAAGGAGCTGGTAAATCAATTAAAGAAGCATTTAAAGTTTTTAGAATTGGGGTAGTTTTTAATTTTCTCATTAGTTTAGTTCTTGTTTTAGTGGAGTTTTTATATTTCTTCTGATTAACACTGACAAACATATAGCAACTAATAAATAAATTAACAAAAGGCTAAATAATCTTGACGTATTGTTTATGGTCACGGTTAAAATGTTTATATAATTTATTAAAGGTATTTTAAAAAAGGGAAGCATTATTAGTATAAAAAAAAAAGTTGTTAGAGCTATAGCAGTTTTTGTATAGGAATTCGAAGGTCGAAGGAGCGCGCGCGCTAGCTTCTGCATCATGCAAAAGCAAGTACAACAAGACTGAACAAGTACTGTATTACATAGTGCATTTTTCACTTTAAAGTTTTGTACTTTATATAACTGGGGAGAGCTGCTTCTTGTATGTTGCACAATACTGCTTCGTGTATATTGCATACATTGGTAGAGTCAATTACATTTGGGTAATCGAAGCGCGTCGGGTAACGGAGAAACGCGTAAAAAACTATCCATGACTCAGCGAAAAAATTATCGTCCAATCGTAAGTCGAGTACGCTTCCGTGCCAAGAAAGAAATTGAACACCGGCGTGGAACTGAAAAACTCATTTTTAATGCTGTAATGTGGTAAATGTGGTATTACGTCAAAAAAGTTAATTAAGAGTTTTGGAATGTGACTCTGGGTTGTTGGATTTAATTTTGGTCCAAACACACAAATTTTGTTGATCTGTGCAGGAGAGTTATGAGTTACGCGTCGTTTGGGTAATGGTTGCGCTTCGACGTCGAAGCGCAACGCTTACGCGGACAAGTAAGCTGAAAACCCATCCCAGACTTTGTGACTGCGAATCAGAATGTTTACTTGTTTACGCGCTGTTACGCCCCTTTTTTACGCGTTTCCCCGTTACCTGACGCGCAACGCTTACCCAAATGTAATTTACCTCCGCCATTATTATTATAGTGACTAATAATAATTATACCATCCTGGATTTTGGGTATTGCGATTCGTCTGCCGTACTACTCAGACGCCAACAGTCACGTAGCGGAGCCTCCACCATGGACAGTGTGCAATTTCGCCTGCCAGGGTGGTTCGCTGTTCGACATTGTTTCAGCATTTCACATTTCGCATTGTTTTCTATGCCGGATATTTGTCCACACACGTTTTGACTACGGCTGTTCAGTCCGGCAACTGCAAATTAGCATAACTGTGGTTAAAAATGCAAATATTACTAATAATAAAACAAAAGTTCACCGTTTTAAATTTTGCACAGGTGCTGTTTTACGCGATGAATAAGGAATGCCGGGATGCAGTAAACAGTATGTTAAAGTGTACATCGCCATCGGCTACAGAAGCAAAGCCCGAGTCCACGATGAGCTATCAACACAGCCGTAAGGAACATCGGAAATCGAGATTTCCAACACCGGTGGTGTGTACCATAAGGCGGATGCCGCGGCGGCCAGTAGAATTCAAAATAATTAAAACCATCTTCCGGTTGCCGTTGCCAGAACTGAATTGGACCAATATCGTAGCCAATTCGTATTCACATAGTTTCGTTCCTGTTAATTTTCTTGCATGCATCCTGTGCAATGAAATTACCAAGACTCAGGGCATGTTTTTGAACCGGGTCCGACTATAAGAGCCGATGTGCCATAGTTTGTGTAAGTTTGTGCTATGAACTCAGGACTGCGATAAAATCCATTGATTTCCATTTCTAGAACTGATTCATTTTGCGAGGGAAACATTTCGACATTAATGCTACGAATTATGGAGTACCATCACCGAGAAACCAGAACGAGATCTATAAAGTGGCGCCCGATAAAAACGTCATACGAAACCGAACTGGGCAAACTGTAACGCGTGACGCCCTCGTTAGCGTAATGCGTCATCATTACTGATTCAGAATCTTTGAGTCAGAGCACACGTATGCTGTTGTGCATTGTGGTAGGGTGCGCTGTGATGCATCCGGCGATGTGCCTGACTGGAACTCATTGTACAGTACGAGCATACAGTACGTGTTTGGCCATTGTGTCCGTTGCCCTGTTTGGCAGCAGCCGATTTTTTGTCACAGCAGCATTTGGCAGTGCTGAATCGCAGTTGCCAACAATCTGCGAGCATGCGCGTTCATGTTTTCCGTTTTGAGAATTAATTAAGTATTTGCTATTTTGTCACACGATGGCAATGAGACGCCAATGAGTTCTAGTTTTTCGATCGGAAATCTTTCGTCTTATCTCAAAACTTTGAGCGTGTACTGAAAATTAGTCATTCTGGCTTTTCTGCATCATGAACGCGACATCGCTGTACTTTCGCAAGTTGTTCTCCGGTTCGCGTGAGCTGAACTACGGGAACACGGTGCTGGTGCAGCGTGATAACGGCCAGTGGTGGTTAGGATACGTTCAAGACATCGATGGTCCTAACTTCTTCGTGGACTTCGATGCCAGCAGCATCAGTGCCCAATGGATTCATTCTAGCCGTCTCTGGCCGCACCGTTTCATCGACCCCGCTCAACCACTGCAGCTTGAGGGCTCGCCAGTACATGTAGCGCTGCGGGATACCCATACGGATCCGATGGTTTTTCGGCAAGGTACCATCGCGGACGCTACTCACAGCAGTCCGTTCTACGTTGTAAATGATGACAGTCCAGATGGGGTAAAACGGCAGCATATCGTACATCGAAATCATTGCACCCGTGAGCTGCCCGTGCCGGATGATATGGAAAGTTTCTTCGCGCGAACTACGGGGTTCCAGTACACGAAGCATGTCATCAGTTTTCCCGAAGCGCAGTTCCTGCCAGACGTGGATTTCATCCCTGCGTTTTTGGCCCGAACATGTCGATTTGTATTGGGGAAGAATAGCCTTTGTGGTGCTGAGTGCCACTTTGATAGAGACATTTGGGTGGACGAAATACATATCTTTTGTACTGCCCAACACAGGCACGCGGGTGGAACTTTTTCCGTGGGTGTTGGTTGTCGAATGTTTGTGCGGATGGGAGTGGATACGGTCACCTTTATCTGTGCCGAATGGCGTGGCAACGAGCACAGTCCCAGCCTGTTCTGGAACAGAGTTTCCCTGGAGACAGCTTGCGCAGACTATCTGAACCGGAAAGTAACAGCAGAGCCGATTCGCAAGGATACGATTTCATGGCACGTGCTGCAGCATGGTCAGTGTTCTTGCATATTTCCTTCTTTTGGTATATTTTATACTGAACCGTGTATAGATGTGGAGGAAATGTCCATAAGCGATCTTGCACATCCAATCCTGACTGACATACTGCTTCATCTGGATGGAGAATCTCAGTTGCGGGCGAGCAGGTATGTTACGTTATCTATTTTATTCTTTAGCTTTTGAAACGTTGGGAGCTTTTAGCGAATTTGTACATTTTATGGATCGTAAAATTCGGGATTTACCAGAAGGGCGGTTAACTGTCTTGGAAGCAGCGTTTCAGTCTTGCTGTTGTCAAAGAAAATGCTATAACTGTTTTGCCTTTTAACCGAAAGAAGATAGGGATTTTGGTTGTTTTTTTAATGTTTAAACTATAACTATGACGTTCTGTACCTGCGCTCGCAGCTATTGTTATTCGGGTGGCTGCTGGCTATTGCTTTAAAGAAGGGCCGGCATAGCGTGTATCTGCATAATAACTGTTAGTTTACATGTTTAATTTGTAATTGAGCTTGTACAGTAAAACCTATACACCGACGGTACACCGACACCGATACACCGACGGTTTCGCAAATCCCGTATTTATTATCCAGGTGTATTTAATTTACAGAACTGCCCCCAGGGGTAGTAAAAATTTTCGCCCCCCTCCCCAGTTAATACGTATAGCAGAACTGTTACATATGTGCAGTATGTTAGCTTATTGCTTCAGTACAATAATGTTAGAAGTTAGAACATGCACTGTGCACTTAGCTTACAATTGAACAAAAAATTACAGTTTAACAAAAAAAGAATCTAGGAACTGTTGCTTTGCTTTCGCTGTATTAGCCAGATTTTTCTCCAAAGTCAAATCATTACGCTTTCGTTTGTCTACGATGGTTAACTTTTTACGGTATTAAACTCAAAGACTGGCTACACACTGTTTTTCATCTGCTTGACGTAGCCCAGTTCTGCATGCCACTTACAACTGATTTCAAGTTTTTAACGCGGATGATTCGTTGTAATTTGTTTGTCTTTACAGACTGTACTTTGTATGTAGCCAGCAGGTTCTTACATATGGGTATTTCGCATCCGGTTAAGACCAAAAGTGTATGTAAGCCTATTATACAGGTGTATGCACTGTACAGGATCCCCCCTATGTTATAGTCTACGGGATGCGCCGGTTCCTGTTTCAGTGTATTTACCTTCCAGGTGTATTTGTTTACCAGGTGTATGTAGAGACAGGTTTTACTGTACACTCAAATTAGATTGTTTATTAGGGTCTGCGCGCTGTGGAGATTGATCTTCAGCAACTACGTAAACCACCGGCACATCACGCTTAATATCTGTTTAATGTGTGAGGGAGAACCATGGAACGGCGTGTCAACACCAGGAGCCTCAGGACAGTATGCTGATGAATTTGAATCTGACGATTATGCTGAATATCTCAAGTACAAAATGTTTGTCACGCTGTGCAGCCTAATTCCAAACCGCACGGAGGCGCTTGAGCTTATAGAGCATGCGAACCACTTCCACTATGACTTCGATCTCACCACAAGAATGACAATGATGACAACCGTATTAGCCGCCAAAGGTGTTCGTCTGCCTGTAGTCAGTATCAGGAACGGGAGTGCTATCGCTACGCCTCTTGGGCCGCCACATGACTTCCTGGCCGTCGTCCGTAATGATCAGAGTGGAGTATGGGAATGTCACGGGTTGTCGGAGGTTATGACGGTTTGTGACCAGTTGGTGTTGATTAATTTCACAGCAGTGAATTTCATTACCGGAGCAGCGCTGCAGATATTCACCTACGATACTGTAACCTCCTTGCCCTGGTTCGAAAGAGCGTTTCTGCGCCGGGATACTTACAACAGACCATTTCAAGTGACCATTCCGCGTCTACGTTTCCGCTACGGAGAAGCAGCCGCGGAAGGAGTCCGAATTCTATTGGCAGCGGCCAATGACCAGTGTCCGGCCGTCAGTCAGCGGGTGTTGGACAAGGTCACCGCCATGCATGCGCGCTGGGTGTTGACGTTGGCCTATCCGGATCAATGGACCGAGATTCGCACCTTTTTGCAGATGTACGTCTGTTTTGCATGTAAAATTGTAATTTACCATTCGCGTTAACTCCAAGTGATCCGATATGTAACCACAGATTCACCTGGTTGAGTATCAATCGTAATATTCGGTGCAAAGAGAACGTGTTATAAATTGTTCCGTATTTGACGGCATAGGGTGACCATGCTCTTGTTTACCAGGTTCAGTTCTCTTCGCCCTGATGACGCACCACAGCGCTGGACCACGATGGACCTTCGCCACCTGGACATTGCTGCTTTGTCTCGTGTCACTTTTGCTGCACTGGATGGATGCTTCGAAGACTAAACAAGACATTATAAAAAAAGGCATTTCAGCCATTGTTTCGAAATTATTTTCTGGCAGTGTTTTCTTCTGTTTCAATGGTTGCAATGATCGTTTTACAGCGGCTGGACAGATAATAGCTACACCAGTATGACAACGGTGGCACTCTCCTTCTGTTTGTTGGAATGGGATTTCGAGCGAAAAGTGTTGTGGTTCATGTCGAACGAAATGATGTTTATTAGCGTCAATGCTCATAACACGAAATTTTGTAACGACGATGTACTGTTACAATGATTGCGTGGTTCTTATATTCTGTAAATCTTCTTATTAAGACGCAGAATGAAGTGCAGCTGGTTGATGGCTGTTTTTCCGTTTTGTTGCTGGCTGTTTTTCCGTTTTGATGCATTCTCTGCGTCTAGCAATAACTGCTTGGGCTTGTTTGCTGAATAAGTGGAAGACCAACACCGAACACAACATTCCATTACTAAACATGTGGAGTTGCGATCAGGCTCATCGATGACGTTCGAACCACTTGCTTCTCCGTGTAGGCATGAATACATGTATTCGTAATAAACGCAGGTAACATTTAAGGAAGAACGTAGCCGTTGAATGCGGTGCAGCGGTTCACCATTGGACACGCCTAATGTACTGAAGTTCGAGGCAGAGTGCCGCCGTTCCCTGACGGGGATCGGGAAGCAACTGGCTTGGAAGTTCGTGTACGGATACATAAGTGCAGTCGTCTTTAACAGCATCTCTGAGGAGGATGGAAACAGCTGTCAAGCTCACCCAGAGAATGACAAGATTTCCTGCGAAGTTCCTGGGCAACCGATACAAGGGAGCCACAATCAATATTGCTGCTGGCAGCGGTCATGAGAATCAGCAATAATATTGCCTTATTTCCTAATTTTTATATCGCCTGCTTCATTTTCTGATTAAACTTCCAACTTATTCAGCTCCAGTTTTAAACTTATTGAGCGAGCGAGCGAAGCGAGTTCTATTCTTCAACTACGGGGCCAAAAACAACTTGTACGTAACCAGAGTGGAAAGAAAACGGCTCATTAGACTTGCATGCGGTTTTTCACTGTCTTCTTGAAATGAGCCGCCGAAAAACGGCAGAAGTCGCCTGGCAGAGAGGGCCTGGCAGAGAGGGATATCGCCTGGCAGAGAGGGATGTCCTTGGCATGGGACGTCACTCGTGTAGACACGGTTGCGCCATCCCACGTCAGGTCTACGGCAGCAAACGCAGGTGCAGCGGCATTGGAAGCGGAAGAGAAGAAGTCCCGGCTTTATTTGTATCTAAATGGCAGATACATCTTCGCACCGATAGCTTTCGGAACCCTGGGCCTTTGGGACCGTCCGCTGTCGCCAATATCAAAGCACTGGGTAAACGACTCGAGCAACACACAAGCGAAGCCCGTTCCCATGAATTTTTACGCCAAAGATTGTCACTGGAGATACAGCGCGGCAGCGCGGCTTCGGTTATGGGAACGATGAAGGAGCAGAACAGTTTAATGAAATTTTGATGTTATAAGGAAATGTCGATGTTTTCAGTTATTCTAAAATTACGTTGTACCACAGGTGAAATAAAATCATTCTGAGAGGTCCGGAAACGGAAGACGGTGGTTGACATTGGGGTCAACGGGAAATGCGCTTGAACGATCGGCTACCCATAAGTTGATGGTTAGCCGCTTTGAACAATACTAAATTTTTTGTAACATCCACCGAAGGCGGAGCCGCGGGCGACGCGAAGCTGCGGCGTGTTCAGAGCCCGCGAAGCAGCAAGTGAGATGAGATATGGCACTGATTGTTTAGGTTGAAAACGCGCGACAGTTTATAGTTACTGTAACTGACGGAACTGTACGGAATCTGACGGAACCTAATGGAACTCTAGGGAACTTGAAAGAACGGTACCGTATAGCCGGATAAAATAATTTTAGTGTTCAGGCTGTACGCTGCACTGGCTGCAAACCGTGTGCTTGAATCGTGAATGCGCTCGTACAATACAAGTGCGCATGGTAGCACTGTAGTACTGTACAAATTTCCTTCGACTGCAAGCATAGAGTACAGGTACAGTACGAGTCTGTACGACTGTACGAGTACATGCTTAAGGCCCACCAGACCGGAACGCATATTCCGCGCCGCATTCGCTGCTGTAGTTTACATTCGTTCTAAAAGCTAAAAGCGCCAGTGACTGCGCAGTGCGCATTATTTGTTTCGGTCCGATTACCATTACTGTACTCAAAACGGCACATTAAGGCCTAAGAATGAATATCAGCAGAAAGGACTTCGATTCGAAGTAGTGTTATTCGTTACAGTCTTTGAACGGACGGCTGCAAACAAGATCGGTGGTTAAAACCAACCTGCACGGCGACACGGACACACCGTCGGCTTGCGTAACTGATCCGATCCGCAGTCCCTACCATGAACGCCACATCGTTTTACCTTCGTCAACTGTATTCGGGTCGCCGCGAAGTGAACTACGGGAACACGGTGTTAGTGCGGCGTAGCAACGGCAAATGGTGGCTGGGGTACGTACAGGACATCGATGGCGATCAGTTCTTCGTTGACTTTGACGCCAGCACCATCAGCGCCCAATGGATTCACTCCCGGGCAATCTGGCCCCACTATTTCCTTGGTAACGTGCGCCCATATTATGGTTCTTCCGTGCAGGTGGCGGTGCGGGATGTCGAGAATGGCCCGCTGGTCTTCCGCAGTGGAACAATCATCGAAGGTGTCTGTAGCGGGACATTCGTGGCTGTGCGCCTGATGAATCGCAATCCGAGGAGTGTAGAGAGTCCTTGTTTTGTACATTCGTCTCAGCTAGTCAGCAAACTGCCGGTGCCCGACAAAGACCCGAACTTCTTCGGAAAATGCAAGGGATTCGTCTACCGTAAGCATGTCATCGGTTTTGAACAAGCGCATTTATTGCGTGATGTGCGTTTTCTGCCCAAGTATTTGTTGCGCACGTGCCGCTTAAAGCTGGACAACTTTGATCGCGGGTGCAACGCCAGTTGTCGGTTGAAACGGTGCGATATCACGGAATCGTACACCATTCGGTTCCAGTGTTTAGTGCACCAGCGGGATCATGAGCTGGATGTTAGCTGCCGAATGTTCGCAAAACTGGGGACGGACTCGGTGAAATTCGTCTGCGGCGAACTGCACGGCGACGCCGCCGGGTGCAGCATGATCTGGAATACTTGGACCCTGACAGAAGCATGTCGAACCTGTCTTTCTGAGCAACAACTGGGGATGGCCGGCCAGATCATTCCCGTAAATTGTGGAATCACCACTTCTCAGCTTGGTATGTAAAGCAAGACACGCCAGTTACAGTGGCATTAGCAGCGGGCATATCTGAGGAAGTTTACTAGGATTTTCTTTTTTTTCTGGAAGCCGGGAAGTATTCTTAGGATTTTTTTCGGGAAGTATTATTAGGATTTTCATTATTATCAAGTTTCAGTAGTCTGTACTGCCCCGACTCAGTATTCAGCTTGTTAATTTTTGCAAGCTACAGTATTACAGAAGAGTTACCGTTCTGGACCGGCCCCGATCAAGTGATGATCGCATTTATTTTGCAGATGAGGGAGAGATTAACATCACGGATTTTCCCCATCCGATTGTGTCCCAGATTTTGTACAATCTGGATATTGTTACTCGCTACGTATCGATGCGCCGGTAAGACAACTAGCGACCTCTGTACTGCTTTATTTTAATTTTCAAAGGCGTAGCGTGTAACACTCACGAATCTTAGCGCCTAAAACATCCGGCATGGATAGACGATGTTTCTTAATGAATACAGTTGGACGACTACAGTTTTAGACGAATGTTTTAAATCGTTTTCCATTTTCTGGGCCGCTATAAACGGCTTGACGTATATTTCTTATTTGTACAGGGTTTGTGCGCTGTGGAGGATCTTGCTGCAGGAACACGCAGCTGACCACGATATCGTCTTCGACGTCCATTCTCTGTGCTTTAAAAGACCATCCGATCGCGAATTCTCCGTTGAATATGTCTATTTCGCGCACAAAATAGTAGTGTTGCTGAAGGACTTCATATCGCCGTACACTCGCACCTTGATTTTTACGGATGACAGCCAGCAACACCATCATTACACGAACCGATGTAACTTCCAGCAGGCCTTATACGAGAGCACGCAGATACTGAAACTCAAGGCCGTTCGCCTGCCGCTGCTAATCGTCAAGAATGGTGGAGATGTCGCGGAGGATAGGACGCAGTGCTTTCTCTCCATCACCCGCAATGCGCAGGGACAGTTCGGATGTCAGCAGTTGGCGTGGCTCGGATCCGTGTGTGACGAACTGCTGCTCATCAACTACACCGCATCCATTCCCTCCGCCTGTAATTCTCTACTCACGACGTTGTTCTACCACGTTGACCACACCTGGCTGGACGACGGGCATATGATGAGACGACAGGACGAAAGTGCGCACCTCAACGTGGTTATTCCGTTCCTGCGCTTCCGTCGCACGGAGACGCCTGCGGAACAGTGCCGACGCTTCGTCGCCTCCGTTAACGAGCGCTGCCCGGCCGTTAGTCCCGAGGTCTACGCAAAGGTCAAGGGAGTGCATGCGCGCTGGGTGCAGACGCTGTGTTATCCCTTCCAATGGACGGGCATCCGCATGTTCCTTGATCTGTGCGTAAGACGCAAAAGAGCATTTTTTCGTCCATGTATAAATTGACGGTGAATTTTTTCACAGGTTCAGTTGTGCCCGCCCTGGCAGCCATCCACAGCGGTGGACCGGAGTGGATCTGCGGCAGCTGGATGTCACGATGTTGAGTCCACTGGCCTTGCACATTCTGGACGGATACTTTGCCGACTGAGGTCAAGTTAACGATGCAGCGCAATACTTAATAATTATCTCCATTATTCAGCAGCCGATGTATGCTTGTCAATTCAAGTATAGCCGAAGAGGTGCTTTTTGCTATTGGTAATTAATACGCTCCCCCGTTATACACATGGCTTCACTGCTCAGTGACTGCTGGATCTGTCGATGCGGTAATACAGTCTAGTGGATAATTTAGGCGAACTACTGACCACGTTGTACTCTGGATTTGATACAAGTTATGTAACCAATCTGCATCGAGAAAATTCGTTAAACAATAAGACAAACACAGCGCTTATTGCACAATCACGTAAAGTGATGATAAATCACATAAAATATGACTGTGATGCTCCCTACCGAGTAGAAGAAGTATAAAGTGCAGTTCTGCTCGTTGGATACGTGTCGAAACTGAGGTCAGTCTTAGTGCACGCTTTTAAAGCGGTATCTGTTTTGCGGTTTTTGTGTTCTTGGCTCTTATATGTTACAACATGCCGCCGCTGGTTTTTTCAGCTGCCCGTCACTTTTATTTGTGTCACGGCGCTACGATTTGCCGATTAGGTAGACGCGCTAAAAGCATTCGAGCGCGCAAATGTCAGTAATTTCCCAGCCTTTTGGAATGTTGATCATGAGGTTTTACCCAGATGCAAACGAAAGAAAAAGACTACAGTTTAACACAGGAGTTAACGAAGCCAGGCGGCTTAACCAGCGAGCTGTCTAGCTGATTGGCAACGTGATTGACACGCATCTCGTCACCTCTGTGTTCCATTAATATTTGCAACTTGAAGAATTTAATGGGAAGATGAAAAAAGAGTCGGAAGACATTCTGGTTGGGTGATAAACATATCTGCATAATTGCACTGACCTTTCTGCCGGAGCTTTGACGGCCTGCATTAACTCTCGAAAGGGGTCTGAATGCATTGGTTGTTATGTAGATCAACCGACGCCGATAAGTTGGCTCTGCACAGTGGTGGATGAATCATCCACCAGTTTCCCGGATTTCGGCAGGAAGGTGGATGCGATTTCACTGAACGTCCACCATCCACCTTCTCGCCAGTTACAAGCTTCGATGCGCTGCGATCCCGCAAGTCGAAGGCATTCTAGCACACTGCCCTATCAGTTGCGCTAAAAATTCTTTGATGATTTTCTTGAAAACCTTTGTGGAGCCTCCATTGTGATCGTGTCCCCTGTCTTCTGCGCTGGTACAGGCGGGATAAAAATGTTTTTCATGGGCGTAATTAGTATTTTTCCTTTATACAGACGTAAATATTTTACTTCGCAGTAATCATACTTCGTGCATTCCGCTATTTACTGTATAATCAGCCCAAAAAGATGGAGGCTATGACTTTGTAAAAAAAAATTATTTTCCCACGCGGGGAATTGAACCCCGGCCTCCGCCGTGAGAGGGCGGAATCCTAACCACTAGACTACATGGGACACCCGGCACTGTTTCTGGTGAACTATGAGAAGCTTGCCAATGATAGCGGTCGGCATATTCGCACATATTAGCCATGATTATCTAATCAGGACTTGGTGAGTTTTGCGCTCGATTTATCTACACTGGCTGCGTAACGGCTATGATGAGCTTCGGCTTTATTTGACTCGTACAGTCGTACCCCGTGCGTACTACCCTAGTACTACATTTAGGCCTCGTCCCGAATTCAAAGCGAATCTCGTTGCGATACAGCAACTCCACCTCGCGAGGTGGCTTCGCGTACCGTATCTGTAGGCGTGGCCACTGCATACAGCCACCTCGTGCGGTTGAGCAACCGTACCATAGCGAGATTCGCTTCGAATTCGGGACAAGGCCTTAGAGATTCGAGGCGAAAGATTAAACATGTTTTGAAACAGGACTTCGAGAGCCACGATCATCTCGATCAGCGATCAGCTATACCTTTCCAATCTCGATCAGCAAGTCCGTATGTTTTAAGCGAGAAGTGCGGCGCTCTTCACTGACTTTCCTCGGTAACAGCTTAGTGCAGGAGGTTTATGCAAACTTCTTTTTTACACATATTATTGACTAAATTTCTGGACCCTGACTGACCAGCTGGTATCCAATTTTTTTTGAATGTTTTATGCACAATAACCATTGTCAAACCTGAGGTATTCTATTGTTTTCGTAACACCATTTATAGTTATCAATAAGCGAACCGTACCAGTCAAAAATATAAGCTTGCCCGCTGGGTTGCTAGAGTAATATCTGGCCCTGTCCGAACGTTAATCTGGTTCACTGGTCGTTCGCCGTACGCATACGCTTGGAGCAGTGCTCCAAAATCAGCTTCACGACATCCGGATGCGACTGCAGCAACTGCCCCAGGATTTTCGTCGTCACAACATCTTTCATATTCCTGGGAATTGCACGCAGCGCCGCCTCCTTCAGCAAGCCCAGCCCGCGCTGATGCGCGAACAGCAATTAGCCCATTGCGGTCTCCGTGTTCACACTGTCCAACAGGATCTCTTCACAAGTGCGTGGCAGATCAGAAACCTAATACAACGGATATCTGTACTTTTGCAGCGTAAGACACGGATAATTATGCTAGACACTGTTTTTTCACATAAAACTGAAATCGCGATTCTGCTTTAAAGTAGCTCCAGTTTGATGTCAGACTCTAAAATTTTTTGAAGTGACATGAAACCGCATCTCTCACATTTACAAGTAAAGTGACAAGTAAAGTGACGACATCTACAATCAGCCTCTACTTTACTTGTCGGTTTTTTTATTTCTGTTGCATGTTTGGATGTGACATTATTACCAGTTTTATTGCTTACCGATACTGAAACTTAAATTCAGCGCTGATTTCCTGCTGCTCTGTGAACTTTGTGCTGTTCACATCTTCATCCGTCAGGTACAAGAACAAGGCCAGGGAATTGACTTCTTCGTTCATTTGAATTTCGCGGAAACAGGGCTTGACGGCGATACGCCAGCGCCCTGGACTACCTCTCTCCATTCCCACTTCCTTCAGCGTGATCCCGTCATTGTACATGCAATTCGTTTTATTCCGCAGCAAACTGAATTTCTCAATCGTCCACTGTAGCATGAAGCGTACCGTTTCGCGTCTGATGATCTCTTGAACGATTATGTCAGGCTGATTGTCCATTTCACAGCAGATTAACAGTTAACTCACCAAAATGTAGTACTGTGGTAAAAAAATTATTATTATTGGCTTTCTGGTGTAGTCAAAGATACTGCTGTTTAATATCAACCCAAATTTGTTTATACAACAACAAATAAAGCAAAAACCTTTTCCACGGTGCCAGCATAAGACAAACTAGATTTATTGCCAGATTACATATTTATTGTGAAAAGCCGAACAACAGTCGCGCATCGGGCCTAAATTCAGAATTGACTAAACAATCTCACGATAACCAACGGCTCAGTCTGAAAACAGTAAAAAAAGAGAACAGACACGTACATTCATTATCTGTACACTGTACTCATGTCATGTAGCAAGCATGATTTAATCATGTTGTGATCACGCAATATTGGCATAACTACCAGTACGAGTCTGCGACCAACGTCTGTACGCTCCAGGATACCCTAAAGGTATTCATGAGTCTGGTCTGGTACTATTTGTAGGTACAAGCCGGTCCGGACGATGAGCACGATAAAATACAGCGAAAATGTTAATTAATGGATTTACGCCAAAACATGGTGTAGTGGCCATAGTGCTAAAAGCGCGTTCAATATGCATTAGCTGTAACTTTACGTGTTCATTATCCGGGCCGACTTATACGCGTACTATACGTAGAGTATATAAGAGTGCGTGAGAAAAAACAAAACAACTGAAAGATCGGAAGAAATAGTTTATACAACCGCCAGCAATATAACCTGTGCGCTTCGACTGTGATTTCTAGATTACCATAGCAAGTTGCACCTTCCGCATAATGCCTGATTAATACCAAGGAACACAACGAACATTACAGAATATTTTTATATTAAATAATCACATGGAACGCGGAAATGGCAGCCGAAGCCTTTTTTGTTGTTAATTTATTGCAGTGCTGGGTACGTGCAGACGGTACAGGCATCCTGCGCAAATGCTCAACTACCATAGAGTCTGTGTTATATTTGACAACATTACCGATCCTGCAGCCTGGATTCTACCGGCAGAATACTCGCAAACAGCATACTCGCAGAGCGTGTAATCCATGGAGCACTCAATCCGTCGCCCATGGCGACCATCGCCGAGGGCCGTCGTAAAGGAGCTGGGAAAGAGATTACAGCAGCCGTACAAGTACGTTCACACAAATGACTGCGTCAGCGCCTGTCGTTAGAAATTCAAGGTAAAATGTAGCAACCGTTCTCTGAAGTCGGAAGTAAGGAACGCGCTGAAACACCCAACTTAATATTGTTGCTGAAACATGATTGCTGCTAGGCATATGTGTATGTAAGCGAAGTTACCAATTAAACCTATGCACTATGCAGGTTACAAACGAATGGAAGGTCGCTAATGCCGGACCATTGCCGGTACGTAGGTTACATGCTATGCAAACACACCGAAGCCGTCAGTATTTGTTTTAATTTTTCCTATGCAACATTTATTCTTCCTACTCTTTGCTTCCTAACAACAAAAGAATTAACGCACATTGTCTGCAAACGAAAAAGGTTCAAAATCCCTGTACGTAAACGTACTCAGTATCAGTGCAGGTAAGCGCATTCGATACCAATGGAAATAAGTAGTTGTGTACGAATTTAAAAATTTGGTAACGGAGGCACGATATCCGAAAGTCATAGAAACGACAGTGATGCATGCATGTAACTACTTTGTCCGGAAGCTAGAGGGTGCGGGTTCGGAAACGTTCGGATCGGCAGAATTGGTACTGCCGTTGATGCTGTGTACAGTGGTTTAACCATCTTTCGCTTGCCACCCTGAAGAAACTCTGCTGACTTAACTGTCAAAAGTAACTTTGTGCAGTTCTTCCACCAAACTGGCAGCTGCGATGCGCTCATCGCTGCTTTCCTGCAGGCACATCTTGATAATATTCGCAATCACTGGGTGTATGTTGTCGTTGATCAACGGCACAAACCCAGATGCTGTTTTATAAAAAATAAAATTATCGTTTTGATTATTGATTCGGATGGGCTCGTTTGTGCCTTGCACCATCCATTTGCCTTGGTTTCCGTAAAAGCAGTCCGCAAGATCCATTAGAATACAGCCTAAGCTCCATACATCGGTTTTTCGCCCTGGTTTTATATCTGCGTTGACCAAGAACTTGCCTACCATTTCCGGTGACATGTAGCGAGCTGTTCCTCGCATGCGCGTGACATCCTTAGTACCGGTTTGACTGTGCATCAGGGCAATATGGTCGTCTAGATCGGCTATAAGCAGGTCGTATCCGTTGGTATCATGGGCTCGTCGAACCAAAATATTTCCTGGTTTTAAATCTCCATGTATTACTTGTCTACCATGCAAATACGCAACACCCTCCGCGATCTGCTTCCCGAATTTTACCACGTCGTTCAAGGAAATTGTCTCCTTCGCATCTGCAAAGCTGCTAAGCAGGGCGGCTAAATCTTTCTCTACAAGCATAAAAAAACTAATGATTCCGAGGCTGTTGCTACCGAATAGATTTTTGGTTTAATTTAGAACTGCTGCAAGAGGACACAGGATCAACTGGTAGCGCTCTGAAGAAATTGGCTCGGTATATAGCACCAAAGTCGCACCCGGACTTGGGAGTGCACCAAAATCGTGCACTTGCACGGCAACTATTGCTTTCGCGTATTCCCAAAACCTTTTTTGCTTGAGGTGATGGCATTTGTTTGCAATTATGTCGTACATATGGGAGTGAAAATCATCTGTGCGCACAAATTCTTTTGGGCGAGTTATAATGGTAAGAAAACCCAAAAACTTTAGACTCATTCAGGTGTTCCAGGAATTTTATTTTGGGCCAATCTTCTTTACAGTCCGCATGGAAACGCACGTAACCATGAAGATCGTTTTTATGTCCACTGGTTTGTTCCACAACTTGGTTTCAAATTTTAAAAAAATTGTTCCCAATTTTTGAAATTTTGTTTAAACTTTTAAAAAAATGCTGAAGCAAATTTTCGGTGTAAAAACGAACTTACTGAGACATACATGTGTGCATAACAATTGCGTTGATGTGCACAGTTTGCAGAAGATCAGTCTGCAATCAGAATTTTGGTACATCTGAGTGCATTTTAGCCTTTTGGAATTTTCTATCTCCAAGCGGAAGTTGCGCGCGCAGATACTTTTCAATGAAAAGTCTCTGCGCGCGCAACGCCGTTTTCACATCAGCGTATACAAAACGGAATATTATCGTAAGCTGTATCAGTCTGTATGTTTAAATTTTACACGCTGAGTTCGCTTCCATGTAAACGCAAAAGCAAAATGTTTAAACCGAAATGTAAAGCTTTTTACCATAATAATCCATCAGCAGCTCCACGAATGTTCCCGTTCTTGTCTTTTTTATGCTAACTTTATGGTAAACCACCAGCCGCTCATGCTTCAGTGATAATAAACAGTTCCACTTTTCTGCAAGAACCTCAAGGTTTTGTGGGTCATCACGGGAAGGAACTCCATACCGAAATTTTTTGACCGCTACAGTATCTGAGCCTTCATAATTGCCGCGTGACACTATGGTAGCCAGGTATACAAAGCCATAAGAACCGTGCCCCAGTTCAGACTCATATTCAACACGATAGGTGCAAGTAGAACCAAGATGCAGTAGTTGTGCGTCAGCAGCGTTAGGGAGTATTTCTGCTGGTAGGATGCTGCTTTGTGAGGCTGTGTCTTCGGATTTCAATGATGCCGATGCCGTCGATTTCACTGTCTCATGGATGGGAGTCGATGGGGAGCGCTGTGGCATATTGGTTTCCTTCTCGGTATGCAGCGCATCCAGTCCTCGGAGAACCAGATCATCAGCAGCGCTGCTAAGCTCAGTATTTGGCTCCTGTATTATCTTAGTGATAAGCTCTCTTATCAATGGAATTTTTGATGTTCCTCCGGTTAAGATGAGGTCAAACTTGAGCTTTTTTCGTGCCGGTAGAGCCAAGCCTTCCGATATTTTACTGTACAGCAAATTCACTACTTGATAGCACAGTTTGTGCAGAAGTCCGTAGAAGTCGGTATGATTTATCTGAACGTTCAAATCGAGACCGGCATGAAAATTCGTGACATTGATTGTGGCATAATTGTTATGCGACAAGGCAATTTTGGCTGCCTCACACTCAAGTCGCAGACGGTGTACGCCATCACGATCAAATTGCACTTTCTCATCCAGATCCAACATTTCCTGAAATCGGTGAGCGCAATAATTCATCAGGAGAAAATCAATCTCATTTCCACCGTAATCCAATGGAAATGAGTAAATCTTGTCGTAGCCAGTAGAATGGAAAGAGTAAATCGACACACTAGAAAACTGCGCACCCATCCGCACGATAACAATATACCGGGAACTTGCCAGCATTTTGGGAAACTGCCTGAGTAAACCATGAATTTGCGTGTCCGAGCGGTCCAAGAATTTGGCTCCCTGGAAAACGGTATCTTTAACCACACTGCGTAAATTCTCCCTTAAACGTTCAATATCATGCGCTGCAATGTAGCACTCCCTAATGGAGAAATCCATATCATCTTGTTGTTGACACATGACACTCAAATGCTGCATAAACAATGCATTCAGCCCTTTGGCATCGGTTCCCAAGCCGTGAGTATACTGGCTTTCCCTGTCGATAGCACCCACACCTTCTTCGGGAGACGCTGTTGAGAGCAGGAGAAGACTGGAGTCCACAGCGTCATAAAACACTTGAAAAGGCTTACCAGCACCCAGGGATTCTCTTATGTGATCAGACGGCCGGCTTCGCAAGAGCAACGATGGTTGGAAAACTATGTAAGAGATGGTTTTCTTCGATAGCTCTCTAGCTTTGCATCCAATTACGGCGTTTTGATGCAATATGTTATGCTGGGACTCGAAGAAGTCCGGGAATTCCGATCCACCGGGCTTTGCGTGACCACGAACGAACATATATGTCGGAATCTCCTTTTGGTCACTAAATTCCAGCTGCTTAAACTGCTCATCTGCCAACTTGACGGCTACCCGAATGTACGCCGTCCCAAAGTCCAAGTACAGCTGCACCGGAACCTTGGGACGTTGAGTGTCAGCCTTGCGCGATGCCATGCTTTAGTTTTAAGCAACTAGAAATAAGATGCGACAAACACCTGTACACGATGTATTATCCTTAAAAACAAAACAAAATACCGTATATTTCATACAAAATGTACTATGAATAGAAGGAAGGCGAGTAAAGTCAAACAATTCAGAATGGCAGATACCGCGGTATATATACTAATTTCAACAAGGAAACGTCAGAACTACTGGCAGCAGCAAGCGGTGCATAATAATCGGAGCTGATTTTTACTGCTGTTGGAATATTATAACAGCCGGCTTAACATGCTACCACGTTTGAATCCGAGCTATCTACAGAGTAACAGACCATGCAAAGTCCCGATAAAATCGCTAAAGGTGCGGTATTTACGGTTCGTAGTTCTTCTTACTGCTTGCCGCCGATGCACCCAACGATAAACGCTACTTCAGAATTAAGGAGCACTTGGTTTATTACAAGCAACTAATTATGACGACTGCACAACATGCACGTCGGACTGGCTGATACAGCTACTGTTGTAATCGTACGGTCCTTTCGAGTTTCAAACAACAACACGGTACGTAGCTGTTATAGTCCGGTTTGCTGCCCTGCAGCGGAGTACCGTACTTTGAATCGCGTTGCGATTCAGAGACTAATTTGTCACTATCATTTGATTCATTTCAGATATGTGTTTAAAATCCATGTCGGTCAGGTACAAGTCGCCGGCAAGCAAAGCGAGAAGTGCGTAGGGTATAATTCGATGGTTGTAAATATTTGTTCCTTCATAGAAAAAGCAAAAAGGTATAGAGGAAACAAAACAGTACCAGTCTGAAAAACATAAAACAAAAAATATTAAGCGTAGATAATATTTCTGGAACGGCTAGTTACAGTTTTATTTTGACCGATGGTGCACCAAAGCTCAAATGGTATAATTTAATTAAGGTCATTAAGGGTACATATTATTTTTAGAAATACCACGGTAGTGCTTATCTTTTCTGTTGGCGATTAGAGACTACAGATACAGTTATGCGCAATCTTATGTGCTGTAATAGCCGCTGATTACATACATGTGCCTTTATAATTTTCATGTCCTGCGCTTTTAAATCACGTAACAATAACGGATTTTAATATGTAGCACTCACACGGTAAAATAGATAAAGGCAGGATAAAGGCCAACAAGTACTGTACTTATGGAAAAACTTACCAAAGTCGGGGGTTGATGTTGCTAGGTATATCATCGTCAGGCTGGCAGTCACTTGTTAGTTGTTACATAGTACCCGTACGACAAATATCGTTATACTTCATATAATGCTTTCCCGCTACAATTTGCCCAACCACGCATCGATCCAGCTCCGCATACACTCACACCGAAAGAGAGCGAACAAGACAAGAGAGCGTGTGTGCGAGATTGATCTCATCAGTCAACTGTAACGTTCCGCCATAAAGCTTCATTTGGATGTGCTTTATGAGTTTTTAATAGGAGAACTCGGCGTTTACATTTCCCATTCCCGCGGCCGCACATGGCCCATTCTGCCCCACTTTCCCACTTCCGTCCGCACTGCAACCACAACCCCGCGTCTTTCCGCCAACCGTTCCCCCACTCCAAGCACACAATGACACATGTGACCTTTCTTTACGACGCCGTAATTATAGCCATTTCCTTAATTTCTCCGATAAAAACAACCGACCAATAAGACGACACGAAGGCGGGTTCATCCCTTGACAAACAGATGGCAAAAACGGTAAAACCGTACAAATGCGATCTAATCCGTTGATGGGACATGTAAATAGGCGCATTTGCACGGGGAAGGGATAAATGCCCCGGATTTTCTCCACGTGGAAATTCGAGAGATTTTCTCGACAAGTGTGTGTGTTTTTCCCGCTCGTGCACAGCTGCGCCTTATCATCGGCGTTGCGTATGTATGACGTGGACACAATTGTACTGTGTATACAATCAATACCGGCAACACACAATCCAGTGAGTTGCGCGCGCGCACGGAGCGCTCATAAAGCTGAGCTAACGGAGAGAGATGCGCGTTAATGCGCAGCTGATCGTCGCTGGCGACTTGTCAGGGATGTGAGAGAGGGAGCGCGCGCGAGAGAGAGAGATACAAGCGGGGCTTTTGTGTTAGAACTTCCGTGCACACGTCGGAAACTGTTGGTTTAACACTCGTGTGCGTCTCTCTCTATCCGCTTATCCCAGCAATCTTCCGGCGCCGGGATTTTCTGTACTATAGTACCTTCTATTGTTATCCCTGACGAAAAGGTGCTGAATCGGCTCGCAACCCGGCTGGAGACCGGACGCCTCAAGTAGAGCCAATAAGAAACGCGCGCCTTGTGTATTACTGTGCTTGCTGTGTGCTGTGTGTGTGTGATGGAGAGGCATTCTTGATTTGTCCTGCTGGCTGCTGCAGCGGACGCTGCTTTCTCCGGCGCTGCGGCTCAGTCTCGAGAAAAACGGGGGGAGAGGAAGAAGTTGAGGGTAATCGTGTTAAGGCCCAAGAAAACGTTAAGAGGTTATCGATGGGTGGAAGGAACACACACACACGCTGCATGCGCTCGGCATTTCTCCCTCTTCTTGTGCTGCCGTTGGTGTATTGTAATGCCAATCTTAACTGGGATGCCTGGTTTGGTTAAAATGCCTGCCTGGATTGCTATACATTACTGGAAATAAATTTTCCCTGGATTATTTTTATTCGCGATTATCCCGGTAGATGTGTGTTAGGGATGCGTTTAATGTGATTGCTGTTACCCGGCAGCATCTATACACTATGCAGACCGATATTTAACCGGATATTTTTGGGATATACCGGATGCTCCCTTTATGGATATTGATTGTGCTGGGCCGGCGTGTGCTGTGTTCCCCTGTGGACGGCGAATAGCACACTTTCTCTGCCAACTATCATTCCTAACTTTGGCCGATGCTATCTATACAGCGCCCGTAATAATCAGCAGCAGTGCGCGTATATTTGGCCGGTGATCGATTTTTCCTGATTGTCTCCTTAACGATCGTGTAATTACCCGAGCATGACATATTAACAGCACCAAACGCCGCTGACCGTTAATTAATCTAGCGGCCGCAATGTAATTTACGCCGGTGTTGCATTACTTGAAATCGGTGTAAAAACACCACGGTACGTGTCAATCATCAAGGGGGGATTTTTGCGACACTGTGTGTGTGTAATGTTAATCCCCGCTGTCGTCCGGATATGTCTCCCATTACATCACCCCACTGATTTCCATTCCCGCGCGCGCTCTCGCGCCGTTCAATCAATACACTCTGCGCCGCAGCAAACGGAATTTTGTTTTCCTGCCCAATGCTGCACCTGTTCCCGCGCGCCATATATCGTTGTTAGAATTAATTGGATTAGTTTGCTGTTTCGTGGGATAGAACGCCACTAACTAATGGCCGACCGTCGTGTGGCCATGATTATTCGTCTGCCCTGTCATTATTGTCGTGGAGTGGCTGGCACGATTAAGCCGGTTTAAAGTGTGTGCGCCCGCACAATGGACATTAGCGCACAGGCAGCGGGTGAGTGTTGAGTGTGTATTTGGGCGCAATGCCAAAAGTACTCCCATATAGAAGCAGCCCAGCGTTGTGATTAACGTTATGGCTTCGACTTCCGCTCTATATTCTTCCCTTGTGACCAGTCCCATTAACCGTGTATTGTGCGCGGATTGTATATTTGTCAATTTGCACCGTCTTTCGTCTTTTCTTCCTAATTCCTGCGGCGTGTACGTTTTCGTTCCGCTCCACTTATTAGGCCAATGAGCTTTAAGAGAGGAATGTGTTCTGGCTCTATTTTCTAGTGCTTCCATTGAAATATTACCTAAACTATCATATAAAAATTTCTGCAGCTGTTTATTAAGTTTATTTAATTTAATTTTACTAAAAAAGACTTGCAGCTTTTTTCCGGGTTTTAACCGCTAGAAATGTACGATTTCAAGTGCTTCGATCGAGAAATATTAGGTAATTTTTTATTTTAAAAAATTTATTTCACAGTTGTTTAATTTATCATACTTGTTTGTTTTTTAAATTTGCCTTTATTCTCCAATAATCTGCTGAATTACTGTAAATCGAGACGCCATCTGGGCCTCATTATTTTTAAATTATTGCGTTCAGTTAATAAAAGATTCGCGAACAGAGAATTTTTCCCTTAGTACTCTAAAAAATAATCGTTCGTAAAAGGATGGATTTTCTCGTGATGACGCGTGTAATTATAGCAACCGTTTGTACGGAAACGCTTCCGTATTCATTTAATGCAGAGAAGAGAGGGTGGATGTTTTTGCATAAAGATCAGCGTTTGTGTTTGTAGAGAAATTGGCTATTTTGAGTGTAATGCACTGCTGGGCGCATTATGCCCTTAGCCAGTCTGTACAGCGTGTGCCCCCGATTCGATTTAGCATTTTATTCATTAATGCAAATTTCTTCCAACTAACTGCGTGCTTACACAACCGGAAATCATTGGTTTGCCGGCAGTTCAACGTTAAGCACGATTGCCGTCTGGCACGAACGTCCGCTGACTAAGAATCACTGTACAGATAATTTTATAAACGACAGGAATTTTTTTTATGTAAAAAGATATTCAGCATTTTTATCAGCATTAAAACTTTTTCTGTAAAAAAGCCAGCGAACCGTTTTTCAAGTGTAATAAAGCTTTTCTGTGTAGAAAAACTTTTAGTGATTCTTACCGGCCAAAATCAGTGTGTGTTTTTACTGGAGAATGAGTCCTAGATTAGAGTGGAAAAAGACGGCACAGATGCCGGGTTTTTCAAGTGCTACAACTTGTTAGTGTAAGCGCGGATATGGCAGCAAAAAAAATTAATAAAAGAGACAGCTGCTGCTGCTGTGATGTTCAGTGTGCGGAAAGAGCGGCATATACAGACTGTATACGCGTATGTATACACGGTTGATAGTCGATTCATTCATATGGATTGTGATCGATTTTGAGTGGCGTCTAGATTGTTGAATATTTCCGGCGCTGGAGACAGGCTGTAAATGACAAGTTATTAATTATTCAAACGGCATGTTTAAAATAGCAAACAATGCTGCCAGCGGACTACGGAACAGCGCCGGGCTTTGGAACATGAATGCTTAAGCAAGACAAAAAAAAAGCGCGACGATTGACGACACACACTTGTTAGTGTCTCAATACGTTTGACTACAATGCCAGCGATCTGTCTGCAGAACAACGTGACTTGTATCGTTTTACATTGAAAGAAAATTTGAGAACAACATTAAATTGCTTCATCCGTTAACAGCTAATTGAAAAAATAATAAAGGTGAAATACTTTCCAAGCAAAAATGCTGACTGCAAACTGAAAACACTAACTGGAATTGAGGTTACAAAAATTCATATTGTAAACGGCTTCAAATAGCAAACAAATCCCTTCACGCGCTTGAATAAATATAAAACAATATATTCAAGAAAGTTTTACAAGAAGAGTTATCTGAAAAACCATTGGATGTAGCGCAATCAAATTTGAAAAATTCGAAGCGAAACTTTTTTCCCAGGATTCCGTAAGCATGGGAAAAACTTTTCGCTCGGCTCAGAAAAATATTAAATAGATAATTTGTTTGAGCTTGTCAGTTTTGCCGTTAATGTTTTGTGTTTTCGGATTCATCACTGAGAAAGACGCGCAATAACCCAGTTCAAAACTTTTATTGGGAAGCGTTTTTTCCAGTGTTCGTTTCCAGTGGGAAAGATTCCTCACTCAGCTCATTAAAACATTTAATAAAATTTGATTGAGATTATCAGTTTTACTGTGCATTAAATGTGATAAAACTATTTAAGGGAAACGTTTTTCCCACGATTCACGGCGCGTGAAAAAAATTTCTCGCTCGGCTAAAAAAATTAAACAGTTAGACTTTTCGCATTTCATTGGGTGTGTTTTCGGCTTTGTACTGAGAAATACGCGGAAGTCATAATAATCTCCCGTAAGCTCCGCCCCACACCGGCGCCCCATCATCTAATCATTCCAGCGGCGTGTGTTTTAATTACAGATGGCAATTTAACCACGACGCATGCAACGACACTAACGCACGACCCCATTCACCTGCCGCCCACCTCCTCCCTGGCCCCGTCGACCTCCGCGGGGCTGCCCTTCGCCGACTTCGACAGCTACTGGCACTTCCACGTCTACATGCTGGCCTTTGCCTTCTTCTCCGTGTCTTTCTGCTCCTTCTTCTCGGCCATCAATATCCGCTCGCAATACCCACTGCAGACCCTCATGTTCATGGCCTGCATCTTCATTATGGCCTTCGGATTGGTCCGCAGCGGCTTCCTGCTGCTGGATCCCTATCACGCTCAATCACGCCTGCCGGCCTCCTTGTTAACGTTCCTGTATTCGCTCGGTACGGTGTAGAATTGGGGGCTAACAATGCCCGGCTACTTGACAAGGCATTGCTTTATTTTCTTCGATTTCATTGATTTACGGTTATTTCATTCGTGCTTTAGCTTTTATATTTACCATGATTTCAATGAGGTTTTCAAGATGTTTGGTGACTTCGGTGCAATAATCAGGCTTCAGCTGTCAGAAAAAAAATGAATCAAGTAGGCAACTTCTACAGATCGCTTTTGCTGAATTTTTATGCCGTCATAAAAATGCGATAAAGTATGAAATAAGAACTGTTTATAAAAAAAATTACAAACAAAATAACATTAGAAATTTAGAACTAACAAGCAAGTAAACAGAGAAAATAATGAACGGAAATAAAATTAAATGAATATCTTTACATAAATTTGCCGAAAAGTAAAAATTAATAAGGTAATTATTACACCAGCGGCCCGGCCTGAGCAAGGAAAATATTTTGTACTTTATCAAAACAGCGGAATATAAATTGCTTAAAAGATGTTCTAAAAAATAATTATAGTGTAAATCCAGTTAACCGCGAAATAAATTGCAGTAATTATCTGCTTTTGTGCAAAAAATTGAGGTGGCAGTTACCTATAACAATGATACGACATTTTTGTCTTGTCATCTTCCGAGTTTGATTTGATTCAATTTAATTTTCATAGCATTATGGCTTATGCAGTTATAAACGTGTGTGACACGGCCAGCTCCCAGACCAAACAAACGTTTGCCAATAAAATCAATCAGCAATAAATCGACTAATTGAATAAGAGAACAATTTATTTATACCGCGCATTCCTTATTGATGACATACCTCCTGCTTATATTATCCACAGGTTTTCCCAGTCTGACTGCCACCGTGGCCATGACCATCTTCTCCATCGCCAAACACTGTCTCCGCACCGAGCCCAAATCCTTCATCTACCTGATAATTTTATTGCATTTTTGTTTCTCCATCACAGCGGAAATTATCGCGGTCAACGAGGAATCGTGGCGGTTATTTCTGCAAACCGTAACGACCATCTTTTTATTATGGCCGTTGGGCTTGGCGCTGCTGTTCGGCAACATCCGGAAATCCCTGCAAAAAATGGACCACCCGGTGCAGCATGCACTAAAAAAGGAGCTTAAACCGGCGGCCTCCGTCGTCGCGCTACCGCCCAAGAAGAAACGCGCCCCGAAACGCGACCGGCGGAAATTCACTGATTCCGCCGCCCAGACGTCGTTTCTGCAGCGCCGGCCGACACCCAAACCGAAATCGAAATCGTGTGGGACGATTAATGAACCGCCCTCCGGGGGTGGTAGCCAGCTGACTATGCCCACCTCCTCGGTGGTCAGTATCGACAGTCTGGAATCATGGGATCATTTTTCCTTGCAGGTAAAAATTAAATCCGGCTCCGACGAGAATTCTTTTTTAGTTTTTTGTTTTTAAATCTAGACATTCAAAGCCTAATTAAATTAAAACAATTTATGAAAAATTACTTTTTATTGAATTAAGCAAATTTGATTTTGTTTTCTTGTCAAACCCAAAAACAGTTCACTTCATTTCAAAACCGGCTCAAAAGTGTTAGTTAAAGTTAAATTAAAGTGTTTAATTTTTTCCCACATTTTTTCAGGATTCCCCGCGTGTATCCCCGGTGTTAACGCGGCACTTCTCCATGCCGGCCGTCACCCACGGAACGGCCGCCCGGCGTTTCTGGAAGCAGTTTACATTCCGGAAGAATCAGCAGCTGACGAATACGTCGACCGGCTCATCACCGGTACGCAGTAACAGCAGCAGCGGCGGCCGGAAATTACGCAGCTTTAATTTTCGCTGGAGGAAGCCGGTGTTGGGCGGCAGTATGGCGGCCGCCGCTGCTCATTACCCGGCGAATCGTGTTGTCGAGCGTGAAGTAATTTCCGCCGCGGACAGCGATCAAGCCATCCACAAGGATCAGGATAGTACGCTGATTAACTACTTTACATCGCCCGATGTCGAACCGCTCTCCGCCGCCGTCGCCGTCGAGGGCGGTTGCCGGCCGACCGTGCAGACGGCACTGTTGCCGGTGCCGGTGACCGCCAATAATAACAGCAGCAGCGGAATTAATCTGCGCCGACTATCCAATACGGAGAAATCGCTGTTGAGCGATAAAATGTGGATCTCCATTCGGGCGCATTATGTGCTGATTGTTTTGTACTTGACGCTGTGTGGACTGTATTTGTACTCCGTGTTCAAATATCCGGTGGATATTCAGAGTCTGCCGCGGGAGGTCGTCTGGGATTGGTTTACATTTCACAGCTGCCTCAGGTGCGTCATACGATTACCCACGTCACACTGATCGATGACAACGTAAATTTAAAATAAACATAATTTTCGCTTTAATTTTGTATGTACACAAATATGCAGGTTATAAAAACTTACAAAATAATAAAAAAATAGATAAAAAAATGCATAGAAGGCTTATATGTATATAAAAAATATGTATTTCATGAAAAACTAATATACATATAAATATAAATATTTATAACTCATAAACATAACAAGAAATTAAATTCGCAGTTAGTTGAGCAGCTTAAGATTGTTATACCAAAAGTATAACGTAAATTTGTTGCGCTTTCATTTAACGAAATTGCTGCTAACCGCTTCTTTGAATTCAAAGTAAATCTATAATACTTTCTTAATAATTGTTTCGTACATTCGTAGTTAGTTCAGACATCCTTAAAATATTCTACAGGTATATTTAGTGTACGAGTATTTCTTTAAGCTATTTTCCTATATATATATATTTTCCTATATATATTTAAGCTATTGTAGAGATAGTTACGCATTGGATCAGTGCTAAAACTTTAAAATATTTTAAATACGTACCCTAGCTTTTGTCAGCGCAGGGTTATTGTTACTCAAACGGGCTGAACAGCAGGCACAGTTTTAAAATATTTTTTTCAAGTGTAGTGCATTTTCCTAAAGATACAAAACCCGAATAGTACTATTACTCGAAATTTAATCGGAAAAAAACAATTTTTAGTTTTTGATACTGTGGGGTGGGTTTTTCCCACGGATGTTGCGTTGAGAACCGCTTCTCTCCAATCGTTACGCGTTAAACAACAAGCGCCCCATTGATTATGTCACAGTGGCCAGATTGTATCCATTGTACAGCTGCGGCAGAAAAGGCCCGCACGTCTTCCGATTACGTCCTTATAAGTTGGCCTACATTCGGGTGAAAAGGCCTCTCTGGCAACACTTGAGGAGAGAGAGCGAGAGTTGTGCCGGGATAATTTTTACAAGCTGTATTCCGGTTACTTCCCCGACAAGACAAACATATGTATTCCTCTCTTGTTCTTCTGTTAGAGCGTTATGGTTTATTTAATGCCCGATGGTGGTACAAACGCTTGATGTTTATTCAGTAAATTCCGCTAACAATTCTTGCGGCCGTTTCAAGAGCGTTTAAAACGCTAAACTAACCAACGTGTTTCATTCTGAAAAAGCTCGGCCGAACGCGTTTAAGAATATACCGGCATTTTTTTCAGCGGAAAGCCGCGCATAACGAGAGCATTATCGTTTCGTATTTCGGCTCGTAGAAAAAAAGCCGGACGCCGACTTCCGGTGAAATATAATGCGTATGCTAATGGTTAGCCGGCGCTGCACTCCAGCCGCGACAGATTGGCCAATAATTGCTGTTTGTTTATTTTAAGGAATATAAGCAATCTCTGCGGTGTTTATCAGCAGAAATCCTGTCTTTCTACGATATACCGAAATAGCTCTTCGTTTAAGCAGGGCAGGGCAATTTTTTTCACATTTCCGGTGAAGAAATACTACTCCGTTTCCAGGTCATTAGACTGCCGAGTCATCAGTAAACACTTTGTAAAATGATCAGAAAGCGTAACTAGAGAGACAATATTTTAGCTGTACAGAAATGAACTTTTTATTAATTCCCATGCAAAAAATACTTAAATTGAAATTCGCACGCATATTATTACCAGCAGCGACCGAGAATTTTCGGAGACAGCTGTAAAAAAACAAAAATTAAAAGGGACCAATTAGGGTAATTTAAAGAGAGTAATTAAAATATGAAACCAGAATGGCAAAACATTTTCTGGAATTTCCTGGTCGCATCTCCAAAGCGCATATTAAAACTGCGTGACCGCGGTAATTAAACGTGAAAAATTATATCTGTGATGGAATTTTTTGTTTTCGTTCCCCTGATAAAATTCCTAGAACGGCTGTTAACAACAAGCCTATCACATTTCTTTCTCATCGCCTCTTACCGACAACTGATATACTCGAACATCGTTAATTATCTCTACCGCCGGTTCCTTATTATTTTTTACCGTAGCCAAGATAATTATAAGCCGAAAATAATTACACAGCAAAAGCGCCGAATCAGAAACGCAGATATTGACGATTCTAAGAAACTGTGCATATTTTCTAGGACCATGGAACTGCTCGTCAGCGTCTGCCTGGCCTACATCCTGGACCATGCCGGAGCCCTGGAGAACTGCAACATCCGCCAGAGGGAGCTCTTGCGCATTTAACACGCAAAAAAATCAGCGGACCCCGCTTCAATCCGATAAGAACACACTCCTTTCTTCAACCCGCGGCGCACACACCACACCACACAACACGCATTCTTTTCATTCCCTCTCTTCAGAAACTGTGATTACTTTTTTTGTGCTAGCTGTATCGGGACGCGATGCCAATCGGTGGATGATTAATCAAATGGTGTGTGTGTGTTGAGTGTGTATGCATGTGATAATGGCGTCCGTATTATGTGTTCAGCTGTCGCGCAATCGACAGTATACGCGTGTGAGTGTGCTCCCTCTCGGTGTGGTATTCTCCTCAACTGCGATTAATGCTCACAAAATGACCCATGGGGCCAAAGACTCTGCTGGGGCCACTGTTTGTTGCTTCTTACTGTGCCTGAGAATAATAATATTGTGTCTTGATAGATTGGCGACGCCTACAGTCAAAGTAAAGAAAAACGGCCACAGTCAAAAGGTTTGCTGCTGCGCAAAAGAGGATGACGTCAGTCGTCAGTGCATTTGTACAGTCGCTGCATCGATAAATGCTGCGGCGAACGGTCTCTGTCGTAAACGGTTTCGGTCGTCAAAGTTTCGGTTTTTCGGTTTTTGAGAAAAGAGGTTACAGTACAAGTTATACTGTTAATTCAGAACGTATCCGATCGAAGACGGACGTCTCCCTCGCCACTGGTCAGCCCAGTCTGTGCTGCTTGCTACCAAGCGCTGCAGTTGCCTGGACTGTGAAGTTCAGATTCAGACACCAGCTTCTATGTACGTTTTCACACATAACATAATGCATTTTGCACAATAACTAGATATGGGCGACTTCCTATACGTTAAATTTTTCGGGACATTTTTCTTTTACTTGTATCCGCAGTATCCCGCCGTATCCCACAGTATCCTCTACGCATCCTTCATGTATCCTCGCAAGTGTTTTAATTTTGTATTCATCTGCTGAATACAACTATGGGGGTTGCCATGTATTACCCCATAGGTGCATTAATACAAGTATTCGTCACTAATGTTTTGCAATTCTGGGACGGTAGTGCAACGGCAACTTCTAAGCTGCCATTAGTAGACCGGGTTACACACCCGTACTACGGTGAAAGGAGGTTTGATGGTTTGTCGGCGATCGCCGTCGGTCCACCGGTAACCTTACCAGTTTGAGGAATTACCCAAAAAAATAATAATTTTGCAACAATCTTCCAGGCTTACACACATATGTACTGAGCTGAAATGTCGTCATGGAAGACCAAGGGCAAAAGCAAGAGCAACGATGATTTCGGAAGATTCAGACTTTTTCAAAAGTCTGGAAAATACAGGCTAAAACAAGGCAATTCGTACAAGTACCCGATCAGACGTTTCCATTTTCAGAGAACGTCAAGCCTTTTGTACTAACTTGACGTATACAAATCTTTTGACTACTGAATGCGGTAAAGCGATACAAGAAAAGTTCTTGGGAGTGTGCGAAAGTGAAGGTCTTCGTGCATACATCTGTACACAAATTTTTGTGTGATATGTACCGGCTCATGATCATTTATCTTAACAGACCCGACTGGCGGACAGTTTTGCCGGCTTACAAGCAAACTTATGTTCTCATTACACTCATTACACTAGAATTTCTAACCAATGGCCTTCCAGTTATATGTAAATAACTTGGTTAAATTTTTTTCTACGCCAAACCAAACCGTGCGCATATACATAAACCTTGTCAGTTGAAGCGGTAGCCATAATTCATTGAATTTCAGTACAGAGTGCAGAGGTTGTTCTGCATGATTGCAACGGCTGGGTTAAAATTTTCGCTTTTGCCCAAGGTGAGAAAAACGTGGGCGGCATTATGCAGTTCAATATTATAAATTAAACAGTCCTACATTTGCGGGATCATCCCTTTCTTGCATGTGCATCATCCGTCTTTTTACCAGTTCGTCGAATTCATGTAACGTTTTTCGATTAAAAAGTAAAACGATTTTCTGCGAACAACCGAACGAACCCGGCTGATCATTTCTATTTTGCATGAAATTGCTTTGGTAGGTTTCGGCTGTCAGAAGCCTGTATGCATTGAATGTTATAAAATCGTAAATACGTAATGGTCAAATATGTAATGGTGCGGCTTTCTGGGAATTCTTTCTCTGAGGATGCATGTAGATCATTCTTTCCAGGTGATTGTTTGAAATATGAGGCATGGTTACAACCTTACAGCGAATAAAAAAGCACCGCTTCTATTTTACCTCGGATCTAGAAATCCTATGTGAGCACAGTTATTAGGTTTTGCAAAGGGATGGTTCGCTAAATTGTAGTGTATTTATGATACTTCGTACTGGCATACCTACCCTCGACAAACTTTCCCGTACATAGCTAGTGGAACAAAATACAGATCTTCCTAAAATGGCAGGTCCAGACCCCAAACGCAGCGCGTTACTTCTAAACGCTTTTATCGCAGAAATAGTTAGACAACTTAACAAGAAACTAATGTCACTCTAATTTAATTGCATCAGATCAAAGGTCACGCGTATCTCGGGGTTAATTTAAATATTCCAAATTTCCGCTTGAGCAACGGGAAGCGGAGTCGTTTAGTATTCAAGCTCGAAATCCGGACTGGATTTATTTTGTGCGACCAAGGTCAGCACTAGCACGCATATCAAAATGCTTGCGGTCATTAAAAATAAAATGATCCCAATTTAAACACCGAAAAAATAGGCAATTTGGTTTGTTGACCTTAGGATGCGTGTGCAGTGCTCTGGACTTGATTATTATCCTTTCGTTTCCACAGTCGAAGTGCATAATGTCGCACGTTGCCGAAGGTCAGACAGAAAAACAGCGGATCCAGGATCGGCTGCAGGTTATACAGACTCGACGTGACTTGCAATACGACGGGTCCCATTCGTACAGATGGGTAATTGCTGAGGATAGTATAGTAACACATACTCGGCAGCCAGCACACCAGGGTACTGCATGTGTACAATGTCAGCAGTGTGAAGGAACGGTTGAAAGTTGCCTGCTTAGCTGTAACAGTACCCGGTCGTGTTTGCCGTCGCAATAACATTTTCCACAGTAAGAACGGATATGCGACGTAAATAACCACAGTAGGTACATCGAACATCCAAATACTCGTGAATTCGGTCAGTGCAAACTGTCTGGCGAGATTCAGTCGGCAGCCTTGCTCCAGCGGAAGGCGATAGTATACGTGATCCAATATCACTTGCGGCAACAAGAACACATGCGCGTAAACCGCCACCGCGCCGCATAATATGCCGGCGACAGCGTGGTTATGCCGAGCACGGTAGGAGATGGGCCCGAAGAGTGCCCAGGCGCGATTCAGCGTGATCAGCAGATGGTAGTGATAAATCATGGGGACGACGACATATAAGAAATACATGCGAACGGTGCAATGAAAACTGCCTAGCCAGTAAGTCCCATATGCGTCCGCGATTATGATAAGTGTCGAGTTCACACAGGCATACGCCAAATTGCTACACATTAGGGCTACAACGTACATGTTGAAAGGTGTGCGCAGTGAGGTCTTCGATAGCGTTAAGAGCAGCGCCAAAGAATTGAACATTATGGTTAGTATCTCGATGCTAATGCGACTGACTGATACCGACTGCTCAAATGTTGTGATGTTCGGCCGGGAGAAGGATAGCGTAGTGTTGACGAAGGGCACCGAGAAAGCGGATAGATTTTGCGTTGTTGTCGTGTTTGAATCCATAAGGAGTGATGGCCAAATGTCTGTTACTGAGCTGGCCAATGAAGCTTCCTGGACTTGTGACGGCTAATACAAAAGCGATCCGCAAAAAAACCTAAGGATCAGCGCGGTGCCATACGACGGTGAAGCACATCAATCACATAATATAAGGAGGCGAATGAAACGGTCCTTTTTAAGCTACGGATGGTGCCCAACCGAGCTAACGCAGACATGGTCAAATTGAATTCAACAGTTCAGTTCCAGATCGCCGGAGATAAGCAGCAAGATGCCAGTAGTATCTCACACAGCCTTTTTCGTAAAGTAACAGACCCTCAATCAGATAACTTTTTAGCTCTTCTCTCGGATGTATCAGAATCCTGTCAGAAATAACGATATTCTTCAGTACAGTGAGAGCCGCGCTGCACAACGGCAGTTGCTGGGTTACGTTGTCGCCTTTACAACTGAGAGAAAAGGTGGGCGGCATTGTATTCTGCAGCGCTATAAATTTACTGCCCTACGGCTGCGGGATGATCTACATACTTTCTTGCGTCGGCGTCACCATCACCATCCTTCCATTCTTTTATCAATATCTCATTAATTTCGGTAAATTTCAAAAACATGGTCCATTAAATTTGAAACGTTTTCTGCGATCTGTGCAGGGAACCAGGTTTATGATTTCCATTGCGTTCAACATATGATTTCCCAGATTTCGGCAGCCAGGAACCCACGTCATAATGTCGTAATGGAGATCTTGCATTCATGTATACTTTACGAGTACCTAAAACAGCTGCTGCACAGCTAATATATTGAGTCAGGTAAAAACCGCAACAGGATCGACTGGTGCAGAGAAGCAGGTTATTCGATGGTACGATGGGTCATGTGTGTTCGGCCTGCATACTATGGAATAATTTCCGGTTGAGAAATAAAACTGAATACTCAACTGAGTTTTCAAGTTGGTTTCTCCACCGGACGTTGCTGTGCTCCATTATTTCTTGCAAGAAATGCCCTATCAAGGTTCATGTATCGAAATTCGAAAACCAAATAACGGAATCCACTGTGCGACGGATTACCTAATTTTTGAGACACTGTAATACGAATCGTTGAAGGTTGCGCTGCGAATTGCCGTATTTTGACAGAAGAACACTGAAAATAAGAAAACTGAAATAAGCAACAAAAAATCAGTGATGACCTACCGGCGTCGCAGTCCCACCGAGACAGGTTGGCCAGTAATGACTATTTGCTTATTTTGAGGAAAGATAACGAATCGCTGCGGTTTCACCGGCGAAAATACTTTTTCGGTGATATACAGAATAGTTTTTCGACCCGGTACATGGTGTCAAAAATGGTATATATACACTAAAATTTTTGTTTTCGCACACTCCGAATCACGTTTGTAACACTTTATGTCGTTCTAAAGCAAATTTTGTTATACGTACACTGTTATACGTGCACTGTTATACGTAAATTGTTCTGCAAACCGTTTGAGCGCGCATCATCCGGTTGCCGAAATATGGCGAATTAAAATGGGCGAAAAGTTTAAATGCGTTGTTGTACAAACCATTTAGCTTTAGAATGACATAAAAACCCGATTCGGAGTGCGCGAAAGCGAAAGTTTTAGCGTGATATAATAAATCATGTAATATTTAAACAGTGTGATATTAAAACGGTTCATGTAATATTTAAGCAATGAGGCGTGGCGCGCCGTGATATGGACGACTTGGAGGTTGGTGTAACCCATAAAATTAAATATGCATTCTTCGCTTCTTTATTCGACCGCAACTTTTCGACAAACTTGTACACATACCGCATGGGGAGAACTAAGGAGGATCCCTAGTTCTTCTCCGATGCGTAAACAAACAATATTGGTAATCGGCATCGTATACACATACGTCCATGCTTTACGTTCTATTTCCTTGTGAACCAACTCTGCTGCGCAGCTCGTGCCAACGCAGGATATATTATGGATAGATAGTCCATCCAGTTTAAAATTTCTGTTCAAAAACAAGCGTGCATCGGTACAATTGTTTTGGCTAATGTAGTACGCACTTCCGGATTGTCCATTGCCGCTTTCCTTCATCTAGGTAATACGAGTTCGGTTTCACACCTATCGCAACCAAATGTCATCCGACGTGCCCGTTGGCGGTGTTAACAAGAACAAGTACAGTATCTACGAGCTTGTCGAGAAATTATGGGCGCACAAATACAGCGAAGAATGCACGTTTATGGGTTACGCTAAGTGCTAACATCCATACCATGCATGGCGCCCCATGCCACATTGTTTACGCGTTACATGAATAAATTATGGCTGGAGCACATAGTCAGATCTTTGTACAGTACATCCATATTTTTAAATTTTTTTTTGTTGTTTTTACTCGTAATACACTTACTGCAGAAGTAGAATTTAATATTGCAGGTACTGCATTAAAATATTAATTTTATTATTGCGAAAACTGGAGTACTAGTGCTGTGGCCATCGTCACATGCCCATATTGCCCTCAGGGGGCACTTCCTGTAAGCACATTTACGCCCTCCGTTTCTCGACATGATTATACAGAAATGGCAAAAATAAGTGTTAATTGGGGCTAGTATGTGCCTAATACTGATAACGGTACTCGTACTCATATCCTATTCCTAATTCAGAATTCATACTCATATTGGCTCTCATCATAATCACATTCATACTTTCGTTAGTACCGTACGTTTACCAATTAAATGCGCAATAAATGGCTCACCATGCCAGATGCTGCTGTTGTATTTACACGGCTACCATGCTAGAATTCCTTTCAGTATCGAGCATTAGCGTAACGCTAGGATACATCAGTGTACTACTTATTTTGCGGTTCGGGCGTGTCCGTTACAGTGTTCTATGACCAACGCTGGGAGGCGGCTGTGCATTCACTTTGGCGTACCACCGGTAGCCACGTCGCGTACACCTGAATCAGAGGCCCGATGCAGTAACGCAGTACAGCTACAGTACTGTTAAAACAATGATAATTTCGATAAAGCAGCCAAGGTCGCAGTCTGCTCGTTAATAACGCTTAAGTTTTGCCGTTTAATTTGGAAAAACAATCGACGAACATGGGCATTTAATTACGCGTTACGCAAGCGTCCGGTCAATGCACAAGTTAACTGGTAAAAACATCTGTCGAATATTAGCGGATACCCGATCAATTATGATTTATATTACCAATACACGAACGCCGTAAATCACCAACAAAACACCGGCTATAACCGCGTTGCATGATTCACGCCGATTATCAGCCCACGCGATCGCTTTAAACTGAGAAAATGAACAAAAAACTTTCGAAATCCACCCATACGGCATTTTTTTACGATCTGCAACTGCTAATTTTTAAAGTGCAGGAAGCGCCATAAAAATTAGCATTGCCGTATATATACATTATACATATATATAACAATATACAATAATTCCGTGTATCCATACGTCAACGCGGAGGATTAATGTGACCCTGTTAAAAATGTCGCCGAATGTTTTGTTCATTTTTTTCCTGGTACCCTGTATAACGGCGCAGTATGCCGTCCCCGCGGGAGGAGGGCCCGGACTAAGCACATACGGCGGTATTCCGTTGAACGCGCAGACCCTGATCGGTTACCTGGTACAAGTGGGGTATGACCGCGCCGCCTTCGTCCCGGTGATCAACAAGAACTTCCCCAACAACGCCCACGAGGTCATCGCGCAGTATCTTTACAGTCCCAAGCCGTATCCGCCCACCGCCGTGGATTATAAGCCCCCCGTGGCCATTACCGGCGTCCTGCCGTACGTGCCCGTCGCCGTGTCCGGTTCCGGCACCGGGACGCCCGGTGGCGCGTCCGGAGTTTACAATGGCGGTTATGTCTCTTTGGTGTAATGATTTGTACGTGGTCAAAACGGAGATATTAGTTGATGGACATTTATCATTCATTTTTTTTTGTATAAACGCACTACTATTTTCCGTCCTGTCCAACTGGTTACACTGACCATTTGCTGCACAGTTATTTATGCGCAGCTGTGACTGTGAGTATATGTCTGTTGACGGATTGTTGAGATTATTAAATAAATGACTGAAGAGCAACATTAAGCAGCTGTAAACTAAAACAACGGTTTAACACCAAAAATACTAATAGAATTGGGAAGGAGATTAGGGGTTCATTCAGGAGGAGCCCGCTCACATGAATATCTACCACAGCGTTTGTCTCTAGAGACGGTTTAATGAGCTCTTGTTTTTCTAATTGCTTTTGTTTAACACGGGTTGTCGTAATGGTTTGAAATAAAATACTGCCACTATATTACGTATGTGCTGTACAGGTACTTATCTTTTACGAACATTTGAGAAGGTTTATGTTACAGTTATGTTACAATAATGCATGTACAGTACATGTACTGTATATTCACTGTTCATTATCACATATAACAGTACTCTTTTATCCTCTATTGCCAAAACGAACGGAAGTAATTACTGGAAATTAATTTGTATTATTACATTAATTTTGTGTGCGTGTATACGCACATGTCGCCGCTTTGCATTATTAACTTTATTACGCGTGTAATAAATTACTAATGCAAAGCGGCGTCAATGTACAGTACTCGTACAACTATGAGTAGCATTTTTCCGCATACATTAACACTGCTACCGTTTTTGTATATTCGCCAATTTAATTATTAGATCTTTCCTATCGAAAAATGCCGAAATGCGGTACTTACCGCAAATGTCGCACATAAGCGTAAATTATGAACACAGCTTGTGTATTTATATGTTATTTATTGTTTGTCGTCGATTAACCTATCGGTTACCGGTAGCGAATACATGTACAATACGGTGCTATACAATATTATATTGTATATGTAAAGAGTACCGGTAGAATACGGACAATACTGAATCTAAAAATTACGTCATTTGTGCGCGGCAATGTTTTGTCCCTCAAATACGTCGTGATAATAATAAATTTGTAAATATGTTTTTTTTGGTTCACAACCGCACATTTCTTAATCCCACAGAGCCATAAAGAGGACATCATTAGTAGTCAGCATCAACTAAACCACGCGATCTAAGCACAGAGAACATCTGATCTAAATCTGCCCCAATCAGTCCCGTTCCCAGGATAGATGCCGCATTGCCGGGTGGGATTCCGATGCTGATCGGCTGGCGTCCCGTGGCCCGCTTTCCACCGGTTTCCTGGCGTATCTTTTCTTCCTGGTGAATCCTATAATGAATTAGGATTAAATAAATTAGCATGGGATAACAGTTGTCACAATACGCAGTACCAGATCAGCGGGACCGAGTCGAAAACCCTTATACATTTAGTTTCCACATTTGTTTATATATCGAAAATTGTGAGTTTATCTACTGAATATTGTTTTACTATTTCGTTTTCCTAGTGTAGTTACAATATTTATTTTGGCAACGCATATTCTGTATTATCTGATTACTCAGTATTTAATTACAAATGTACATATGTATTTAAGCATTTAATTTTGTTTTTATTAATATGTTATTACGATCTATTCTACGAGAATGACGACAAATTCAACTGTATTTGTTAGTTCAGCAAAAAAAACACACACACACACACACTGCAGTTAAAACATAGGAAACAGTATAGTGAGACAGCCACTCGGTCGCGCATGTAAGTGGATCGAATTACGAAAGAAACTATATTATGCCGTTAGGAACAAATTACTCTGCCAGTAAGCTACTTTAAGCGATGACATGTGTCGACACCGATAAGGAAAACTAGGTAATCCCGACCAAGAAACTGCAATTTCATATTGAAAAAACAACAACAACAAAATTCCCATTTCTTATATAATCCCCGTTGCGGCATCCGCCTACCAGTCGTGCAGCATGGAGACGCCGGCGATGACGTCGGCCGGACGGCGTTTATGCACGAGGAAGACGCCCTGCAGCTGCGCCATGGTGACGCGGCGTCCGTCCGGATGCTCGAAGACGGCGCGGACGAACTGCTGCACCTCCTCCGCGGTGCAGGCCGGGTAGAAGCGGCGCAGCATCATCTCCACTTGGTACTCGCTGGCGAAGTCGAACAGCTGACGGCGGTCGATGCGGCCGGGACGAATCAGTGCCGAATCCAGTCTGCACCGTTTAAGCAATGCCATCAGATGTTGTACAAAATACAAATACACTTCTGTTCCGTTAACAACAAGATAAATCTCTACATAAATCATAAAAATTCCAAGCAGTTTAAATACCATGGCAAAACGGCGGTGTACATGTTCTAATAAAAATATGTCCAATATAGCCACATGATACCTCCTTTAAAAACAGGAATTGTGAAATTACGAGGAAAACGAAAGCCCACTTAAACTGCGTGCGCGTACGTGGCAAAAAAAAAACATTTATCCAAAACACATCAAACACTAAAATTAAATAAGCATAAATTCAATTAATATTCATATATATGCATTAATCAGGAAATATATTTTAGTCGTGCAACTATCGATCTGACTCCTGCAGATAAATAATAAACCATGGGTGGCCAAAGAGGAGTGTTAGTTGCTGAAAACATTTTAATCTTGATCACCAGATTTAACCCCGTTACCCGAATAATTATTTACTAATATTCAAACATAAATATCAGTTATTTAGTAGGTAATTTTGCGGAATTTAGATGACGAAATAGAGAGAAAAAAACGGAAATAAGGACCTAGAATGCGCGCATGTACACTGTACAGCAATAACGGGATGATTTTCCAATACTTCTGAAGTAGCGATAAACTGGTTACCGTTCAATGTAGTTGGTGGTCATGAAGATAATCCGTCCTTCCGCCGAACCCACCCCGTCCACCGCGTTCAGCAGCCCACTGAACGTCAGCATCCGGCCGGCCGATCGAATCTTAGCGGCGGCGGGAATCTTCTTCTCCTCCTCGACACTGGCCGCCCGATCCCCGAATGCCGCGTCCACATCCTCCAACAGGATCACCGCGTTCTCCGGCGCCGAGTACATCAGCCGCAGCAGCTGCTCATCCGTCATCTGGGCGTCACTCAGGTTCAGCGTGCAGATGGACAGATCAAAGTGGCCGGCCAGCGCCGTGATGAAGCTAGTCTTGCCGGTGCCGGGCGGGCCGTAGAAGAGGTAGCCGCGGCGGTAGGGGACGCCGTACTTCGTGTACCATTCCGCCGTGTCGAAGAACTCCTGCAGCTCCTCCGTGATGGCCTCGACCACGCCGGCGTTGAGGATGATGGAGTCCAGGGGGCGCTTGCAGCGGCCGTTGACGTTGGTGGGCATCCACACGCCGTGGCTGACGGTGTACAGGTAGGTGCGGGCCTGGCGTTTGGCGCGCTGGTACTCCTTGACGGTGGCCAGGATGTGCCGGAAGATGGCCGTGGTGGTGCCCTGGGTGGAGAGGACCAGGCTCTCCTGCGGCTTCTGCCCGGTGAAGGCGTCCATCTGGCTTTCCTGGCGCCGGCGCTCCAAGGTCATCTTCTTTCCTTGATACCTGTATAATCGACAGCAATTACAGGCTTTCCAGCTAAAGTCAGACATCCAGGAATTAAGAGCAGCGTTAAATTAACGTCGCCCGAGTAGTTGTGATTAGTAGTTCAGAACTGAATTCTAATTAAGAAACAGCCGTTTTCAAATTTTAATTTGAAACTGAGTTGTTCCTTAAATCAATTTTTTTTTAAATTTTACTTTGAATTATTTCAGTAGTACTTATAACATTAAAACTGAGTTATTCTTTAAAACTATTTTTTTAAAATTTTACTTTGAATTATTTCAGCAGTAAAACAGCAATTTTCAAATCACATATTGAGTAGCGATTTAATTAAATTTAAATTTATAGTTTCTTGAATTCTAAAATTAATTTTTTAACAAATTTATCATAATTACAGATACATACAGATACAGATACGAGGGGAATTAACAACAAATATTTAATCAGTCAATCAAATTGCATCAATATCAGTCTGTTTATCCGTTAATGTATAGTTGTACACTATCTTTCAGCAAAATCAGATTCCAGGTTTTTAAAAAAAATAAATTATGTAAAATGCGCTGACAGTGCAGGGCTGTCTGACCGCTCGCTGTTGCGAGTCTAGACTGATTTAATCAGCACAGGCAGTGAGTTGACGTCACATTTTCATGCGAAACTACGCTGGAAAACTCGAAATCAATATTTATTCCTCAGTACATTTAATTTGATTCTAAACAATATTCGATAAACAATATATTAAGTATCAAAAAATTCTAAAATATTCTAAATTAACACACTGTATAGCACTACGTACGTGAGGTATGCTCCAGCTGTCTTACCGGAATCGATGTACGCCGACACTGGGCACGAACTCATGGGCCGTGTCCCAGCGGCCCTTACTGGCCTGGCGATAGTCGCTCTGCAGACTGACATGCCGCGGCTGCAGCACCTTGCTGTTGATCCAGTCCAGCATCTGCGCGTACACGGGATCATGGCCGGACACCTCCAGGGACGTGGCGAAGTAGCTGCTGTACAGCGTCCAGGCGGAGTTCCACAGCTGCTGCAGCGCCGCCACCAGGGCCCCGGCGCCGACGATCCCGAAGGTGGTGCCCAGGATGCTGTTGTGGCCGAAGAGATGGCCGAAGTAGTCGCTGATGCGGATGTTGAAGAGGTAGGCCAGCAGGCGCTCAAAATACGGGAAGAGGACGGTCAGCAGACCGGCCAATCCCAGACCGCCGCTCAGATTCATCCCCGTACCCGGAAGGCCCATCAGGCTCAGCACCATGATGGAGAAATTCCCGAAAAAAACACTGATGCAATGTAGGAAGGAGCGTCCAAATTTTGGCGATATCAGAATGGTCAAAATGCCTACTAAGTATGAGGAAATAAAATCAATACAACTGGAAGCTGGCGATTTTCACGATCTGATTCGTGATTGAACAGGAAGGGCCACAAAATGTTATTGGCACTGGTGTTCAAGCCACAGTTCTGAATCCGACTCAATCGATCTGATATGTGAGTCGTGAAGCTGACTCAGTCAGTTTCAACGTTCTGATCAGTGAGTTGTGAGGCGATCAAGCAAACGGTGACGCAGCCACTCAGCCCTTAAAGAGCCTCGGCGCGCTCCGCTCCACTCAGTTCGTTGGCCTCGGTTTCTCGATAAAATTTCTGTGTTGCACTGTTGCTGTTTATCGGGCATTTGAAATTTCTCACTTTGTCTTTTCCTTTCTTTGTTTTGTAGTCTCATGACCCGACGGAAATTTATATTTTCCAGTTTTCCTACGGTGTAATAAATTGCTAAAAGTTTTGTAGCGGGAACGGGAGATTATTGTACATATCACAATAAGGGACTTCTACGATCTGCGTGGTTTTTGCAGGGACTGTCGCGGGTCCCGAGATTACAGTTGCAAACTGTCAGTATTAGAACAACCTTGAAATTACTTATTTCAGTATTCTGTTTTATTGAATAATCATGGCTGGCCAACAACCCTCATCGGCACAGAGTTATATTGGATGTAAAATCAGTCTGGTGTCCAAATCGGATATTCGCTATGAAGGCACGCTGATCGATTTGAACGAAGGATCCATTTCCCTTGGCGGAGGTAAGGAGCGCCGTTATCTGCAAATTCCATCTTTCCATTGGCTATCAACCTCGGTTATTAAGGTTTTTCAAATTTTGAAATTCGTATTTCGCTATTTTGAATGCATGATATGTTGGGAATTCCTTTTGCATCAATTGACCAAATCACAGAGAAAATAATGTAAGAAAGAATTATTAATATTTCAAGTAGCTGGTTAAATACGGCGCATCTGATTAGATTAGTGTACCCGTGCATGGTAAACGTGGTGCCTGTTACAAGTGGTAGCTGTAAACAGCTGCATGCGTGAACTTGACATTCTAATTTCTTGACTTTTCCTGGAAGTGACGAAGCGATTGAGCCCGTTGTTCTTTGCTTTATCCTCAGTTCCATCTGTGCATAAGGGAATTTCTTGGGAATAAATTATTCTAATTTAAATCGCATCGAAATTCGACAATATAGTTCGATTCGACAATATAGTTAATTTTACTCGAAAATTTCAGCAATTTCCGCCTGGTTTATTTTCTAAATTAATTTTCGTCATTTTTTTCCTGTGTAGTTCGCTCATTTGGAACGGAGGATCGGCGTGCTGATCAGTTTGTCCCGCCGCGCAACGATGTCTACGAGTATGTTGTATTCAAAACGTCCGACATTAAGGATCTCTTCGTGTCCAGTGCGCCGCGCCAGCACGAAATGGGCCACGATCCGGCCATCCTCGAGGTACGTTAAATTCGTTAAAAATTCCAGTTTTCTCTAAACTACTCACCGTAATTTATGCCTTAAAATATTTATCCCTGCGGCAAAATATTTAGCCATGAATTTTATTCAGAAATTTCTCCGTCTAAGTATTCAGTCCGGATCGTAACTTGCGTAAACAAATCTGTGTTTATTCGAATTTTCTTGGGTATTTTTTCTGGATTTTTGTTTGGCATTTTGTTTAGGCAAATTATTGGCTTTTTTAATTCTAACCACTGCGGAATAACATATGTAGAAATTATGAATTTAGATGATAAAATTTTATGTGCGGCGGAAGGTGCGATCTGAATTTTACTGCAAACTTCGGCGTTTGTTCGGATTTTTTGGGTGTTTTTTCTGGATTTTTCTGTGGCATTCTTTTTTCACCAATAACTGGCCTGTAAAATTCTTACCATTGCGTAATAACGTATATATAAATTATGAATTTCGATTATAAAAGTTTTTGTGTGGCGTAAATCGCGTTCTGGAGTTTGATTGGCAGCTGCGGTGTTTATATTCGGATGTTTTTGGTTGTTTTTATTGAATTTTAATTGTGGCGCTGTCCAGGTGAAAGGCAGCATCAACACGGCGCCCCTGCCCGGCACAGCCGCTCCCAGTCAGCCGGCCTACGCGGCCCTGGGTCATGCCCAGCCGCTGCTGGGATTCCAGCCATCGCCCGTCACATCCCAACCGACTATCAACACGCCACTGTCTTTGCCACCATCAGGTACTTGATTTCTTTTACTACAAGCATTTAGAATTATCGTGTTATTCTATAAAATCTTTCACGGGAGCGGACTAGCGTTCGTTTAGCAGTACGGAGTTAATACAAATTTTGTAACGTATTTTAAATCCGTATAATACCTACCTGTGTACTCTGCTGACAAAAATCAAATTGAAACGGCGTAAATCGTGCGCATCCGCTTGATTATGCCATTTTATTCACAGTTTTTTACGTTTGGAATTTTTTTCGATTTTGTATCTTGCACAGCGATTCGAAAAGATTCTGCATGTCTTTGAAATTCGGAATAATTTAGTAGGAAAAACATTTCACCACGTACCCTGGATAGAAATGTGCAGGATATGATTTTGCTTTGAAATGTTAGTAAAAATAATTTGTAAATTTATTCGTCGGATTTTCTCGGAATTATTATTATGATACTCGGGTAACAGTATTGATTTATCGGTTATTGCATTATGATTATCGCAGTATTATTATTGATTTATTGGCTGTTTAATGTGGATGATGTTTGATACGAGGCGTCGGTAGCATTTAATTCCGTTATTTTCTAACATCGGTCAAAGTTATGCTGGACCTTCTGCAGGCGGCAGCGCACCTCCGCTGGTGTCGCACGCCCCGCCCCACTTCGCCGCAGCCCCCGTGGCCGCCGCCGAGCTGCCCAGTCGTTCGGCCGGCCTGCCGTCGGCCAGCAGCACCGCCGCGCAGGCCCGTGAAGCCATGTACAGTGATCCATTCGCGTTGAATCCGCAGCAGTACATTGCCGTCAATCAGCAGCGCCGCGAGGAGCGCCAGCAGGATCGCGAACCCGGCGGCTACCAGGGCGAGACGCGCACCTTCAACCGCGGCGGCCGGGGCGGTGGTTACGAGAACCGTCGCGGCGGGGGACATGGATACGGAGGCCGTGGGGGTGGACAGACGGCTGGATACGCGCGTGGTGGAGGTGGCGGGGCGCAGGGACCTTCCCGGGGTGGGTATCCGGGGTATGGAGGACGTGGTGGCGGTGCTGGAGGGTATAACCAGGGCGGTGGCTACCAGTCAGGTATGTGGATGCGCTGGGTTTACCATAATTGCTGTTTGCTATCCCGAGTTCCAGTGAATTTTCTGCTAATATTTCCTCTTTTAAAATTAATTTGATTTTCTTGGTAATTTTTCTTTGTTTAATTCAGTAGTTTGTTTCCTAAGTGGTTTTAATTTTGCTTAAAAACATACCGCAGTTTTCTTTAATAATTTTTTCCATGATAATTTTTCTTCCTCGGATGTTATTTTAATTTGTTTTGGTTTTTTAAAAAGATTTTATATTTCGTGCCATATGTCAGTGCCTCGGTGTGTATGTTTTCCTTCTTTTGTATGTTTTGTCTTTCTTTTTCCAGACTTTTATGTCATTTTGCGATTTATTTTCTCTTCTGAATTTAATTAATGGGTGACGATTTAATGTTCTGTCCGGTCGATCAATATTTTCTTATATAAAAAATGTGAAATACTGCATGTATACTTCGTATGGTACTAAAATGCTTTGAAAGCTATGGATTTCGTATTCTGTGGAAAGCACGCATTTAACAAGTGGAGCTAGACTAGCAAACGCGGTTATTGCTTTACATTTTGAAGGATAAAGGCTGGAGGTTGTTTTAAAGGCGCCAGAAACCGCTGAATAATATTGTCTCATTTTTGTAATTTTTGATGAACTGGATTTCCTTGTACAGGTGGTTTGCGCAATGAATACCAGAGTGTGCATCTGGCCGCCGGGCACCAGGGCGGGGAGCGGCAGCAGCAGGCGCACCGCGGCCCGCCGCAGCAGTCCGGGACAGCGCCGCGGAATCTGCCCGAGTTCGACTTCGATTCGGCCAACATGGCGTTCCAGCAGATTGAGGAGCAGATGCGGCATGTCAGCGTTAACGGTATGAAAATTTTCCAACAATTCTGTGTTGTCGCAGAGCAGATGTAAAGATGATAAACATCTGATAGAATATTATTGTAAGTGTGTTGTATGTGTATTTATACAGTATTTATGCAGTATATTTTGCAATATTTATGCAGTATTTATACAATGTTTATTCAGTATTTTTTTTATGTTATTCGATCTTTGAAATGCTCTTTTGTGAGTGATGTTCGTCGTCATTGATAGACGCGTATACTGAGAATAAGGACAGTAAATTTTGAGATAAGAAATAGTTTCTGACACAGGTATTACCCACCGTAGGCAATTATGCCATTCGCTGAATTCGGTAAACGTGATGAATATAGGGTTGCGTTGAATCTGTAGCGATAATGTACAGTAATCGGAAATATAATTAAAAACATCTAGAATGTTATTCGATTAATTTTAAAATGACTTCCCCCGACAGATACGGCGGAGGGCAGTGAGACGGATGAAAACCACCACGAGGAGCCGGTGCAGGATGAGAACAAGGACGCCAAGGCCAGCTACGATCCGGCCAATTTCTTTGATAACATCAGTTGTGACGCGCTGGAGAAGAGCAAAGGGTACGGCGATATCGGCTACGCGCGTATCGTTTACTTATGGATTTATTATTTTTCCCAACGCTTGTGTGTAATTGTGTTGGTGTGGACAAAAATGCTGGTGTAGGGATAAGAGTGGCGTAGTTCAGTGGCATGATCGCTTGTACCGTTGTACGTGATTGCTCCACAGCAGCATACATACTTTCGAAATGTTTTCCGTACGGAATGATATAAGTAATTAATTTTTTTTAAAAATTTGTTAGGACAATTTCCGCATCATTTTAAACAATTTTGGAATTTTACTTTTAAGCCGAATATATGTTTCTTTACCATATTAATCGGCTGTTCTGGTGTGATTATTAATTGAATAAGTGTGGTTTCGTAATTGAAGCGTCGGTAATTGTATAAATTGTTTTTAATGAGGTGAATACAGACAGTTACTGTTGCGAATCGGAGAATAGTAATAATAAATAAATTATAATAAATTAAATAACATGTTCGCGAATAATTAGGAAATTTATCGTATTCCTTCGCGCAGGCCCAATCGTACGGATTGGCGCCGTGAGCGGCAGGTGAACGCGGAGACCTTCGGGCTGTCCGGACCGAATTCGCGCGTGTACGAGAACCAGAACCACCGCGGACGGGGCGGCGGCGGTGGTGGGTACGGCCGCGGCGGCATGGGTGGTGGTTATCGTGGTGGGCGTGGCGGATACGGCGGCGGAGGGTACTCCGAAGGCGGGTATGGACAGCGCGGCGGCTACGGGTATCAGCGGGGTGGCCGCGGTGGCGGGCAGCGCTACAACGGCTATCATGCACGCGGCGGCGGTGCGGCCTACTCGCAGGCTTGAGCGGGTAAGATTTCGCTGTAAATTAAGTAACTATTTTTAGTTTTGTTAAAAATATTTGATTATTTCAATTTTTATACAAAGGAATTGATTATTTTCAAGTTCGTAAGGATTAATTCCTTACTTCGGTTATTAATAATAAATGAATTATTTTCGGTTTTTTTAGAATTAGATGTGCTGTATCTGGGCTGTTCTTGTGCGTTGTCCTTTTTCGCCTATTATAGCGCTGATTTTGAAATTCATCTATCCTTCTGTTGGTAAGAAATAATACGGTAGTATTTCGTTTTTTTTCGTATAATTATTATCTTCAGTTCGGTCGTTGTTTTTTATATTTTTTCCGAAAAGATTTATTGGGTTTGTTTTTACTTTACTGCTGCTGTTTATTTTATCGGTTTATAGAGTTTTTTGTCATTGAATTTTCCAAAATGTTGCGATGGTTTTCGTTTATCGGTGCTTTTGTCTTTGTAATGAAATCAATATGAGTACTAGTAAAAAATGAAATAATATTGAAAAATAATAATCAGGCAGTTAATATTATATAAGTTTGAATCATAAGTACTAAATCGTGTTTTATAAATACGAATCTGCATTTTAGACATGCGAATTTTACGAATACGAATTTTCAGTTTTTATTTTCTTAGGTAATTATCTGGGGCTTTTGATTTTAATAGTTTCTGTTGTTTGTTTGCAGTTTCTGCGTGGAGAGTTTCCTCACCCTGTTCCAGGACGTGGTTTTGGCTGGGATATAATGTTTGTCTTTTTTCTAATTTGCCCATGGGGTACGCCAGCCGGCTTGTGTTTGCGATTTGTGTGTTATTTTGGAGAAAATGGCGCCCCTGTGTCGCTTGCTAAGGTATTCTTTTGTTAATCTGGGGAGAAGGGACGGGACAACCGTGCGCAGACGATGCGGGAGGGATTAGCTTGTTTAATGGGGCGTTTTTTTGTTGTTTCTTACCGTGTTTACCGTTCTGGGAATCTGCTGCGGGATGAGCCAGCCGCATGGATGCAAGCGATGTGTTTAGGATTTTTGTTTTCTCTCTTATTTTAACCATTTTTGTTTGTATATGGACGTAACACAAAGAGTATGCGACAGTTGAGGCGGATGAAATAAACTGGGATAATATCAGTTATTTTGCGGTGATGAATGGAGAACAAAGTTAGAAAATCACTGCGGCATGGGCTATCCATTTCTTAAAATAATATTAAATTGTTCATGATTGTTTTAAACCAGGCCCGTCGCGAGACCCCCGTTAGTTTTTCAAAACGCTACTCCTCCCGGGGTTTTCATCGCACATTTTTTCTGAATATACCGTTGGAACCGCCGTGAAATTCTGAACAAAATGGTTGAGGCCGATTTTCGAAATTCGCTTTTCCCCAAAGTCGACCTGACGGGGCGGTCGCCAATGCGACACGCTACAATTTGGGGTTTCCCCCTTGACCACCCCAGATTAGGGGGAAACCCTCGAAAATTAAACTGTCGTACGGTCGACCTCCCTGTAACTTGGTTCTGGGGAGAAACGAATTTCGAAAATCGGTTACAACCATTTTGTTCAGAGTTTTCCGGTGAGTTTATTGATGTATTCAGAAAAAATCTAGGATGAAAACTGTTGGAGGAGTAGATTTTTGAATTTTGTAGGGGAAAACTCCCCAAAAGGAAGGTGTCGCATTGGCGACCGCCCGTGAATGTCGAATTTTGGGGACAAACGAATTTTGAAATTCGGCCTCAACCATTTTGTTCAGAATTTCACGGCGGTTCTCGCGGTATATTCAGAAAAAATGTGCGACGAAAACCCCGGGAGGAGTAGCGTTTTGAAAAACTAACGGGGGTCTCGCGACGGGCCTGTTTTAAACCAATAATAAATTGTAAATATTAACAATCTTTTTTCTATAATAAATGTGTGAACAAAACAGAAGTAGTAATATAACGACGTACATGTATGTGGAAAAAAAATAAATAAATTCGTAATAATATTCATACGCAGGTAACTAACTGTGCACTTTATACGGGGAGATAAATAATATTATTCTTTAAAGAAAAATTACATTTAATCGGTGATTTTTCATGACGTACAAATAGCCAGATTCGGAACCATGAATGACATCTGCAGTGATTTTTACATGGATTAAAAAATCGATCTTCTTACCGGAAGTATTGTGCCAGGCCGAAGTCTGTAATACTGTAAATATCGTCCATTGGATATTGCTTTCTAACAAAAAACCGGACGTCCGTACACTGGGTTTCACTGACAATGAGTAGCGTCACTGGCATTGTGGTAGCATATATGTAAACCAACCGCTGAATGCTTCATTACGTATTAACTCATACTTGCCAGTATCAAACTGTCGCTTGTCCATCGGTCAAGTGGAAAATAAAAAGAGGGTCAAATGGTCACACCAAGCATGGTCAGTACTGCTGATTGTGATGCACATATAAAGAAGCACTGGTGCCTGTCGTCCAAAACGGGGTCATTGAAAGATCCTCCTTGCCCCAGTCCATTCAACGCTGTTGGCATATTCAGGATACGATTCGGCACACTTCTCCAGCGTATTCCGGATCACAAACAGCAGTAGAACGCCGTCAGTCGTCGCGTTACTTTAATTTTAACTAGTTAGCTCGTTAAAACTTACAACCATCAACTAACTGCGGAAAGGTCACCCTGTATTCCGGACCGTGCTCACATTTCCCATTGCTTTTCGATTAACGAAATTTTTAATTTGCAAAATTTATTTATTTACGAAAATAACTGTTGCGTGTTGTTCCCGTTGGCATCATGGTGCTGACCATGTTGGGTTTGCCGGGCGGGGTCAACATTGGCGGCGGTCTGGGATTGGCCGGCTTGCTGAGCGTCCTGTTCCCGTACATTGAACGCATGATCGCCTACCTCTTCAACATCCACATCAGCGACTATCTCGGGCATATCTTCGGCGGCAACAGCGTCCTGGGCACCACCTTCGGGATCGTCAGCGCCGGGGCGCTAGTGGCGGCGCTGCAGCAGCTGTGGAACTACGGCTGGGCGCTCTATGGACGGCACTTCGGGACCTCCATCGAAATCCTCAGCAATCAAGCCATGTACGAGCAGATGCTGGAGTGGATCAATGCCAAACAGTTGCGGCCGCGACATGTCAGCCTGCGCAGCGACTACCGGCAGACGCCCGCCACCGGGCGCTGGGAGACCGTGCACCAGTTCCTGCCCAGTGTCGGGATCCATGTGTTCCGGTAAGGGTTCGGTTTGCGCCGGTTAACTGTACGATAACATATGTACTGCAATTAAATATAATAAGCATAATTTAAAAATAATCTAAAAGTAATAAACTATTTTTGAATATGTATATGTATTTTAAAAATAATTTAAAATACTATACAGGTTCAGAATATTATAAATTTCTCAATAATCTACAAAATTATTATAATAATTTATCATCCTGATCTGATTTCAAAGCAGCAAGCCGGTAGCGTCGGGCTGAAACGGTCACGGAAATAAATTTTACTGAAAAATAAAACGTCTATAAGTATGCATCAGTTAGTGATCCCATGGTCACTATTTTTTCCGTAAACCTTTCATAGGGAATTTTTTTCATCAGGCTTCCCTTATTCGTGATTCTCGCCGGGACTGCAGACTGGCAGTGTGTCATTTTGACGTCACTAACTACAGGAATTTCGCAGTGCGCCAAAAGGGGAAATGAGCATGCGCCATGTAACACGCGAAAACGGTCGCACGTGAGGCGTTCTGTAATACCACGGCCATCGGCATCGGCGCAAAATTAACGGGGCACATTACAGTTTTTTATCAGGCATGTGTCGCCCAATTGGTAGAGCTTAGTGTTCTATTAATTTTTATGTGATTGCCGCGTTAGTAAGCAGAATAATGTGCGAACTCGCGCTGTTTAAACAATGCCTAGAAAAGCACGTGTTGTTATGGGCCTACGATGACTTCTGGGCGTAGCGTGGGCGTACGGCTCCCAACCGCCACGGGGCGCCATCCTGGCGAGAATCGTCAATTGTGTGAATTTTGCGATTGCTTTCACGATCGAAGTGTACTTATTTTAATTAACAACTACAAATTTGTGAAATATATTTGCAACGCTTTTAAGAAGGATATTTTGCAACGCTTTTAATAAGACTATTTCTGGAAAATGTTTTTTTCTTTTGCCTGTCCAGTTACGAAGACCAGAAGATTACCATCGAACGCAAGCGGGAAAACAGGCTTCAGCAGCCAGAAGGATGAGAGCCTAATGCTGACCGCCAAGGGCGCAAGCACCGACATCTTCCGTCGCGTCCTGGCCGACGTGACAATGTACATCGGCAGCAAACACCAGAGCCGCACCTACCTGTACACCGTCAGCCACGGCGCCTGGGTGCACACCAACCGCACCGGCCGCCGCAAGCGCCCCCTAGACTCCATCGTCCTGCCGCAGGGCGTGGCCGAGCCATCACGCCGGAGGTGCAGGAGTTCTTCGACACGGCGGAATGGTACACGAAGTACGGCGTCCCTTACCGTCGCGGCTACCTCTTCTACGGCCCGCCCGGCACCGGCAAGACCAGCTTCATCACGGCGCTGGCCGGCCACTTTGATCTGTCTATCTGCGCGCTGAATCTGAGCGATGCACTGATGACGGATGATCAGCTACTTCGGCTAATGTACGCGGCGCCGGCGCAATCTGTCATTCTGTTGGAGGATGTGGATGCGGCGTTCGGGGACCGGGCGGCGGTGGCCCCAGCGACGACGGACAATGGGGACAAAAAGACCACGACGGCCGCAAAGACGAATAAAAATCAGACACTGAGTGGGCTGTTGAACGCGGTGGATGGGGGGGGGGGGTTCGGCGGAGGGACGGATTATCTTCATGACCACCAACTATGTCGAACGGTATGTCAGATTCTACGCTCTCATACACGACCCTAGTAAGCAGTCCATTCAAAGTAGCGCATCACAACCAGTTTATTCTTATATCAAGCGTACCTAAAAAATTGCATTGCAGCTGCATGTATGTACAATACAGATACCAGGTAACGTGATAACGTTAACGTAGCACATATCTATGTACAAATAAGCGTATGCTTTATATACACCTACATGTATATATCATCAAGTACTGTATGCCTGCAATTGTTTGGTGTGCTTCGAGGTTCGATTCTGCATTGAAACTTAAAAATTGCTTTCTGTACCAACCATTGCAGTGACATTCGTATGACGGCCTTTTTTAAAAAAAAGGCTAGGGCTGTTTTAAGTAAGTGCGTTATCTTTTAGCTGAAGGGAGGGTAGAGAATCCTGTGGTTTTTGCCATATCTAGAATTTTAACGTTAAAGTATGTCCCCGTCTGCACTTTTATAGTAACTGATGCCCATCACCTAATAAAATCACCCCTTTGTATCAATTGTGGTACAAGTACGACATTGGCTTGTATTTGCACAGACTGGACGCGGCACTGATTCGTCCCGGCCGCATCGACCGGCGTCAGCTGTTCGACTACGCCAGCGAGTACCAGGTAGAGCAGATGCTGCGCCGCTTCCACCCTGACTGCACCCACGAGGAGGTGCAGCGATTCGTCAGCGCGGTCTTTGCGGAACCCGACCGGCCAAAGGTCAGCCTGGCGCAGCTGCAGGGCTTATTCCTTCTCCACAAAAACCGCCCGGCCGATGTCCTCGCTGGTGTGTCCATGCTGCGCAGTAGCTGGTAAGCATAATTACTCGCAATATACAAAGGACGTACCAAAAGTAAGTTTCCCTATTTTGCCTCTTCCAGCGCAAATGCCTTTAGCTTTTATTATCCATGCAGATACAAATGCCGTTCACTAAGGAAAAGAAGTAAAATAAAACTTTGTCTAAGAACAATCAAATGGAGAAGAATTGCCAAAATATCCATCGACCACTTTTTCGCAGTTTGCCACGGATTTTACCAGGACAGTTTTTGCAATTTTTCTCAAACATCCTGTAAACTTTTTGTAACAATCAAAGCGTCTACAAGTTACGTATTCTTCTCTCTTCTGATCTCAATTAATAAACAAAAAAATTCACTTATACTGTTTTTCTGGGAAAATAGAAACTATCGATGACCAGGTGCAAAAAACAAAGACCGGCCTTACTTCTAGACGGTGAAAAAATCAAAATTTCATGAAAAAAATACTGGCCTTGCTGTAACTTAAAGGCCATTGGTATCTCAGATGCGCATAACTGCGCATAAAATGTTCTTTTCATTGATGCAAAGAATCTTGAATTCATAGATCCGAGAAGGCTGAACAAGACAAAATTTGGTATCGTGAGGAAGGAAATTTTTGCTCAAGCCCCTGAACTTCTCAAAAAGATCTGCTACTACAGAAATATTAAGCACACTTTTTGCAGTTAACACTTTTATTTTACGGCCAGAAACTTGACTGGAGCGGACGTGATACAAGGATGAATGGGTTTCTAAAAAGTCCGTGGAAAATCTGAAAAAGTGGTACAAGCCATTCTATTTCTCCTTTCTCCCGTTTCTCATCAAACCATTTGATTTTTAGTTTTCCTGGGTAGTTTACATAATTGCTTATGTAACAAAAAATATATCAGTTGTGTATTACTTCAGATGGCGAGGAGGCAAAATAGGGAAACTTACTTTTGGTACGTCCTTTGTAATTACAGTGCAGAGTAAATTTGAACGGACTGCATCGACTGCCATAATTCGGTTTGAAATCCACCGACCGGCATATCGAATAAGTACTCTCGAGCATGATTATTTGTTTTGCAGATTTTCCACCTCCAGACGAACCCGAAACCGCACGTTTTTGAACAATAACGCGAGCAAAATCCTCTACTTTTGACTTATAGACATGGGTTGAGATACTTAAATGATTTCTGTTTGTCTGTTCACCCGAGATAGGTACTTGACAATGTTGACATATGTGTGCGGCATCTCTGTAATAGATACCGACATCATTTGCTCTAACACAGTTTGTAATGTTTGTTTTCGTCAGGAATACCGAATCATGTTTTTAACAGCAGCGTCTAATGATCTTTTTAGAAGCTGCGCTGCCTCTGTTTATGTATACTTTATCCTTCCACCGAGCGGCACTTCCGCTCCTTGTTCAGCGATGCTTATCAAGATTCAGATCTATATTGCCACGAATGGGATACACCACAGCCGGCAAACCAGAAAAGACTGACCAAAACCAATATTATATTCTAAAAGCCCGTAGTCGAAAACCCGGCCAGATGGTATTCATTTCTTTTAAAACCTCTCCCGCTTCGAGCGCCACAGCGGAAGAGTTTTGACTACCTTCACCAAATGTAACTAAATTAATATAATAATAATTATCATCGTGGTATTTTTAACCAGGAAATGTTGCCACGTAAACCAAATAAAATATAGTTAATTTCCTTTTCGCTAATAGTGAACCAGGTAAAGGAAACGACTTTTGGGCGTTTTGAGATGCCGGTTGTATGGGAAGCGGTCACTGAGGTGCATCCCGTGCACTCAGCCTTTCTGAGTAGCAGCCCCGAATGCCCGCGGCCGGGTGTGCGGGAGCTGGCTAGCAGACCGATCCCGTGCAAGCCGAACCTCCCCAAACAACGGCCCCAAATTAATCCTTGGGATAAAGGGGTATGCCATTCAAAGGAACGTCCGTGCGAATGTACGATGCGTATGCATTCGATGTCCAGCGACCAGCACGCTGAATATCGTCAAGCGAAGTAGCGTTAGCAGCTGCGCAAGAGGCTGCTCCGATCCTAAAACTGTGCGGCGTGTATAAATGGATGTTCGGAACTCCACTTAAAATAGAAGTCAGCATGCGAACAAAAGCTGATCGGGATACAGGCAAACCGGTTGAGGAAACATACAAAGCAGTGTGCGAATATTTTAGACTTTTTCTCAGTGCTAAATAGTGTCGCAATGCCCGTACTGCGCAGACTGATCGCCCGGTGGCTAGCAGAGAAATTCGGCATCCTTCATGAAATTGGTCGCATTTCGATGATCGCAGATTAATGATCACTTACCCTCTGAACAGTGAGACATCGGATAAAAATAAAAAATGGCTGCTAGTTGTCGGGATAATTTCACCAATGCGTAAGAAACCAAAGAAGCACAGGGTAAACATGCTCCAGTAAAGTCGCCTATCATAGGATGATAGCGTCTGAGAATTAGCGATATTAAATTTAATGATTCGCATGTGGTCAATGGTGATTGGCAATCTGCGGTCTATTGTTGTACCTCGTAGACGCTTATATCCAGTTAGACATTGTCTCAGATTAAGTGAATTAGAGTCAAAAGTCGAATCACGTTCTTTAAGTAAATTAAGAACCGCTGACAAATAAACTTTCGCGGATGAGTAAGACAGACCTCTCTCGAACATATACGCAATATAACGTGAGACTGTAGACTGAGTTATACAAGAAAGGGATAAACGGAATTTTACACAAAACTCAAAGAATTTATTTATTCCACTTCGATAAGTTTTCCTCGACGAAGGCGCTATATGATTAAAGCGCAAATTGTCAACAACAATATCAAGAGATGCTAAGGATGCATGATGTGATAATTGTACAGATCTAGAAGCACACTTTCGGATACCAGTTGCGGCACGGAATCTGCATTCGGCGCTAGACTGATAAACCGCTCCATCTGAAAACGCGATAAAGCGTCAGCGATAGTATTGTTGATACCCGATATGTGCTTAATTGTCATAGTAAAATTAAGCCGTGCTGCAATGGCCACCATGCGCCGCATTAATTCCAAAACAATCCTGCTGCGTGACCTGTAGCTTTCCCAAGCTTGTGAAGCACCGAGGTTATCGCAATGAAAGATAACTTTTTTACCGACCAATTGTGCTCCCCATAATGTCAACGCGACAAGTATGGGTATCATTTCTAAGCACTCAATGGAAAGGTGTGCATCATTAATGTAAACTGGCCAGCGTAACTGAAACCAGTGACCATTAAAATAGCCCCCACACCCGCGCGTGGCTGATGCATCGGTAAACAACTGGATCGCATCACAGCGTGTCCAGTTAATTTCTAAAAACTGTGCAGTACCATTCCATTTAGGAAGAAATTCCAGCCACCAGTCAATATCTTTTTGGAAATCATCGTCGAGGTCAATCTCAAAGTCGATGGTACTCTTACTCAGAGATAAATTTGCGATTAACCGTCTTGTAAAAAGTCGTCCGACAGGTACACATTTAGATGCGAACATAAGGGAACCAATCAAACTTTGAAGTTCAGTACGGTTGCAAACAGTCTTTTGTTTCCACACACCGAGTAGCAAAATGATATCATTCTACTTGCCATGCGGTAAGCTTAAAGTCTGAGCAACTGAATCAAGTACAATGCCGAGAAATTTTAGTTTTGTTGACGGGCCTTCTGTTTTTTTAGTAGCAAGCGGAACTCCTAGCGAAGCGCAAAGTTCCGAGAATTTATCCATTAAATCAGAGCAAAGCTTCTGATTAGATTGTGTTGCAAGGAAAAAATCATCAACATAGTGTAACATGAACTTATGCCCAGTAACATGCACAAACACCCAATGCACTGCATCGGAAATTAAACAGAATAAAAAAGGTGAAGAGCGCGAGCCGAAAGGTAGAACAATGTCGAAGTAGAAAAGGCCATTACATTGGTAGCCAAGCAGATACCAGTCAGCCGGTCTGACTGGCACAAGACGAAACGCATGCTGAATATCAAATTTAGACATAAGAGCACCTTTACCCAGTTGCAGGAGAATATTCACAGCATCGTCGACATTGCAGAATGCTAAGGAATAATCCTCTTTACTAATATAATCATTGACACTGTGTCCGGTTGGGCGGGACATATCCATGAGAATGCGAAATTTTCCATCCGGTTTAGGTCTTACTCCGAGCGAATTTATAACAAATGTAGGAAAAGGGGGGCTGCTGAATGGACCGACAGAGTGTGTTAGCGACACTTCTGCATCAATCTGCGACTGAAGATGCTTTGCGTAAATACGAGCAGATGCTGCATTTGGTGTGCGCATACTACGCTTCGGACCACGATAACCAATGTCAGCGCCATATCGTAAAATGTTCAGTAAATATGATACGAACTGTTGATCGGGATGTTCTTTAAGGAAGTGGGCGAATGCATGTGCCTTCAACGGGGTTGCGATATCTTTAGGAATTACTGCTGCGCACTTTCGCTTTGCACTGTGGCTCTCGATGTTCGCGTTGACCGCAGTTTGCACACCGATGTTGACGGCCGTATCGACAGAGCAAGCCGGTAGTACATTGGCCTTTATTCCACAACTGGCAAATTTCGTCTGGTTTTGATCCCCCGTTGCCGGCGGGGAAGTTAAGAAACGACTGCCCAACCCATGAAGTCCGACGACTGCTGGTAGCACTACGCAGCAATGGACATTCCGGCCGGATGTGTCCATATTCAAGGCAGTGAAAACACTGAATAATATTTTTGCCCACACCGACTGCAGGTTGATCAGAATCAAGCCCAAGTGGTTGAGACAAGTACTCAGCATAAGCGTCATCGTTTTTACGAGACCACTGCATGGCGTCGTCTGGGTTGCGACAAATCGCTAAACGGAACTGGCGGTCGTAAGCGAGCCACTGTTCAGGTGTAATTCCTTTAAGAGCCGCAATTTGGGCGATGTGGTCCATATACTTAGTCATCGGTAGCCACAGTTCCGGGTATATGGCGCAACGGTACATCTTCAGCACATTAAAAGCTCTTGACCACTGGTGGTGATCGCGAATCTGCTCAATTTTTGAGGCATTGCTCTTGGAACTAGAGGAAGCATGCGGGGTGCGGTTGTTCGGTAAAAGGTCGTTAAGGTTCACGAATTCCTTTTTACTGAATAACTTGAACAGGAGCGCATTATCGTCAACCGGTGGCAATAAAGTCTTAACGTTTTCCGGCAACGATTCCAGGATAACAATGGCCTTACGGTTAAGAGCGGCAGTAGTATTATTACTACTAAAGTCAATGCCTTTAGTGCCGTCTAAAGCGAAATCTTTACCTGGCTCTGAAACTGGGGAAAGGTCCCGGTCTTGTGAATGTGGTAAGTCGGATTTGCCGGCATCTCGAATTCGAATCCGGCGCGTTGATGGCGAAAATGAACGAATACTTTTATCTGTCGCGGGGATTACAGTAGCCACAGAAGCCGAGAGATCTGCAATCTGTTTCTTCAACTGAGCGAGTTCGTCTGCCACCGATTTCTTTTTGGATACACCGGCGTTAGTAGGTGCGCTCCGAGTGTTAGCGCCCGGTCTGCTGGAACTGACACGGCTGGTTCCTCGAGGTCGTCCGCGTCCACGTGCACGATTCGAACTGCCACGTATCGGCTCCGGTCCCATGATTGGCGGTAACACAGTGCAAAATGCGCGAAAAAAGGTGGTCAAAAGTGAACTGATTATCGAAAGAAGTCCGATTTGTAATTGTAAACAATTCACAATTCAGAACAATTCAGAACAATTCAGAACAATTCAGAACAATTCAGTTTAAGCAACAAAATGACAAATGCAGCCGCAGCTTGAAGAAACTTTGAAAACCAATCGCTTGTATAGTGAGACATTTCTGATATCACCAGCGAGGTAACTGTTGCTAAGGTGACAGGCACCGGGATTGTATATATGCAGTACTTCTATACAACTTCCGCTCATGGAAATTAACCATAATTAAATACAATGATTTAATTATACATTAAAAAATGAATGTATTTTCCACTAATTAAAATATAAAATAAAAAAAAATTTATAAAAAAATAAAAAAAAAATTAAAATATAAAATATCAGAATCAGTTTAATTAGCAGACCGTTGGGCGTTGGCGTTATTGCTACAAGAACGACTACATATCCAACGCTGTCATCGAGGACAATTTCTAAACAAAAGCCGGCCAAGCAGCGATAGACAGAACTACCACCACTGTTAAGTGCACAAGCCCGTTAGTTGACCGAAATACCACTACATTCTAGTTAAAATAGCCCGCTAAGCCAGTGAGTGGCTGAGCTGCCACTATGGATAGCTATGTTAGCGGTTGACCGAATTGTCATTACTGTCCGTGTAAAAACCCCGTTAGGAAACGAGTGACCGAGTTACCACTACTGTCCGGTGCACAGAGCCCGGTAGGAGAGCGGGTGACCGCGCTGTCCCTAATGTCCGGCGCAGAAAGCCCGGGAGGTGAGCGGGTGACCGAGCTGTCACTACTGTCCAGTGTACAAAGCCCGTTAGATGAGCGGGTGACCGAGCTACCACTGCTGTCCGGCGCAGAAAGCCCGGGAGGTGAGCAGGTGACCGAGCTGCCACTGCTGTCCGGCGCAGAAAGCCCGGGAGGTGAGCGGGTGACCGAGCTGTCAGTGACAGCCTGTCACTACTGTCCAGTGTACGTACAAAGCCCGTTAGGTGAGCGGGTCACCGAGCTACCACTGCTGTCCGGCGCAGAAAGCCCGGGAGGTGAGCGGGTGACCGAGCTGTCATTATTGTTACGTGTACATTAGTGACCGAGCTACCACTACTGTCCGGCGAACGGAACCGGTTAGCTAAGCAAGTAATCGAGCCACCACTACTGACCGGACATACACCACTGGGCCCACACCAACTTCCAGTTAAAAGAGCCAGTGAAGTGATGAGTTTCCGAACTAGTGATCCAGTGCACTATCACTGTTTCGAATTTCACACCTTATAGACTGATATTTCGGCTTTCTTTTCGGGTAGGGGATATCGTAAAATTATCTGTATGTACAGCGAAAGGGAATGCTTTCAAGATTGAGAGAATGATGAACTGATTTTCATAGAAAGTTCGTGTTTGCCCTATTGCATGTACCGATCATGTTTCGACGAATAGACTGATGTTATTCTAATAAATATTCATTCAAATTCAAATAAAATGGCCATGGACCACAAGAAACGCAGAGGCGAAGCCGAGGCTGTTTCTTGTAATACTTACAGCTACAGCGTACAAACGCTCGTGATGCGCAATACAGAATTCTGTAATTGTTTTTTTATCAACTATCAAAGCCAGACACTCATACAGATGCTGTTTACGAAGGAAGCTGACCGTTTCACGCTAGCGCTATAAGACTGAAACGAAACTAGGAAGAATTTGCCGATTTACAGTGATCATCTGCTCTCACCACTGCACAGTAGTATTGATATCCTAAATAAAAGTTAAAAATTAATCATCTCTACCACGCCTTAATCCACGGGTTCAGCGGGGATCCCCGCGAAAAGTTTTAAGTTGCACCGAATCCACATTATTCATGTACGATCCCATCACACGGTATCTGTTCGGTGCGTGCACTGTGTCAAAGCGATGCTGAATGATTCGCTTATACTGTACAGATAGTTCTGACCACAACTCAGTAGCGAGAAAATCTTTGTTTCAAAACTGCTCTTATCTAGATACCTCTTCACATCTTTCTTTTGACACCATCAGCTCGGCAAACCTCACCAATACCGCGAGAAACGGACGTCTCGTCGCGGTCTCAGAAATTTACTGTTTTCAAGAACACAGAATGGACATGATTTATACAAAGTAAAAAAAGCAATCTTGCCGCACTGTTGCAACTATTACCAGTTACTCCAGAGTCCAGACGGTGTTCGGAAAATTAATCAGTTTGATTGACAGGAAGTTCCGCTAGGACCGGTTTCCAGCTATGGCCATGGGGCATCATTTTCCCATTGACTCACGTGGTTAATTTTTGTCTACGCTCGCCTTTTGTAGCAGTCATCATTGTTGACGAATCGTATACCAGAATATATTAGTAACCATGCTGATCAAGACGCAATTCTGCAAAAGAATAAATTTTGCATGCCAAATATTAGTCCGTCTAGAATATCTTTTAATTTCTTTTCTCTGATATCCGATAGTTCTGTGTCTATTAGCCTTTCATTATGTAGCCGCACACTGCATCGAAATAATCTTTTTGTTTTCCCACAGTTTGAACTTCAGTTCTCTGTTACAAGGCTTTTCTCACTTTTCTTTTTATTAGCTTTCTAATTAATGTTTTCTAAAATTATTATATTTTCGAAGTTTTTTTAAGGTTTCTACTCTGTATCTAGATGCCCAGTTGTTTTTGTCGTTAATACTGTCTTACCTCGCACTATAGTGACGATTTAGTGGAAGCGGCTCGAAGGGCCATTCCCCCGTTCCTCGTAACTCAGAGGAGCTCAGAACAATTCAATACGGTACAAAGCAAGTACAGACTGAATGTACCTCTGCCATAAGACAGCCAACCCCCTACCACTACCATGTTACTAAACAACAGCACTGCCTTCTTTAAAGTAAAGGTCACCTCTGCTAATATCGTACTATGTTACAGCTACTTGAATTCTCTAAGGGCACTCGACGTAAAAAAATACCGTGCGCAAACTGTATCGCGATCTCCTCAACCAAACAGAGAAATTTAAAAATAGCTGAAGCATCAAACCCAAAAAAGTTATATAATAGATGTGGCAATGTCTCCGGAAATGATCGCCCCACTCTGCTAATGAGATTTGAAAATCTGTGCGATTCCGACGTCGCAGACGCAGAGAACAGTATTGCCAGGCCGTTACCAAGTGCTACATCTCCATGACCTGACCATCCATCATTGCCATTAGTGGAATAGAAAATGAGTGCTGATTGGCGACAGTTTCTCGAGCTGTCAAGTATGAATTTCACAGGCCATTCACGCGCCATTTCTTCCCGCGGTAATGCGTCGATGGACGGGGATCAGCGGACTGCGTCGCGCGCAGCATCCCCAGAAATAATCAATAATCAGGTTTTTAGCAGTCGAACGGACCAGTGGTACACTGCATGAATGTGAACACCTATTAATCCGGTAGTCCGCAACTCAAGTTAAGTACCAAATTTTCTTACCAGATTCAGCAGATTGGGGGATTTCTACGTTTCGGTTTGACTTAGCCAACAGCGGTCGGAGGCAAGCAAGACAATGGTAGAAGTAGACCGGGACGGCCGTAAAGGGAAAAAAGCTCGACGGTTATCGGGCTGTTGAACGCGATGGGCATAAATGAAGAGCGGAGCACCTTCAGAGCGACTAATTAAGCAATCCGCACGGTATACCCGCCACACTTGGCGCTGGTTTTTCGCGAGCGGATTGACCGGGGACTTTACTGCTGGCAAATACCAACCAGGTGGAAGAGATGCTGCGCGTCGTACACCGCGACTGCACCCACGAGGAGAAGCAGCGATTCATTAGCGCTGTCTTTGCGGAACCCGACCCGCCCAAGATCAGTTTGACGCCGTTGCAAGGCATGTTTCTTTTGCATAAGAGAGAATGTTTGATTTGGGACAATGATCAGTTTGACGTCTTAAGCACAAAGGTGAAACCTTTAACCTCAGAAAACTTGAGCGGCTTAAGCATCCTAAAAAATACAACAATGAAAATACACGAAATACATGAAATACAGGAATGCATGAAACGCATAAAACACGGGAAACACACGAAATACATGAAACACAGGAAACGCTGGAAACGCAGGAAACGCATGAAACACATGAAACACATGAAACACATGAAACACATACGCATGAAGGCGCGAAGCCCGTGAAACATGAAACGTGAAACGCAAAGCATGGAGAAGGAACCTATGAAAACCTAACAAGTAACAAGAACAGAAACCTGAAACAGAGACATGGAACATGGAAAACGAGACACTTAAGTGATGAAACACGAAACAGGAAACAGGAAGCACGAAGTTAAAACTTAAGAAACCGAACAAGAAAGGAAACATGAAACAATCAAACACTAATCACAATAACAGGAAACAGGAAGCACGAAGTTAAAACTTAAGAAACCGAACAAGAAAGGAAACATGAAACAATCAAACACTAATCACAATAACAAGGAAACAGGAAGCACGAAGTTAAAACTTAAGAAACCGAACAAGAAAGGAAACATGAAACAATCAAACACTAATCACAATAACAGGAAACAGGAAGCACGAAGTTAAAACTTAAGAAACCGAACAAGAAAGGAAACATGAAACAATCAAACACTAATCACAATAACAGGAAACAGGAAGCACGAAGTTAAAACTTAAGAAACCGAACAAGAAAGGAAACATGAAACAATCAAACACATCACATATAACAAACACTAATCACAAATAATCGAAACCTACAAACAAGTCACGAAACACGAAACGTTTAATGTTTCATTGTTTCCTGTATATTACTTCATTTTTCAGTGTTTCATGTTTTACTGCTTCACTTGTCCATATTTACTAGCGCCTAGCGTTTCCTGTTTCGTGTTCATGACCCGTGCTAAAGTTAAATGTTTATTAGGTCTATGCTGTCCAACTCGGTTTTTGCGTTTATAAAAAAGCATTGTCCCAACTTGCGTATTCTATGGAGTAAAAACCGCCCATCAGAGGTCATTATCGGCGTCAAGCTTTCCACCTCCAAGCGAACCGAAGCGGCGCCTTTTTGAGCCATTTCAGCAGCAGAGTCAGAAACGAATACTCTACTTCGGCGTGTATTGGCGGCATTGTTGAATTAATACCGACAACATTATTTTAGTTTCATACAATTGACTTGAGTTTGTTTTCGTCAAGAAGGGCGACCCTTTTTACAATCTTACAATTGTTAGCTGCCTTCTTTTCAGTATGAGCGATGCTCCTTCCTACGGCCCTTGCGCTTCTTGTTGAAAAACGCTAGTTTATAAAGTATATAATAATATATTTAATTTTGCCTTCATTAATTATCAACGTTAGTAGTGAAAATATACGAGTCTCACAGGCATTAAAACTACCGTTCAGCTGTAATTAAGAGCTGAACTCAGGACAGAACACCTACCGTAAAGCGCTGGAATACATATTATTCCAATACATACACAGAACTTTTCGATACGGTTGCTTGTTGAGCTGACGCTGGTCTGCCGCGGCGCACAGTGCGCATTATTAAACAAGCTAACTAAATAGCCACTGCAATAAACCGCCATCCTCGTCATGACCAAAGTCGTCATCCGGCTCATCGTTGAAGCATCCATCCAGAGCTGCAAATGTGATTGGGCTCAGTTCAGCGATGTCCAACTGGCGAAGATCTAGCGTATCCCATTCCTTTGGTGCATCACCAGGGCGCAGATGGTTGAACCTAAAAACAAGATTTACCGCACGTAGTCAAAATAGGAAGCGACAGCTGGTGCATGGACCAGGTATCTAACTTTGCACACAAATATCGTTCGCGTTCGTCTAATACATCTACTCGTACAGGTAGAGGCTATTGAGCTACACAACAGCATGCTAACTTTAAAAGTGAGGGATAAAAGATATCTGCGGTGGTGAAGACGCATCAGCGTGGCCCTGCGGCGCAATGTCTCAATAACGCGCCAGGTGGCGCTACCGTGCCGAGATGAGCACGAATGCCAGTAGTCCAGTCTTTTTGAAGTGGCTCCCGTGGCGTGCCTTCGGAGTTTTGTCTGTGCTTTTTTTACTGCGCGCATACTGTTTTATGCAGACGATTCCACCAATTCAAAATTTAAAATTACGGCCGAAAGCGTAGGTTTCCATTATTTTTCTGAACTTGGTAACTAAAACTGGAAGAAATGCTGTGGAGGAATCCGAAAACACGAATTTTTCCACGACCACCAGTAGTCCTATCTCTTAAAATACTCATTGCAATACTGTTTAACGCTAATGTCTCGAGAAACGCTAACGAGGTGTTGGGACATTGGCCAACCCAATGCTCAACTGCAAGGTCTCAAGGTAGCTGCAGAACATGCTCGACCACCGGAAGGAATGCTTGCTGGTAAAGAATGCGGATTTAGGGTATGCAGAATGCACCTGCTGCGCGCTCGCTCCAGGAACCCTGATTCGTGGCCAGGGTGTATATGAGAATGCGAATGCTTGCTGCGTTTCCTTCCGGTGCGGTTCCGTGCGTACCGTGGCGGGAGAGAGCAGTGAGATGGGTTGTGCCTTTAATCAATATACAAGTTGCTAAAGGGTGGGATGGTGGGTAAAGAAAACACACCAAAGGTCACTCACAAATATTGCAGGTGGAAAACAGAAAAGAAATTTACCGCACAAAGTCTTCAGTAACAAGAAAAGAAACCACAAATTTCAGACGCAACAAAAATGACTTCCGAATGCAACTCTACTATAAAGAGCGACATGTGCACAACAGCGCGATGAACAAAGGCAAGATGGCGTCCGGCAAGAGGTCCGCCAATCACTTGCTTTGATGCCTTTGCGGATATTTCAGGAACTTTCTAGAGGGCCAGCGTTTCTCTCAACTGCGTTAACCTAAGTTAGCGTTATAATCGCTAACTTCTATTATTGCCCTTCCTAAACGCGTAAGGCAGCTGTGGTGTATTAGTATTGATGATTGTCGTGAATGTCTGTTGTTAAGGACATACAGTAGCACTAGCTACGATGTCGTAATGTGGACGATTTTGTTGGTTTCTGGTCATGTAGCGAAGTAAGCGAATATTAAATTAAAGAACATACCCGCGCTACATATGTCACAATAGCGAATACTCAAAGAGCTAAAAAAAACCCTTTAAACAGTTTAAGTAAATAAAATTATTAAAATATCCGAAATTATTATTATCGAGTTACCTTAGGCTACTGAAACCAAACGAGCTACGAGGAGCGTTTGATAGAGCGAGTTTGCGTTACCATCACTCGATAGCCGTGCCTGTGTTTGTGCAACATGATCAGCTGTCCAAACTGACAGCGACTTTTAAGCATAAAATTGTAACAAACGTTACACATTAAAACAATAACACAAATTAAAAAGGTGTAGAAATATGCACTGTTGAAAGGTAATCCAAACAGCAGAACATCTCCCAGGCAGCTAGTCGTACACTCGTACTCAACGGCTACTTCGGTATTAACCTCTCATTCCGGCATCCCTTTCACTTTTGCACTATATGCCGGCATCCGGCTAGTTGAAAATGCAGGAAGAACAGCAGCATGAACAACCGGCCGCATCTGTACGTACAGATGTACGTCGACCAATAGAAAAATCCGAAAAAGCACTTGAATCGAGTGCAACTGGTAAACCTGCAGTCGCCAACAAGGGCGGTTGTTCATGCTGGATTTTCAACTAGCCGGCTGCCGGCATATAGTACAGGAGTGAAAGGGGTGCCGGAATAAGAGGTTTATCGAAGTATTGATTAATGGTAAACTCGGTCTACCAATGCAAACGCAAACGGTCTACCAATGATTAATGCAAACTCGATCTACCAACTGAAGGTACCCGTTCTTCGTACTGTAATTAATTGTTTTAGCAGGTCTTACGCAACTGCTAGCACTACGTACAGGTACAGAAAGAGGGCAATGCTGTTCCACTGATCCGGATAGGCTACCGTTTGCACCCATCGCGCATGTATAGTTTTGACCTTTTTGAACACCCGCTGACTAACGGCCGGACACTGGTCGTTGAGCGCCTCTAGCAGGATGCGCATGTGTTCAGTGGGTGTCTGTGACGACCGAAAGCATAGGCACGGGATGATAACTGGACTGGGATCATTATCCGGACGGTCCGGACCACGCCAACGGATCAGTTTCCGCTCCGATCTGGGCAAACGCGGGTGAGCAAACCATAGCAACATCTGCTCCGCTGCGCGCTTGAAAAAATGGCTGAACGTGAAATAATCAGGACCAGCTGCTCACACACCGCCATCATCTTCGATAATCCACTTTGAGAATGCCTGATATCCAGAAAGAAGCGATCCGTCCCCAAATCAACATTCCTGCCATTCTTAATCGTGATTGTGCGCCTTTCCTGGCTAATACGGCGCATGTCATTTTCATCTTTGAAGCAAGACCGAATCTTTCGTGTGAATGACTCGCGTGCTCTATCAACGCCAGCGTCTGCGTGCGTATAGAGATTACGCGGTCGAGCGCGGTTTCCAGTTTCTCTTTGAGATACAGATACTCGGCATATTCCGTTGTTGCGTCAGTAGTAAGCAAGTCATTAGTATGCCCTGCTGGCAGGTCTTGTGGTATTCTTTCGCAGTACGTACACAGATCGAACATGATGTGCCGGTGGTTGACGGACTCGCGAGATACCAATTTCCACAACGCGCAGACTCTAGTAAACAGAAATATCACTCCAGGATGGCACAAACAAGTTTTGAATGACGGGATATTTCGATAAAATTTTGAATAAAAACAACTGAGAAAAAGGGAAGAATTGCCCCCACCCGGCAGCTTCATTCAGATGGCTAATGGACTGACGGTCCGACAAATTAACTTATTGTCTGTAGTCGTAATGTCGAGAGATCTCATAATACAATTAGCTACAGCAAGAACAAATTGTTTACAGAACAAGGGTAAACGGATTTCACCATTTCGATGTAACAGGACTACAGCGACTCGCCCGTAACTGGGAATCCACATCCAGATAGAACAAATACAAAGCCTATGATCGGATGTGGAAGTTCGGTGATGGAAATGTCTTCCATGCCTGCAAAAGTTTTTCAGTTTCGACTTCACAGGCAAAAAAGTCCAAGAAAACCCTCTGACACTATTGAGATTCATTTAACGCAGCATCGTCCACCGCTTCGACTGTCATGTGAAGAACACGTTGTGATCACAGGTCTTGAAATTACTGCATTTATATGTCTACATACAGTATATTATCTGTCTGCATTTATATGTTTACGACGGACGCTTTTTTATGGTGTGTACTCTAAATAGCCTCAAGGCATTATCGCCTGTTATTCTCGTCATAACATCTTGATCCATCATCTCTATGTTATGTACGTACCATACATCTTATACGTTAAACTTTTGTAAGATTTCTTCCAAACCTTAAATAGTAAAACCAACCATTCTCTGCAAATCTGCTATTTCAACGCTATTGAATGATCTATAGACATCAAAGTTTGGTTCAGTGTATCATTCGAAAAAAAGGGATACACATGGAATTTCGCTGATGCTTACGCTAATAATATGTACAATAGTAGAGATAATGGTTGTCGTCCTCGGCAACGCCTTTAATTTCGCATCATAGCCATTCTTTAGCACAATAGTCCACATCCACCAGAACGAGGAGGTTTCAAGTGCAACCGATGCAACATTTACTCTGCGAGAACACCCGACTACTCTGCAGCGACTCGTTTTGCTTATTCCTGTCTTAAACGAGGAGACAGCACCAAACGAGCGCAGTAAGTGACATAACATCCAACTGAGGATGGAATGTACATACAAGTAGATTGGGCTGTTTGACTACGAATTTTTGGTATCATCCACGGTTGGTTAGTTCGTTTGAAATAAAGCTACTACGTCGCACAGTAGTCGGTAATACTGTATTGTTGGTATCGTTTGGCGCTCGGTACTGTCTCCTCGTTTAAGACAGGAATATGCAAAACGAGTTTATCTTGACCGGTCCACCTCAAGCGGCATGGTTATTAATTTTCTACGTTCTGTCATCAGCCAGGACTACTACTGTACAAACGGCGCATATAAGCAGAGACTTGAGCTGTTAGTTAGTCAAATAGAAAAATAAACCCCCAGGGCTAAAAACCGGTGCTGTCGGTACTTCCTGCATTCAGAATGTATAATTTCCCCAACGCAGTTACCGTTTAATTTTACCGTCTGGAGAAACTGGTATTAAATGCAACAGTGCGGCAAGACTGTTTCTTTTATTTTATAGAAATCGTCTCGTTCCGTGGTCTTTAAAACAACTATTTTCTAAGGCAGTGACAACTGGCTGTGGAGGACACTTTTTTCCTTAACGAGGAAATAAGTCAGCCATGTTTCTCTGGGATGCTGTTAGACTTCTGCTTACTGCTAGTGCTATCAGAATAGCTCAAGTTACCGGCAGGCAACCGTTATCAACGCCAGCCTGCAGATCTGATTTATGCCAAAACGTTGGTACGTACGTAGTTCAGTGCTGAACTGAGTTTAACTGAATAACAGAATAATTTATGTAATGAAAAATACATTAGGAATATCGATGATAGCTGAAAAAATCATCTGTTAAAGGGAAGTGGGCCGGTACATGGTACCAAATTCGTGTACATGCACGAAAACTTGCACTTTCGCGCACTCCCAAACACATTTTTGTTTCGGTTTATGAAGTTTTGTAGCCAGAAGATTTGTATACACTGGCGTGAAAACAGTTTGTGCGCGCAACATCCGGTTCGGGAGTTATGGCTGCTGCAAAATTCCAAAAAGTTTAAATGCGTTCAGGTGTACCAAAAGTCTCATTATAGACCGATCTCTCTCAAATTTTGCACGTAAATGCGCATGTCCATGAAGATCGTTTTTACACCGATCCAGACTTTCATGATTTTTTTCAAATTTTAAAATGAATTTTAAAATTTTTGAAATTCATTTTAAAATTTGAAAAACATGCTAGAACAGTGGATCGGTGTAAAAACGTTCTTTGTAGTTATGTGCATTTACGTGGAAAATTTGAGGGGATCGGTCCATAATGAGACTTCTGGTACACCTGAACGGATTTAAACTTTTTGGAATTTTGTAACAGCCATAACTCCCGAACCGGATGTGGCGCGCACATACGGTTTTCACGCCAGTGTATAAAAATCTTCTGGCTGCAAAACGTCATAAACCGAAACAAAAAAGTGTTTGGGAGTGCGCGAAAGTGTAAGTTTTCGTGCATGTACACGAATTCGGTACCATGTCCCGGCTCACTTCCCTTAAACTGGATATAACGGATATACAGTATATGTATTAATAGACCAGTTGCCACAGGTTATCAGCGATCACGTGAAAAAAATTTAGGAGCGGAAATGCAGTTCCCGTTATCTACAACGCTAGGCTAGCGTTGTAGACAACGGGAATTGGTCGCTAGTTGTTCTGAGTTTGTTTGACGTCCTTTACTCACGTTAAAGGTGAGATTTTCTGAGCTGATGGTATTAAAAGAAGGGTGTGAAGAGGTATTTGCATAAAAGCAGTTTGGAAACGAAACTTTTTTCGCTACTGAGTTACGACCATAAGCAAACCTCCTGTTTAGATGTTGCAGTCTTGCACTTCCGTCCGAAAATGCATGCATTTTGCCGTTAGTTACGTACCAACCACCAAATTTGTTGTCGGTTTGGCCACGGTGCGGCATTTTTCCGGTTCATTGCCTGGTGAACTCAGTGTCAACTGGTCTATAAGAAACCGATAGGACGGTTTAGTGTTTTTTAGTTTTAGCGGAAACCGAGAAATTAGTGTGATGATTTTCTTAGCCCATGAGATCGTCTCCAGCATGGATGACACCATCGATCCCTGCACAGACTTCTACGCTTACGCATGTGGTCGTTGGAACGTCAGCGATCCGTATGACCGGGATCAGTCTGGCGTCTTAAAAGCCAAGATTTCCGTTCAGCTTCAAGGTACGTGCCAAAAGCATTCGCTGACTGGATATTGGGCACCCAGTAATTCATGAGCACTATTAACCGAAATTTCCCATTTACCGCCGTTGGTGACTGCCACTGACTGGCACATATTCCGCGCAACTTTGGGCTGCGCGACAGTACACCGCGGAACATTTGGTGTTGGGACAATTCGTCAATCGGCCGCGAACCCTATTAGCTGTGGGACAGTTAGCAGCGTGGCTGTCAGGATGCATGGCAACGTATTCCATTGCCAGCACACCCCCATGAAGTTGTATGATTACTTGTTTGTCTGTTGTTGTATTTAAGTTCACGATCAAGTAAACAGCAGTATGCTCCTTTGATACATCACCGATCGGCGTGCAGATGCACAGAGTAGTATTCAACGCTCATGAAAGATTTGAGAAGGATTATATTACGCTAAATTTTCCTTATGTGATATTAAATTTCTTAATGATGGTTTTCTGCACAACACAAATTGTGTTTTCGATGAGAGGAGAGCGAATATAATCGACCCCACCCATGCCATATTTGGCCGTAAATTATGCAGCCGGAGCCAGTTCCCCAAACCGGATGCCAGAGCAGCTGTGGCCAGACTATCTTGCGAATTTTTTAACTCCCTCCCAAACGTTGCGCGGTCAAATGTCGCGTTACAAAACGGCTGCGCGACGAGGTACCCCAAAACGAATTGTCACTGCGACGGAATGTCCTGCGGCGAATTGGGCTGTCACGGAAGCGAAGCATCAGTTGAACGGGTTTTTATAATTTGAACAGTTAATCTTAGACACAAATTTAACCGCCTACAAAGTACAAATCAAGGATGCCCTGCTGCATTTATGATTCGTGCTCGTGTTCACCGGCATTTTTGTGTCTTTTAGAACTGTTTGACAATGGAAGTTATACCAATCCCACCGAGAAAAAAGCCTCAGATATATACAACCAGTGCATCCGCCAAGCTAATGGTATTCGCATAATCATAGCTGCAAAGTATGCTTTCATGTTCTCGCTTTAGAATTAAGCAGCATATCGGTAAGAAAATAGTTGTGAAAATAATAACGATTGGAGAAACACCTTTCCTGATGCGAAAACACAGAATGTCCACCATTATTTGATTTTGTAAATAGACCAACCATTCGATGACCGCAGTCTTGTGGGCGCTGTGGACGACTTGTTAGGTGGATGGTCACTATTGGAACACCACCGCAATGTGTCCGCATTTCGTTTGGACGACGCTCTCGTTCGGTTGCAGCTCAATAACATTGTGGTCTATGGCTCTCTGCCCGTATCCCGAAACGTGTTTTCCAGCGACGAGAATATCTTGTTTTTTGTGAAGCCTTACCGCCTCTCATGGCTGTGGGAAATGGAAGCACTGATCAATGGACATGGCAACCTCACTGTAAGCTATTTAACTGCTCAGCTCATGAACAAATGGACGCCGATCGTGCAGCGTTTACTGAAAGCAACCAATGCAAGTGCAGACTGGTCTACTGTAAAAAACCGACTGGAGCAAGCTATTAGACTGGATGTCAGTCTGGCGGTGGGGCGAGTTGAGGTGTGTTGCAAAAATCTACTGAACCTGCGGCTGTTGTGGCATCTATTGTTAAAGTCATTAAATAAAAATCCATTCCTGCCTTCCTTGGACAGTAATTTGAAATATACGGCAGTTAAATGTTTCCACATTGTTTTTGTCCATTGTATCACTTTTTTCAGCATTTTCCGTTGTATTTTAATTAGACGGAAGGTATTAATGCTTTATTCTATTATTTAATGCAACTAATTTTTTGTCTTCGTATTTATTTATATTATTTCATCAGATTTGAAATTTTGCCTGCCTGTTCTGTTTTTTTTAGAGGTATTTGTTTGGCCTTTCAGTTTAACACAGTACGGACTTCTAAAGACATTCAGATGCGCTTGACGTTTGGTGACCTGTCTAGACCACCATACCGTTCGCGGTTTCTAGCGTCCTTTTTGTCGCTGTTTAACACCATGCTCAAAGCATCTTCAGTGAAGTTTCAAGCCACGACTACCACGACGTTTGGCGCCCCCAACTCAGAGTATATCATCCAGCTGGACCGGAAGATGGCGCAGCTGGAATGGGACGGCGATGCGGGACGGACGGTACTGGCGGACTGGCTGTGGTGGATTTCCGTTTATCACTATCATCTTGCATATCGAGGAAAGGGCACATGCGTGAAGTTGGTGAAAGCGGCCATGCCGTTGACCGTGTCGGGAATGTTCTTCAAGACATACATACCGAGTGAAGCTGTTGAAAAGGTCAAGCACACACGTCCTTTATTACGTAAAAGCTTTCTCCAGAAATGTTTTGTGCAGAATATGGAGTCAAGGCAAAAAGCCAGATGAAGAAGTAATTAACGGCTGTTTGCGTCCAGCAGGCCAAAGTGCTGGCGTTCGAAATTGCGAACGGGGTTCGCGACGCTGTCCTTCTCAAAGCAACATGGATGGACCGGGCAACGCAGGATGCCGCCGTGGATAAGCTAAATCATACACTGCTGGTGATCGGTTACCCTGAAGAGTTCTTGCACGATTCGACACTCATCGATGACCTCTATGCAAAGGCTAGTCAATCTTAATTCTTGGTATACTATTGATTGTTTAAAATACTTTAAAAAGTGGACTATTGCAATTCGCAAGAAAGTACGAGGAGATACCCTCAGTAAGACCTTTGCTTTGGTATGGCTTCGAAAGCAGGACACGGTCATTAATAAATACATCGAAGCTTATGTAATCAACCGGTGCGAATCATATCCCGTTTGCAGGTTCATGTGGAAGTATCGTTCTTCGACACTCTGCGCACTATAGATCGAAGCAACAGTTGGATTAACCTGCGAAAACTCTCCCACACTGCCGCCAGCGATGACCCATTTTATCCGACTGACCTGACCTTGCTTAGCGCCGTAATGCTACCCGAGAGCAATCGTATTGGTACCTTGTTAGCTTGTTTTTTTTTGAGTTTTTTTATTATAACCACTGTGAGGAGAGAAGCGGCTCACGTAAAGCGACAACATCTTTCAAAGGATTTCAACGTATTGCGTCGTGGGGCAGTGGTATTGCCTACGCTGATCTAACGTCGTAGCCGGGGTTCGATTCCCCCATCGGCGCCTTTTTCATCCGTATCTCGGTTTCCAGTGGATAGCGTCCTGGTTCTACTACCCTTGATACAATTACTTCTGTTCGATACCTAAAAGACTTTTACAGAATTTGACGTTAATAATTATTATACGATTTTTAACACAGTTTTCTGAATAAATATCTTCCGTTTTTAATTTTTTTTATGTATGGTTGATTATTTTTGTTTGTCTGTTACAGTTTCTTATTTTAAATTTCGTTATTACATTTTTGCTTTGTGCATGCCAAAGGTTAATTGATAAGCACTCCAAAATCATCGCTGGTTGCCTTTGCAGTTATTCCGGCGGCCTATTTGCAGCCACCAACGTTCTATGCGAGCAACATGGACATTATTAACTACGCTCGCTTCGGTTCTATGATTGGCCACGAATTCACCCATGGCTTTGATATCTTAGGCAGGTATGTTTTTTCTTCACAGAAAACATTTTCTCCAAATACATGTTATGTTTAGGGAAAGAATTCGGAAAAGACGGCAAACTGTTTAGCTTGTGGACTAATGCGACACAGAACAACTACAATACAAAAAAGCACACTTTAGTGGATTTCTACAACAATATTAGCCCGAAGAACGACAGCGTCGATGGACTGCAAACTCTCGGCGAAAATATTGCCGACATCAGTGGATACCGCGCTTCTTACTTGGTATTCCAATATTTATAATAATTCAGTACGAATTTATGGTGCGCAAAGAATGATTTGTCTGTAGGCTTTTCGTAATTTTCTGCGCCGCACGAAATTCCGCATCAAACTGCCGGGTTTGGAAGCCTTGAATGAGGAGCAACTGTTCTGGTTAATAGAAGCACAGGTGACAATTTTTTGGGGTTAGAACGGGGAATTGTTACAACGGGAGTTGTTTTCAGACATATTGCACCCGTCATCCAGCGTCGCTTGACACAGCGCACGCACCGAACAGATACCGTGTGATGGGATCGTACATGAATAATGTGGATTTCGGTGCAGCTTACAACTGTTCGCTGGGATCCCCGATGAACCCGAGGATCAAGGGATGGTAGAGATGGTTTCAACTTTTACTGACGATATCAATACAACTGTACAGTAGTGAGAAAGATGATCACTACAAATCGGCAAATTCTTCCTGGCTTTTCTCAGTCCTGTAGTGCTAGCCTGAAGCGGTGCGCTTCCCTCGTAAACAGCTTCGAGTATTTGCCCATCTAGCTTAGATAGTTAATAAAAAAAACAATTATAATAAGACTTTGTATTATGCATTACGAGCTTTCGTACTCTGTATTACAAGCGCTGCTAAATAAGAAGCGGAAGTGCCGCTCGATGGCAGAAAATTTTAGCGAACGTCGTTACCCGAGGCTTATCTTCTTATATATCTTGACTAGAATATTAAGTTTAGACTGAGCAGAAGAGGTGGTGGGCATGAAAACTGCATTCTTTTTTATCGTCCCACCTTCGCTTAAACTTGGAATCGATTTGTATGTACTGTGTTGTCGAGTCAACTTGGCACCTTTTTTTACAGTGAGTCGGATCCACTTAGCGTATAACTCACTACAGTATATTGCATGAAACCAGAACCATCGTGTCAGATAGTCAGCCGAATACCGATTCAGCAACCAGCCAAGTCACATGGCGGCCAGTCTTCCTGTTATCCAGCAAGGCGGTAAAATATGGGCATTTCGCTGAATTGTATCATTGTACCCGTTTCAAGTGGGTGATTGCATATTTTCCCGAATTGCGCTCATACATAATTTCCAGCATTCGGGCCTGGTTCAGCGTGGCATTTGCAACGTGCACTTATTTCAAATGCTTTACTATTACCAGCCACTTTGCCAGTGGCCAAAACGGCTTAAAAGTTGATAATTATAATTATGTAATTAAAAGTTGATCAAGTGGCACCACGAAGTTTGCGTAGAAGTACGGGAAATCAGCACTTGCATAGTGTCCATTGATCGTGCATGTGAACGCATGGCCATGCACACGCTGCATGTGCGCTGTTTTCCCGTACACAAACTCTGTTGTGCCACTTAATCGAGCCGCTACAGTATTATTATGGCCCACGTACAAGGATATTTATTTGACAACAACCTTTAAGTGGCAATATATTACGCTAGTTTTAATAGTAAGTTGTGGATTCTCTGGTGACAGCTTATGGCTTGAAATACTCCAGTCCTATGGATGCATCATACAATCAAAAGTGCATGAACATGTTTGATCTGCGCTGCATTTTATTGTGCGTCGCGCATGGAGAATCCTTCGGTTTGCGCAAATTTTGTTAAAGGTGGTGGTAAATACACCCAATTATTTGCAAACCACTGTTTCGGACGAAGATCGGCAATAAAAAAAAGAAATCTCAAAAACTTTCAAAATTTTATTTAAGTTAAGGTGCCATGACTGGTCTTTGCATTTGCATTGCTTACCGGGTGTCACTAAAATTTGTTTCCTCAAAACGTTTAATTTTGAGTTCATTGTGTGATATCACTATCTACAGGAAACGAAATTGCCAGAAATACAAGCCAATGAAGGAAATTTCACCGCCGCATTTCGAGATGCACTTGTTAAAGCGACCCATTGCAATTGCGCTTCCAAGACAGTGGAAATTGAGTGAAATTGTGTCAAGTGTTACAGTGCGATTTTAAAATCTTTCCTTAATCAGGAAATTCGATTACGCAGGTGATAAGTTATTTTAGTTTCAATGCGCTGTAAAACTGAAATTGTGAAATTGTGACCAAATGTTACAGAGCGATTTTTAAAATCTGTTTCTTAATCCGATCAAATATTTTAGTTGTTAAAGCTTTGTTAAAGCGATCGTTTACCTGTCACAAGAATAAGACTTCCAAAATTTTCATATTTGTTAAGTTCGCCACTAACACCAACTGAACAGAAGTAAGGTAGATATGCTCCATTCCGTAGCTCTTGAGTTAGAAGCCGCTGAAGAAGCGATACGTGGTCGGCAGCTTACGGTACGGATGCTGCCACAAGTGTTTTGTGGAAAACTGACTGCAGTTTCCAATGTTTAAGCTTGCTAGGTTTGCAAAATTCCCGGATGATGTTACTCACATGCGCCACTAGTCAGAACAGCCAGTACCGTTTTATTGCTGCTCAAGTGGTACCGCTGCTCAAACAGCTGTATCATAATCATACCCAAAAATAAAAATACTTTGCAGCGCTTTTCAAAGAACCTACAAAATGCAAGCTGAGTCTGCGGAAAGCGCGTTGTATTTGAATGGTTCTGTAAGCGCTGTTGGTATATAAGGATTTATAACACAGGTTTAAATTTCATCAGTCCATTATTTCATAAATTCACTATTGCAAATTTTTAACTCTTTTTGAACGTGTTTTACGGCATCATAATTATAGAATGAGCTTCCTGATCAAATTTTGTATGCCATGCATCATTATGAGCGTTATTCTCCAGAATGTGTTTGCTCAAAACGCAGACCCAGAGCAAATAATCATTGCGCGTCAACCCCCACCTGAGACAGATAACGACCCACCCGTGACTGCTGACGTGAGTTAATTTGGCTTTGTTCTAAGTTGTTTCTCCTTAGCTGTGTGCCCTTTAGTTGAAAATCGTTGAGGCTGAAATACGGGAGTAAAATGCTTTGATAAAATCTCAATAAAGCGCTTTTACGACTCCCGTTTTGACGTAAACGTGGGGTGTTTATTTTCCAGCGAAGATTTGTGATCGAGGACATAACACCTCCGTCTGGCCCCATGGCAGATTTCCACGCTTCCGGTGAGTGATATTTAAAATGAACATATTCAAAAATCAGTCGTTTCCATTCGAAGCCAACAAATTTAGGACACCAGTTAAAGTTCGTCGATCAGTTAATTTGTTATACTGGCTAACCGAAATTGTAAAGGTTACCTGACGTATGTGCATTTTGTCTATACAGTGACACTTCTTACCGGTTTTCTTGATGGAAAGTCTGAACCATAGTAATATAATGTAATGTAATGTGTTGTACATCTGTCCTGTGAGCACATATGCAACTAAGGTTTATCATTCTTTATGTCCTTTCTGTCGGACATTTTGATTAGTAGACCAGTTAATTCGATTGTGCTATGTAGATTCTATTGTATCTGTACGTATACCATAATACGCCTTTTGTTCACTGTAGGCACACGCCGTGGAAAAGTTTTGGAAACATTGTAAATAAGGCATACATTTGAAAACGTTGGATGCAAAGCCGGAAAGAATGTGTGTTTGTTCCGTTTGCCGTTAGCTGATTGCATGAACGTTATCGTTTTAGTTTTTTGGTGTACAGAATAGTGGGCGGGTTTCCCCCATAGGGCAGTGTACCCCATGGTTTCCCTGCTTTGTTACGTGTCGTAATAAAATCTGTAAAGAATCCGCAGGCAGTTCGTTAAATGAGACAATGCAACGTCGTCGTCAGTACTGAGCAAAACACATTACATCCGCACATGATTTCAGACGGAAGTTATAAGCTGAAGTAAACTCAGGAATTGTTTTATCGGATATACACGTAGTTCGCAAGGTATAACAGCCACATATTGTGTTACATACTGTGCTTACAGAAGGATGTTATCTTACATAGTATTACGGTAAAGTAATAATTTGGCTGGTCAACCCAATCGTTTATTCGATACGCAAACGCTTTTTAGAAAATGATCTATACTACGCCCCGGCCTCCCGGTCGACGATAACGATGACGCCAATGGCGATGGTTAAAGCAGGCATGGACAAGCTTTCTGTTTTTAAAGCTTCCAGAAGACGCTTAGAAGACAAGTTTCCTGATTTTTCATTAAAGTGGACTTTTAGTTGATTGGTTTTCTTGTGTTTACTCCCGTGGTTTATGCGTACTGTGTCACTGTCCTTACCCAGTGCCTGTTTGTCCTGAGTGCAAGAATACCTAGTCTGCACAGTTACATACCGGTACCAGAAGCACACATTGTCCACATTCACATAATTTTTAATTAAGTAGTAATTTTCAATGCTTTAAGAATCGTGGGCTCCATAGACTACTATTGTGAATGGATTAGTATAATAATCATACTCATATTATGCGTATTTGCCCTTCTAGCGTTGATAGCAAAATTAATAAAGTTACAATAACATATTTTGTATTACGTATTGTGTTACGTATTACGTCTGGTATCTTGTACTGCAAGCGCTGCTTAACATAAAGCGGAAGTGCCGTCCGATGGGAGGATGATTTATACATGAAGAAACGCAGCAAAGTTTTCAAGAAGGTGATTATACGCTGCTGTTAATAACATTATTGATTGTCCGTATTCCTTCACGAAAACAAATGTTACACAATTGTGTCAGAGCACAAGCTGTCAGTATTTACTGACATCTTCGTCAGCAGAGATACAGATATATAAATACAGATGTTTGTGAACTCGGATGAGCAAGTAAACATAAATCATGAAGTAAAAGTAAAAGATTCTTGCTTGGCCGTTGCTCGCGCTGCAGTTTCTTCGAAACTCCTGTACAGAAACACGTCATCCGCTTTCCAGAATCAATTGCGCTACCAGATGTTGATTTTATTTCTCATTTGTTAGTCCGTACTTACCGGTGGGATTTAGGTCACGCCCGCGATAATGATGTTTTTGATGGGAGCTGCCCCTTCGTTCGACTGGTTTCTGTGAACGAGATGCTATACTATTGCAGTTCTGACCACAAGACGCAATATATCATCGGGGTCGGCTGTCGAATGTTTGCGCGAGTTGGAGGGGATCAGGTGGCTTTTATTTGCGCCGAAATAAAAAGATTATGCAGACGGTAAAGTAGCGATCGCACGAAGTCGACCTGCACGAGGGTGTCGGCTAAGACCCTTCTTGGTCCGCAGTTTCTTTTTCGAGATTTATGGCTTTCGAGGTGGCTAAATTACATTATCCTGGCTATTTGTGCAGCTACCGTATGCTTGTTCTGAATCTTTCGATTTTGTGTGCGCTGTGGAGGTTGATTTTGCAAATGCAGAGTACGTGTGCCATACATCTGCACTTCCTGTTCGATCTCTGCACATTGGGCGAAAGAAAACCACTTAATTTGCCAGAGCAGTACGCTGACGATGGACAACTCCATCCGAACATAAAACACGAATACGCTGAATATCTTGGGTGCAAATTGGCAAGCATATTTAATCGCGTGTGAAAATCATTTCCACGATGGCGGCGATCTAACCACAAGAACGATAACAATTACAAACCTTTTACCGACAAAAACAATAACCTTACGGTCCTTACCTTACATTTTGCCAGCAAAACCATTCGTCTGCCGCAATCATCATCAAGAGTGGCCGCGATACCGCTGCAGGGCCGTCGCGCAACCTCGGCATTCGCCGCAATTTTTACAGTGCAGTTTGGGAAAGCAAACGAGTAGTCAGACGGGGATGGCGGTATATGAGGGTTTGGTGCTGTTCAGCAGTCGTCACCCTTAGTTAATCCATTCAGTACGTACTGTCCTAAAATAAATAAGTGTTGAGCGTTATCGCTCTCCGGTGAATACTAGTGACTAGGCTTATTAGACACTGGGCGTTTACCTTGATCGGCTTAGTAATTAATTTTCTACGTTTTGTCATCAGCCATGACTACTACAAATGGCGCATAAAAACAGACAGCTATGACATTAGATAGTCAATGGCAGAATAAACCCGCAAGGCTGAAAACCGGTGCTGGCGGTACTTTCTGCATTCAGACTGTTTAATTTCCTTAACGTGAGTACCGTTTAATTTTCCTATAACGCCGTCTGGAGAAACTGGTATTGAATGCGACAGTGCGGCAAGACTGTTTCTTTCATTTTACAGGAATCATCTCGATCTTAAAAACTGGTGGTCTTAAAACAATAATTTTCGAAGGCAGTTAGAACGGTCTGGTGAGGATACTTTTTGCCTTTACGAGGAACTAAGCCAGCAATGTTTCTCATGGATGCAGTTAGACTTATGCTTACTGCTAGTGCTGCTAGCCTAGCTCAAATTACCGGCAGGCAGCTTTTATCAACGCCAGTCTGCAGATCCGATTTATGCCAAAGCGTTGGTACGTAGATCAGTGCTGAACTGAATTTGACTGAATATGAGATTAATTTATCATATGTACGGAAAAATACTTTATCGAAGATAGCTGAAAAAAACTACGCAATAAACTGGATTTAGTGGTTGTCAACAGACCAGCTGCCACCGCTTTTCAGCGATCACGTGAAAAAAGGTAAAAGCGGAAAAGCAGTTCCCGCTGTCTGCAACGCTAGATGTACTGACTACTTAGTTTGTTTGACGTCTGAAATATCCTGATATATCTAAATAGATTTCGCTTATGACATCCTTATTGTTACTGGTTTTCCGAGTTGATTTTACGGGGTAACGCTCCGGCAATGCTGGTAGCAGTTTTTGAAACGAGGTCACCGATCGACCTGAAAATTAGCTTTCCGTTGTTAGTCCCCCATATCACTATTCTGGCCAAAGAGTTACCGTTTTGGCGATGGTGGGAACACGGCAAAAATGCCCCCCGGACATTTTTGCCGGTCACAGTTGTGAGCTCTGTGCCAGCTGGCCCTATAAAACACCGATAGGACGTTTTTCAGGGATTTAGTGTGATGATTTTCTTAGCCCATGACATCGTCTCCAACATGGATGACACCATCGATCCCTGCACGGATTTCTACGCTTACGCATGTGGCCGTTGGAACGTCAGCGATCAGGGTCAGGCTGGCGTCTTGAAAGCCAAGATTTCCGTGCAGCTTCCAGGTATGTGCCAAAAGCATTCGCTGATTGGATTTCGGGCACCCAGTCACTCGTTAACGCTACTAACCGAAATTTTCCACTTTCCGCCCTTGGTGTCTGGCGCGTTTTTCGCGCAACTTTGGGCTGCGCGACAGGTTGCCGCGGAACATTTGGTACTGGGATAATTCGTCATAAATAATCGGCCACGAGGACTATTAGACGTGAGACAGTTAGCAACAGGACACTGTGTTTTACGGACATTGCGTAAAACATATGGTTTTTTGTGGCAAATGGCGATATGAATGTTCATTGTCATAAACCGTGTCAGAATATTTTGACTCCCAAAAAGCGGGCAGCCAAATGTCACGTTCCGAAACGGCTGCGCGACGAGTTGCCCCAAAACAAATTGTTACTGTGCTACGGAATAAGTGAGACGAAATGTCCCACGACGGAATGTCCCGCGGCAAATCGGGCTGTCACGGGTGACGGAGGTGAAGCATCAGTCCATGTGCTCTTACAACTTCAATCGTTAATCTTAGACAGAAATTTAGCCGCCTACACACCACGGATGCAGAGCTGCATTTTGTGATCCGTGCCCGTATGTCGTTCGCATTTTTGTGTCTTTTAGAACTGTTTGACAATGGAAATTACACCAATCCCACCGAGAAAAAAGCCACAAATATATACAAGCAGTGCATCCGCCAAGCTGATGGTATTTGAGGCTAACTTCGTTTTACTTCGCATAATCATAGCTGCAAAGTATGCTTTCCTGTTTCTCGCATTAGAATTAAGTAGCACATTGGTAAGAAAATAATTGTGAAACAAGGATCTGCATATGAGTCGAGCAAAAGCTTCCTATTGCCAAAAACACAGAATGTCCACCATCTTCCGATTTTGTTAATAGACCGACCATTCGATGACCGCAGTCTTGTGCGCGCTATTGACGCGTTGTTAGGTGGATGGTCGCTATTGAAACGCCACCGCAGTGTGTCCGCATTTCGCTTGGACGACGCTCTCGTTCGGTTGCAGCTGAACAACATTGTGACTTTCGGCTCTCTTTCCGTATCCCGAAACGTTCTATCCGGAAACGAGAATATCCTGTTTTTTTCGAAGCCTTACCGCCTCAAGTGGCTGTGGGAAATGGATGCATTGATCAATGGACATGGCAACCTCACTGTAAGCAATTTAACTGCGCAGCTGATGAACAAATGGACGCCGATCGTGCAACGTTTACTGAAAGCTACCAATGCAAGTGCAAACTGGTCAACTGTAAAAAATCGACTGGAGAAAGCTATTAGACTGGATGTCAGGCTGGCTGTGGGGCGGATTGAGGTGTGTTACAAAAATCTATTGAATCTTTAACGGATATTTTGGTACCTATTGTCAAAAAATGCGTTCCGGTCTTTCTTTGACAGTAATATTTTGGAAAAATATTTAAATATTTCTCATTCTTTTTCTCCGTTGTATTTTATTTTTTCCAATATTTTTCCTTTTAATTGCATTTAAATTTTCTGTAAGTTATTGCTTTGCTTTATTTTCAATTTCGTATTTGTTTAACATTATTTATTTTTTGTTTTTTTTACATATTTCGTCAGCATTTTCGTTTCTTCCATGCTTGTTTCGTTTTTCTAGATTGGTACAGTTTGGACTTATAAAGACCTTCAAAAGCGCTTAACGTTCGGTGACTTGTCTAGACCACCATACCGTTCGCAGTTCCTAGCGTCCTTTTTGTCGCTGTTTAACACCATGCTCAAAGCATCTTCAGTGAAGTTTCAAGCCACTCCTACCACGACGTTTGGCGCCCCCGGCTTGGAGTATCTTATGACGTTGGATCAGATGATGTCGCAGCTGGAATGGGACGGGGATGCCGGACAGACGGCACTGGCTGACTGGCTGTGGTGGACTGCCGTTTATCACTATCACCTTTCATACCGAGGGAAGGGCACCTGCGTGCGGTTGGTAAAAGCGGCCATGCCGCTGGCCGTGTCGAGAATGTTCTTCAAGACATATATACCGAGCAACGCCGTTGAAAAGGTCAAGCACATACGGGTTTTTATTACGAAACAAACTTCTCCAGAAATTTTTTGTGCAGAATATGGAGTCAAGGCAAAAAGCCAGATGAAGAAGTAATTAACGGCTTTTTGCGTCCAACAGGCAAAAGTGCTGACATCCGAAATTGCTAACGGAGTTCGCGACGCTGTCCTTCTCAAAGCGGCCTGGATGGACCGGGCAACGCAGAATGCCGCCCTGGATAAGCTAAATCATACACTGCGGATGATCGGTTACCCCGAAGAGTTCTTGCACAATTCGACACTCATTGATGAACTCTATGCAAAGGCTAGTCAAACTTGCATGGTGTACTGGTAATTGCTTATAAATACTTTAAAGGGTGGAGTATTGCAAAAAAGTAAGCTGAAATCTCCTCAGTAAAATCTGTGCTTTGGTATGGCTTGGGATCATTAGTAGAAGCGCACGGTCATCGATGAGTATAACGACGGTCATATAATCAACCGGTGCGAACCTTATCCAGTTTGCAGGTTCAAGTGGAAGTATCATTGTTCGGCACACTGCGTACTATCGATCGAAGCAACGGTTGGATTAACCTGCGAAAACTCTCCCACACAGCCGCTCGCGATGATCCGTTTTATCCGACCGATGTGACCTTGCTAAGCGCCGAGATGCTACCAGAGTTCAATCGTATTGGTAACTAGTAAGCTGGTTTATTTCTGACTGTTGTTTTATTATAACTACCCTTGATATAGTTGCTTGTTTTCGATACGTTAACTGCTGTTTCACAGACTTTGCCGTTCAAAAATGAGTAAACGATAATTAATGCAGCCTTCTGAATAAATATTATACATTTTTATTGAGATCCATCAAGAGAAGATTAAAATCCTTCTTTTTAATTATGATCCATTCATTTTTAATCTTACATTTTTGCTTCTGATCAAATATCTTACAACTTTTTTTAATTTTGTATGTGTGCTTTTTTATTATTTTCCTTTTGTCTGTTACAGGTTTTAGTTTCTCGTTTTGAATTTAGTCAATACCGGTAGTCGGTAGATAAGCACTTCAATATTATCGCTGGTTGGCTTTGCAGTGATTCCGGCGGCATATTTGCAGCCACCAATGTTTTACGCGAGCGACATGGACATTATTAACTACGCTCGCTTGGGCTATATCATTGGGCACGAATTCACCCATGGTTTTGATATCGTAGGCGAGTATGATTTCTCTTCACAGAAAACATTTTCTCCAAATACATGTTATGTTTAGGGAAAGAATTTGGCAATGATGGCAAACCGTTTAGCTGGTGGACTAATGTGACACAGAACAATTACAATACAAGGAAGCACACTTTAGTGAATTTCTACAACAATATGAGCACGAAGACGGACAGTGTCGATGGACTGCAAACTCTCGACGAAAATATTGCCGACAACGGCGGATACCGCGCTGCTTACTTGGTCTACTAATAATTTATTAATTTAATATTGATTTATGGTGTTCAAAAAATGATTATTCTGCAGGCTTTTCATAATTTTATGCGTCGCACGAGATTCCACATCAAACTGCCGGGTTTGGAATCCATCAACGAGGAGCAACTGTTCTGGTTAATAGGAGCTCAGGTGACATTTGTTGGCGGTTAGAACAGGACATTGTTACAGCGGGATTTATTTTTAGACATATTGCTCCCGTCATCCAACATCGCTTGGCACAATGCACGCACCAAACAGATACCGGGTGATGGGACCGTACATGAATAACGTGGATTTCAGTTCAGCTTACAACTGTTCGCTGGGATCCCCGATGAACCCTTGGATTAAGGCGTGGTAGAGGTGGTTTAACTTTTATTTAGGATATCATAATACTGTACGGTGGTGAAAGGTGATTTAAACAGGTGATCACTGTAAATTGGCAAATGCTTCTTAGCTTCGCTTCAGTATTCTAGTGGTAGCATAAAGCGGAGCGCTTCCCTTCTTACTTGTTAGTATACGTAGCATTGACTGTACAAGTGTTCGCCCATCTGTCTAACTTTGATATCTAATGAAAAGGAAATTACATGATTTTGTATTAGACATTGGGAGCGTTTGTACTCTGTATTACAAGCGTTACTAAATAAGAAGCGGAAATGCCGCTCGATGGGAGGGTAAACAAAATTCTGCCGCTAAACAAAATACGAGTATTACGTTACAGCTCGTCTTAAAACTCGACTCCTTAGTTTTTCGTAGCGTACACATGGCAAAGAATGCATTGTACATTAAACTACTCGGAATTGTAATAACCCTTAATAGGCACCTAAAATTTAGCATGACTGGTTGTTTCCGGAAATGACTAGCAAGATCTTTTGCTGTTGCTCAAAGACTCAGAAGATCAAGAATTAGAATCATTGGGAGTATGCGCAGTCAGGGAGAAGATAGCTTGTTCCAGTTTCGGGGTCACGCACCTTTTACTTAAATAAAGCTATACATAAATGATAATCCCTAGTTTCTCATATCCGGAGTATATCCTGTTCTCTCCTAGATCTGTGATTATCGCTTGAAGTCATGGTTTTGACCGACTGTAAAATTATGTCATTGCCATCATCCGGCAGCTGTAGCACTGGCAGCAAGGGCACTATATTTCATTGCGCGAGAACGTTTAGACATGAACTATTACATGGGTACTCGTGCTTTTAACGTTTTGCCGAAAAGTTAAAATGCAGGGTTTGCGGGAGATAATCTACTCCAGATCGAGGCTACTTTTAAGGTGACAAACGTTCACAATGCGGCGAGATTGGCTGTCTCAATCAGCAAATTTAAATTGACGACCACGTTATATCTTGACGCTGTAGAAGTATTAAGGGACTGGGCCGGCACATGGTACCAAATTCCTGTACATACACAAAAACTTAAACTTTCGCGCACTTCCAAACACATTGTTGTTCCGGGTCCTAATTATAGGAAAATGTATGGAGCAAGATAAATAAATACCGAGTGTGGGTTCACACGTGGGACAGATAAATGTTTCTGCGATAATGTCAGCGTGAAGTTTATAGACGACCTTAAATGGATACAGAGTTGTTGCAGAATCTTTAAATTTTACAGTACGTAACGGGTGGGTGAACAAAAGGGCGGTTTCCGCTTTTAGTCCATATTTCGTAAACTGTTTGCCCCACCGTGATACTGCGTAGGCTCGTTGGGACAGACAATCAAACTGACTAACAGAAACAGCAAAACGTTTTAAAAAAAATTAGCAGTACTTCGCATGGGGCCTTAATTTTTCCTCTCATACAGTACGGGAAATTTTGTTTTCCCCCGCACATATGTGCTGCTTAGTCGCTTGCTTACACGCTTAAAGCTACGAATGCAGCCTAAAGTTGGCTGCAGCTAAAAACCGGTTTCTGGCCAACTCGGCATATCCGGTTGCGCAACAGAACAACAGAGAAGAGAAAGCTCAGATAACGGCAAACGTGTTGCCGCAGCTCACGCGGCTTTAAACTGCAGTCGTAAGCGACTAAGCGGCCCATGTGCGGGGGAAAACGAAATTTCCCGTACTGTAGGTGGGGAAAACTTAAGGCCCCATGCGAAGTATTCCTTTTAACTGGTGGCTACCAAAGTGTGTCGAAATATATTTTGGCCAACTCGCAAAACTTAGAATCTTGGGGCATTTCTTTCCGGTAGAGAGTCAGAGACTTTTGTATATTTCAACTGTTTCGTCTAGAAAAACACATCTTCTTTCAATAGTAAAAAACGTTTTCGACATGCTGCATGCGCTGGACGAGTTATTCGCTAGCGCACGTTTTGACATTTCAAAAAAATGCCGACTTTTGTTTGACTTGTATCAGCATTTCTTGATAAAATTTTTGGCCGCATGACAGGTCGCAGCAAAAAATGACGGGTTAAGTTTATATGTAGCTAATACATTTCCCTTGCAGAAATAAGACTGACGCGGAATTGGAGGCTACCGATCACTTCGGCCGTTTTCATTTCGGCCGTATTCATTTCGGCCAAACTTTTTCGGACGGCATTCACTTCAGCCGCCGATCACTTTGGCCGCAGTTCCTTTCGGCCGACGCTTATTTTGGTCTCACATGGGCAAGAAAACGTTACTTTCGAAGAAACTACGTTTCGATGGTACAGTACCATAATCTTTCGAATAACCTAAGAATAACTAGAGATTAATCTAAGAAAAACCTAAGAAAACGTAAGAAAACCTAAGAATAACCCAAAAATACCCTAAAAAACCTAACAAAACTAAATAAACCATAAGAAACCCACGAAAGCCAATAGACCGAAAACAACCTAAGAAACCTAAGAAAACTAGGAAAACCTAAATAGCCTAAAAATAACCCAAGAAACCTAAGAAGAAAACCTAAATAGCCTAAGAATAACTGAATAACCTAAGAAAACTGAAACAACATAATAAAAAAAACTGAAAACTGAAAAAAATAAAAAAACTGAAAACTAGAAAAACTTAAGGAATTTAATATGGCCAAATGTCCTATTGCCGATTGAGCGGTGGCCGAAATGAGTGCTGGCCCAAGTGAACCTCGGCCGAAATGAACGTTGGCCGAAGTGATCGGACGCGTGAATGGGATATGAATAAAACATTGGTCAGAAAAACAATGAATTCTGCTTGCGGATTTCACAAGAATTACTCGGGGGGACTCTCGGTTATTCCCTGTATTGGCCAAACACGGTTGCTAAAATGTTGCAGTTCCCTACGGTAAAAAGCTCAAAAACAAGCCTTCTATTCGAAATAGTAACGGAATGTGAAAGCCGATAGCTCCGCCTTCAGGATTGGCCATTCGCCGTTGTGTTTTGCTGTTCTGGGGATTTCTACCCCATACATTTCTTCCGTGTTTTTACGGATCTGCAGCACAGTTGTACTGACTGCAGAATCCTTCCTGATTAGTCTGGTGCTTGCTGCGCCACGGTGCGCGAGTTAGATTTTGGCATTAAAGCCTCAGTCCGGGTTCGCCGCTGTTTCGCCCGATTCGCCGTCGAAGGTACGTGGGCGCCCATTAGGCCCCACGTTACAGGAAGCAACCTGAATATCCTTAAGTGAGAAGCGGCAATTGTTTGTTTGAAAATTGGTGAACTCAAAGTTTCTGTCCCAGGCCAACCGTAATCCCACCTACTTTTGCAAAACAATTTTTAAAAACGTCAGACCTTTGCGTAACGCCCGTTAAATTTGACTTTGATATGCCGAAAACATTGCTCTTTCGAACGAAGCTGAAACGATGTCAGTGAGGCATCAGACAGACTCAGCGCACTCTGGTAAAACAAACCGCTATTTTGTTCAGCCGCACGGTACCTTTTAGTAAAGTAAAAAATTACTCTAACCATCGAGCTGTAGCCTGTCATGGCCCTGTATGTATGATCGTTGCGCAAGGTTTAAATATACTTCGTGCTGTGCAGTCCTACGGTATAACGCCAAAAAGTTGTTTATTTAATGATAAAAGTTAAAAAGTAGGCAGTGGTCACAGGAAGTTAAAAAAACCGTGGGGAGTCAAATCATAGTAGCCGTCCAAGAGGGTACTGCGTGTAGGGCCCTTGTAGGGCATACCTTGTATTCATACAAGCTTTCCGTTCAAGACGTAATTACGCGCCGATTTTAGTAATTGCGCCGCCGTGGCTGTGCTAGCGGTGTGTTGTGTACTGTGTATGTTAGTAAATCCAAATAAGAGATCATTTTGATGTAGCCGGAAGCCGAGACAAGTAACCGATTTGCAAAGAAAGCCTGAACTTGTGATATGTCGAAGTATTCAGTATTACGTTACACAAAATTACTTTAGATCAGCAGGTGTTGCAGTATTTAAAGACTCTGTATGTTCACTGAGCAGGAGCTATAATTATTGTATTTATGACAGCGGCGTGCTGTCACCCCATAGGATAATTGCTGTATATGTGGTTCAGTTGTGGTTCTGTAGTGGTTCTATGGTCGTTCTGTGTGGTTCTATAGGTTCACGTGAATCTATTTAACGTTGGAGTTTTTGTTTACTTGGTTCTATTGGTTCAAAACCAAATGAACCACTCGTGTCCTGGCCTATAGGTTCATTCCCATAGAACCACTAATGTCCTAACTTGGACATTCTATGACCGATTGATACGCAGTGACATCGGCAACACCAATGCTCGGCTCCGCAGATTTTACAAAGAAGGTGATAGATTAATGATAGCGTGGTGTTTAAAAAAGATGGGTAGATAGAAAGAGTAAAGCTGAAAAAGTATAGAGCGATGTTTAAAATGCCACATAGCGAAAGAAAAATAGAAACTAGGAAAGTGCACCGCTGTTGGCTTGCACTAAAAGACCGAAGCGAAGCGGGAAACCAAGGTTAATAAACTGTTTGCTGAGTTTGTTTTAAAACTGTTTTAAAAACAATTTTATATTTAAAAAATATTTTTTTATTCCGTATTTTTCGGTGTGCTTGTCCGTATTTTAGTTAAAATTATTGAAGCCGGAGGCGTGACCGACATGACCGACGTGACCGACAAAATTTCTGTTTTTCTTGAACATAGAGGACCTTCGCTTCGCTTCGGTCGATAACAAGGTAAAAAAAATTCTGAAGAAGTATTGTAGTAACTGCAGCGCTGCAGATTGCGGTTCTGCATCTAAAAGAATTTAGTTTGATTACTGTGATGGTTATTTAGAGAAATGAAGCAGAAGTTCCAAAACTGCAGATAAAAATGCCTCGTTTCCGGCAAAAACAATTTCATAATTTCTGTGTTATGTTTACTCGACGGGAAAACATTCATACAACTTGGTTATTGACTCTTTATGCGGTAGAAATGATCTGCCCTTCCTGGCGGAAATGGCCTCCAACTGGGTCGTGAATACGTTTGACGTCTCTAACTGTCTGTACTACGTACTTTGATAACGTACGTCAGACTACTCTAAATTCAGTATGAGAGAAAGATTTATATCGAGAAACACAAGCGCACGCCGGGGATTATGTACTGCTCATTTTGCAGACCGGTCTTTTAGCTGCTTGTCTTATTATTTTGGTGAAGTGAATTTAGCGTTAAGCTACACAGTACACGTCTCACACTAGAAACCTATCCGTGGCCGTAACTTAAAGGTTTTACTTAAAGTAATTTGGCTGTGGATGGTCTACTGGCTACTGTCGGTTTATGCCGCGCAGTTTGCGCGGGTCTACTAGTTTAACTTTGTTTTATTCAGCATCGTTCATCTGAGTCAGCAAAAAAAGGCAGTCATGGGCAAACACGATCAGAAGAGAGACTGATTCTGCCCAGTTTTTCTGTTAGTGAATCTTTTAACAGGTAATGGTCATTAAAATAATAAAAAAGTTGCAAGCTCGGCCACACTCTCTGTACTTCATAGTTAAGATCTGAATATTAAAAAACAACTACAGTAAATCTGTTAAATGAGTTAATGAATTGCACGAATCAAGCAAAATCCCCTGCACAACTGCTAGTGCTATACCTGATTTACGTATAATTTTACCTATGATTTTACAACAGATTTACGTATGATTTACCTATACCTGATGCACTTTCTTGCACCTTGCTCCAAAGCTATTTTTACTGTAATTCTTACTGTTGTTACGGTATTCTTACAGTATTATACTTAATATGATATTATACCTAATTTGTTACTCTCCAGCTTTGAATTTTTAGGGATAATGTTATGCGTGAGACTGTTTTAGCAGAAAACGTGGTGGGCATGAAAACTGGGTTCCTCTCTACAACGTCAACTTACGGTAGTGCAGTTTAAACTTGGCATCGATATGTATGAAGCCTGAATCATCGTGTAAGATAGTTAGCCGGATACCGATTCAGCAGCCAGCCAATTCATATCGCGGCCAGTCTTCCGGTTATCCCGCTAGACGGTAAAATATTGGCATTTCGCTGAACTGCACATGGTACACGTTTCAAGTGGCTGATTGCATTTTTTCCCGAACTGCGCTCATAATTTCCAGCATTCGGGCTGGGTTGTGCGCAGCGTGGCATTTATGGAACATGTGCCTATTTCAAGTGCTTTCATATTGCCAATCACTTTGCCAGTGATCAAAACAACTCAAAACTTGATGGATAAATGTTATTATGGCCAAAGTACATCGGTATCTATTCGTTACAGCAACCATTAATATTACAGTAGCAACCATTAACATTACAGTGGCAATAGCGCATTAGCGCTAGGTTTAATTCCAAATTGTAGACTGTCTGGTGACAGCTAAAGGCTTAAAATACTTCTATGCATACAACCAAAAGTGCAGGACCCATTGACAGACTGGTATTAAATTGTCCATTGTCATCCATACAACAAAAACTCGCTAAGACAGCAACCATTAAAGCCGATAAGAAGATATTCAAACTGCAGACATCAAAAGAAGTGCCAGAGTTCGCCAACTTGGTAAGGGGTTGTCGTTGAGAAATCATCACCGGACATCGTAGGAATGTTTCCAAAAATCAACAATGGAATGGTTTTCTTTCGCACATTGTGTAGAAATCCCAGGTATACGGTAAAATGTATTTGCGAAAAATCAACATCCACACCTACAGCGCACGCAAATTCAGAGTGCGTCGCATTCGCAAGAGTAGTTGCAAAACCGGCCAGGAGAATGTAATTCAGCCACATCGAAAGCCAAAACATCGAAAAAGAAACTGCGGACCAAGAACGTTCTTAGCTGTCACCCTCGTGCCGGTCGACTTCGTGCGCTCGCTACTTTACCGTCTGCTTAAACTTTTTATTTCGGCGCAGATAAAAGCCACCTGATGCACTCCAAATCGCACAAACATCTGACAGCCGACCCAGATGACATAATTATTGCGTCTTATGGTCAGAAATGCAATAGTACAGCATCTCGTTAACCGAAACAAATCGAACGAAGGGAAAGCTCCTTTCAAAAACATTATTATCGCGGGCGGGACGTAAATCGCATCGGTAAGTATGGGCTAATAAATGATGAATAAAATCAACATCTGGTAGCGCATATGCTTTTGGAAAGCGGATGACGTGTTTCTGTATATAAATCCCGCCTTTCGTTCGAAGAAGCTGCAGCGGCCGAGCAAAAATCTTTTACTTTTGACTTACAGATACTTCGTGATTTAGGTTTACCTCTTCATCCGGGCATGGCTATTTGTATATTTTCTGACGAAAATGTTTAGTAAATACTGACAATGTATACTCTAACACAATTGTGTAACGTTCGTTGTCCTAAGAATACCTGATTGTGATTTTAACAGCAGCGTCTAATGGCCTTAGAAACCTCGCTGCCTTTCTTCATGTATAAATCATCCTCCCATCGGACGGAACTTCCGCTTTTTATTAAGCAACACTTGCAATACTGCAGAATACAAAACTGTGTAATTGTAACTTCATCAGCTATTAGCGCAATAAGGGCGAATACTCGTATACTGATCCGTTTACAGTAGCAGTCTATGGAGTCTACGAGTCGTAAAGCATTGAAAATTACTATTTAAAAATTTTGTGAATGTTGACAATGTATTGAAATTTTGTGAATGTTGACAATGCTTTTTACCGGAATCTGTGTATTCAGACACTGGGCTATGACAGTGTCGCAGTAGGCATAGTTAAACGGGAGAAAACCTAAGAAAACCAACTAACTAAGAAACCACTAATGGAAAATCGGAAAGCCTGTCTTCTATCCTGCTTTACTCATCGCCATTGACGTCATCATTATCGTCGTTATCCTTGTAGCATGCATCCAAAGCTGCGAAGGTGATAGGACTCAGTGCAGCGATGTCCAGCTGGCGAAGATCCATCGTATCCCATTCCTTAGGCGCATCACCAGGGCGCAGATGGTTGAACCTGCAAAACAAGGTTAAATGTTTGTAGTTATATTAGGAAGCAAGTAGCTGGCGGACGGGGTTATGTAAGTACTTAATGGTTTTCTTAACTATAACATAATTTCGTACTTCGTAGTCCCAATGATTATTCTGCACAAGGTACAGAACATATGCAGAAAATAAACATGGAAAAAATTAGAAAATCAGTACAAAAAATAATAACGAACTTGGTACAGTTTTCTTAAGTTGGTACACATTACACAGTAACACGAATATCATACCGACCTTTGCTTATTACACCTGCTGTGGTTGCACAGATAGAATACGGCCGGACGGGTAATAAAACTGTGTTAATTTTTTTTTGCAGTGCCCAGGAAGACCAAGCTCTTTTTGTCGTACTTTAAAAAATTAATTACCGTGGTATAAGCGCTGTGAAAATCCAACACTACCAAACCACGTAGCAACAGTCACCAGTACACATTTGCGGCTGCAAGCGTCTGCAAGTGCAGGATACTGTCGCGCCGAGAAGGGCAAAAATGAAATTAGTTTAATCAAGTGCAGTGGCTCACGCGGCGTGACTGCAGTGTCACTGTTTTCTACGACGCAAATATCCAAAAAAATGCTTAATGAATTCAAACTTAAAAAAAGAGTAGAATCCTTAACTGGTAAAGAACACTGGAAGAAAATGTGACAAGGAATTCGAAAAGACCAGGTGTTCTCATAACCCACTAGTTGTCGCTGAATCCCTACCTCTTACCATGCCGTTTCATTGACATTATACGAGGAAGATACTGTAGATTCAAATAAAAGCAAACCTCTAGACAGTCCAAGACAACTAAAAACGAAATAACAGAAGTAAAAAAAATTGTTTTAGGGTGCATTCGCGTGCTGTTACTAAAAACGATTCGAACTTAACTAATCGGGTTTTTGGTCTTACGCAGCTAGTACGTACAGGTACAGAAAGATGCCAATGCTGTTCCACTGGTCCGGATAGGCTACCGTTCGTACCCAGCGCGCCTGAATGTTTGTGACCTTTTCGAACACCCGCTGACTAACGGCCGGACAGTGGACATTGAGCGCCGCTAGAACGATGCGAATATCCGCATGTTGGGTGGCAGTTTCTACGGAGTGAAAACGTAGACACGGAATGATAACTGGACTAGGATCAATATCCGGATCATGCCTGCGCAGCAATTTGCTCTCCGAAAGGGGCAAAAACGGATGACCACCCCATCCTAACAGTTCCACCGCTGCCCGCCTGATAAAATCGGAAAACTTGAAGTTGATTAGCACCAGCTGTTCACACACCGCCATCAGGTCATACAACCCGTTGCACTCTAATATTCCTCTGCGATTACTGCAGAGGATGTCCAGGAACGGATAGAGCTTCGAAAGTGTATTCCGGCCAATGCCATTCTTAATAAAGATTGCACGCGGGCGAACACCTTTGATGGCTAATACAGCTGCGGTCAGCCTCATCCGTTCATCGAGATCGAATCCGTCGTGGAGATGGTTCCCATCCTCTGTCAACGCCAGTGTCTGCGTGCGCACCGAGATTACGCGGTCTAGTGTCGTTACCAGTTTGTACGCGAGATACTCAGCATATTCTGATCTTACGCTAGCATCGAGAACGTCTTTTGCATTCCCTTTTGGCAGGTCTTGTGGCTGTCGTTCGCAGTTGGTACAAAGATCGAACAGGATGTGTCGGTCGTTTGCGTGCTCGCAAGAAAGCAAACTCCACAGGGCGCATACTCTATAAAAATTAAAATGCACGTGTCACTCAAGACCGGAACAAAGAATTTCTAGATGAGGGAAATACTTAGATAGAGTTCTGAATAAAAAGATTCAGAAAAAAGTAAAAATAATTCATTTTGGGTCAGAAGGTTTCATGGCCTGACGGCCAGGAGAAAATACCACCATACCGGTCGAAATTGTATTGTCGAGAGATTTCATTATGCAAAGCTTCAGAAAGGACAAACTGGACGCAGAACAAGCGTAAATAAGATTCCAGGTAGATTATTTCGATAGAACACGACAGCAACGACTTGCCTGCGCGCCCAAAATTGTGATTCCACATCCAAATAGGAGTGTACAGAAGCCACGATCGGATGTGCAAGTTCACTGATGGACATTTCTTCAAAATCTGCAAAATTTATATACATCCTGCCAAAAAGCAAGATAAACCTTGAAATACTATCAAGTTTAAATTAGCGCATGGCCATTGATGGGAACACTGTTACACTGACCTTCGTTAAGCGCGTACCCGGAAGTCGTGTGCGTATCAACTGGATGTGTTTTCAGCTTCAGGGTGAGATAGTCATCGCAAGCTTGTCTCAGTGATTCTTCATCCCAAAAGATTGAAGTAATTCTCTTTCTGAAATCGTCTTTATAATCCTTCATTTCGGCGCAGATAAATGTGATGTCATCCAATCCCACTCGCACGAACATTCGACACCCGACCCCGATGGCACATTCCGTCTTAAGGTCAGCATTGCAGTAATGGAGCATCTCGTCCATTGAAATGAGTCGAACGGAGGAACAGTTCCCGTCACAAAGATGATTACCGCGGGCACGAGGAAGCACCCATCGGCAACTACGGGCTAATAATTGGGGAATGAAATCAACATCTGGTAGCACTTGTGCTTTGGGAAAGCGGATAACATGTTTTTTGTACAAGAATGCCGCTCTTCGTTCAAAGAAACTTTTCTCCTCTTCCGGCATGAAGAGCTTGCTGTACAAAAATCCCACTGTTAGTTCGAAGAAACTTTTCTTATGAATCGGCAGCTTTTCGGTGCAATGGTTCCAATGCACGATATGCTGACCATGCATCCCGTCAGGAATGTTACCAGTCAAAAGTACACAATGGAAAGGACTGATAATATAAGTGTCCACGAGAGTCCCTGGCCAGAAAACCATTGGGTCAGCATTAGTCCTCCGCAGCGCTATGTGCACCGACGAGCTTTGAAGAGGTGGCTGTAAAAAATGATGCGGCCAAAGATGACTGGAATGGATCCACTGAGCGCTGATGCTGCTGGCATCGAAGTCAACGTAGAAGTTAGGACCGTCAATGTCTTGAACGTATCCTAACCACCACTGGTCGTTATCACGCTGTACCAGCACCGTGTTCCCGTAGTTCAACTCAGGCAAACCCGTGAACAACTTGCGAAAGTACCGTGATGTCGCATTCATGATGTAAAATAGCCAAAAGTATTTATCCACACTTCACTGAAGTTGGCGAGTAAATCAAAAGATCACACAAATAAATGCGATTTTAATGCATAGTATCCTGTGACGGAATAAAGCCGATTATCCGAAAACAAGACGGGCGGATATATGGCAAGCATGAACACGATAAAACATCCAGGCGATATTCCCGGAAAAATCGAAACTCCATCCAGCATGGCAAAATTCAGGGAGCCAAGCAGGATGGTGGATGGGCTGTAAGCATTTTGCCACACAGGGAGTGTACACAGCATTTACAGTACTTATATAGCGCAGCATGTCCACATCCACGCGCGCGACTGCACTTTCATCTCATTACTCATTCACCACAGATGTACAAGGATCGATTTCCTTGTTCTACCACTCAGCCGTGTCGTCATGGGCTTTGGGATCAATGTGCAGAACATACAGCACCATTTTAAACTAAAGCATTTCCGATACTTATGCTCGTGTCGTTAGTTTCTAAAATAAGCAGTAATCTACTGTTTTATTGCTAAGAGGAGGAGGTAGCTGAAGAAGCACTTTCTTATAGAACTTCTAAAATAATTTGGAGAAAACGAATTAGAAATAAACATCTTTAAACATGTTATCTTTTTGTGACCTTCGGTTGCACGTCAGAACACACGTCCGAGTTTTACTAAAACATAGATCCATGTGCAGCGGCTGATGCGCCTGGAAATCGGTCCGGAAACAGGGTTTTACGGAAGGAGCCAGTTCCGCTTAGGGCATACCCATTACGGCAATATGGACGATGGCTATTTTGCCGCAAAATAGCCTTTCACTATTTAACCGCACACTGGGTCACAATATCCTCTTCGTTTTTGTCACAATTTGAGCTTCGGTCGGCTAATACACGGCTTTTTTTACTTTTTATTATTATCATTCTTATTAATTTTTCTCGGATTTTTTAGAATTTCCAAGCTTTTCTTAGGTGCCCAGTTTGTTTTTGCCGTGAATACCGTCTCATCTTGAGCACTAACGATTTTGGTGGGAGCGGCTCGAAGGGTTCCATCCCCGCATTTCTCATTTCTCGTGCTGGTTTGTAGGTGATAGTGAGTTAACTTACTTTTTCTGAGTGAATCTGCACTTCTCGTACTTCTTTTTCAGTTTACGCTATCAGTATTAAGCACAAATACTGCACGTATCGCCGCTGACCAATCTTTAACGTTAAGAACCAGCTGTGTTTGTCGAACACAACTGCAAATTCATTATGACCGCTTGAAATGGAAAAATTACGATAACAAATTACGATAAATTATAATGGGTACGAGTAGCAACAACTCCGTGCTCGAAGCAATTGCTGCAAGTATTGTAGTGAACAACACTTCCTTCCACTCAAGACAGAACACTTTGCTATTGAACTCTTGAAACGAATAAATTCGTCAATTTTTGAAATTTTTTAAACTTTTAACTGGGATTTTGGTTTCATGCAAAGGCAGCGGTACGATCGCCTTTAACCATCCCTCCCTTAAGTTTCACACAGTCATTACAAAATCGTTACACTCGCTACTAACTGCTTAGCACTTCATCCAGCATAGCACTACACCTCATTCAACAAGCGTGTTTGCCAGTTTCGTTTTGTGCTGTTGTCTGTATTTGTGTTCACATTCCATCATGTTATATTTAGTATGTATTTATTTTACTGTCCACTCTGTGAAGGGGCACGGCCCTCGCTCGAAGACAGTACTGTAAATTCTTTATTATTATGGCAAAATATAAACAACTAACTATTACGAGGGAAAAAAGGCCCAAAGATTTATCTTTTCGGATCACCCTTTATTTCAAATACATCCGCATCTATATATGGCAGAATTACAACAACTAATGCAGTGAAAAACTCCAGAAATCTATTTTTTCTAAATCCTACTCTAGCTGGTCTTTGTAGCATTCATCCAGAGCTGCGAAGGTGATAGGAGTCCACGTAGCGACGTCCAGCTGGCGCAGATCCATTGTATCCCAGTCCTTTGGCGCGTCACCGGGGCGAAGATAATTGAACCTAATAAGCAAGTTTTACGGCGTGTAACCAAATAGGTAAACCAAATAGCTGGCGGCTGGACAGGTATGAACCTGACTTGGTATACTCGTACGGATATTGTTCGCTTATAGTAAACTTATCCCTTCTTGTGTAGGCACACTAATGAAAATAAAAAAAACAGTACGTTAAGCGATAGCGATGCTGATGGGCATGGAAACACCTCGGTTTCGGGTCTGACAGTAACTGAGGCAACACTCGGTTTCGAGTGTTCGAGTTCGCAACAAAAACAGGTATCCAAAAAAATGATTCAACCGATTCAAAGTACGACACAAAAGCACGTTTTCCTGAACCTGCCAAACACACCGAAAGAAAAGGAACAAGGAATGAGAACAGGGGAGTGTAACACGACTCAACAGTAAGTCCGCACCTCCTAGCATACGCTTCTTTTTACGTCATGCATCACTGGGCAGCGAATATTCAAAAGCAAAAAAGACCCTTTTGTCAATTAAAGGCAGCTAAAATTAAAACAACAGTGCCAAATTATCAAATCAAGTTAGACTACTCGGAGTTATACTAATCATACTGAAATTATCTACCTAATCTGTTTTAAGGATCGGAGGTCCTACGCAGCTACTACACGTACAAGTACAGGAAAATGTCGATGCTATCCCATCGATCGTTTTCATAGGGTACCGTTTCTACCCAGCGCGCATATATGGCTTTGACCTTTTCGAACACCCGCTGACTGACGACGGGGCAATGGTCGTTGATCGCCGCTAGAATGATGCGTATATCGGCATACTGGGTGGCTGTTTCTACGGAGAGAAAGCGTAGACACGGGACGGTAATTGGATTGGGATCAATATCCGGTTCATTCCAGCGCATTAGTTCAACCTCGGAATCGGGCAAACGTGGTATAGCGCGTCCCACTAACTTCATCACTGTGCGTCGGATAAAATGGCTGAATGTACAGTTGACCAGCACCAGCTGCTCACACACCGCCATCACCTCCGACAACCCGTCGCATTCTATCAGTTTATTGGCATCGTCAAAACTGTCAAAAAAACGATCGACCTCCAGAAAGTGGGAGCGCGACCCCAGAGCAGCATTTTTAAGCATGATTTTACGCAGACGGACACCTTTGCTGGCTAGCACAGCTGCGGTGGTTTTCATTCTTGAGGCGAGATCGAACTCGTGGCAGTGATCCCCGTCATCTCTCAACGCCAGCGTCTGCGTTTGTGCCGAGATTGCTCGGTCTAGCGCGGCTACCAGTTTGTACGCGAGATACTCCTCGTATTCCCCTCTTACGCTTGTATCCACAACGTCATTTGCATGCCGTTCTGGCAAGTCTTCTGGTTGTCGGTCGCAGTTTGTGCACAAATCGAACAGTATATGCCGGTGGTTTATGGATTCGCGAGAAATCAAACTCCATAACGCACAGACTCTAGGAAACATAAATTTCATTCTAAGCCGGCATAAGGAATTGTAGGATGGGAAGAGATTCGAAAAGATAATAGTTTGAATCGAAAGAATTCAGAAAAATTGTAAAATTTTCCACCCCTCCTTCCCAGGCATTTTGGTCAATTTTCGCGGTTTTGATCAGATAGTAAAAAAGCCTGATGGCCAAAGAAAAGACTACCTTATTTCCTAAAGCTCTAGCTTTGAGAGATTTCATTATCCAGGGATTCAGAACGGACGCAAACTGCACACAAAACAACCCTAAATGGATTTCAATTACAGTAACTCAATAAAACAGGACTGCAGCGACTTGCCTACTCGTCCGAAATTGCGAATCCACATCCAGATTAAACAGTACAACGGCTATGATCGGATGCGTAAGGTCACTGATGGAAATTTCGCCAATACCTAAAAACTTTAGACAGCTTAGACTTAAGAGAAAAAAAAATGAAATGACTGATTTGAAAAATGATTTCACACTGACCATTCTCCAGCGCTTGCTGTGCAGTCGTGTCCACACGATTTGGCATTCTGGTCAGTGTGAAATAGCCATCGCAAGCGTATCTCAGTGATTGTTCATCCCAGAAGATTGAAGTGTTTCCTCTACTAAAAGGGTCTTCATAATCTTTCATTTCGGCGCAGATAAAAGTGATCTCGTTCAATCCCACTCGCACAAACATTCGGCACCCGACCCCGATGGTATACTGCGTCTTATGATCAGAATTGCAATAGTACCGCATCTCGTCCACCGAAACGTGTCGATCGAAGGGACAGTTCTCATCACAAACAGTATTGCTACGAGGTAACACCCATCGGCAAGTACGGGCCAACAAATGAGGGATAAAATCAACATCTGGTAGCGCATGCGCTTTGGGAAAGCGGAGGACGTGTTTTCTGTATACGAATCCCGCTGTTCGTTCGAAGAAACTTTTATCATCTTCCGGCATGAGAAGTTTTCTGTAGAGGAATCCCACAGCACTTCCAAAGAAACGTTTCTTATTTTCCGGCATCGGCAGCTTTTTAGTGCAATGATTCCGGTGCACGATATGGCGATCGCGCATCCCGTCTGGAATGTGTCCAGTCAAACGTACAGAGAAGAATGGACCGATACGGTGTTCCACAACAATCCCTGGCCAGAAAACCATTGGATCTGCATGGGTGCGCCGCAGCGCTATTTGCACCGAGGAGTCCATACACACGCCACCAGAAAAGTGGTGCGACCAGAGACGGCTGGAATGAATCCAGTGAGCACTGATGCTGCTGGCATCGAAGTCAACGAAGAAGTTAGGACCATCAATGTCCTGAACGAATCCTAGCCACCACTGGCCGTTATCACGCTGTACCAGCACCGTGTTACCGTAGTTTAACTCACGCGAGCCCGAGAACAACTTGCGAAAGTACCGTGATGTCGCATTCATGGTGTAAAACAGCCAAAAGTTTTTCTTCACAGGACACTGCAGGTTTTAGATAAAACAAAAAAATATCAGGCGAATTGACGGGAAATCGTCGGGAATCTACTGCATAGTATCAAGCCATAGAATAAAGCATAGTACGTATTCAAAATGAAGACGGGGGATAGGCTGTGTATCAAACATAAACAGGATAAAACATATCTGCGAAATTCCCAGAAAAATCGAAACTCCATCGAGCGTGGTAAAATGTGGGGAACCGCGCGGGATAGTGGATAAGGCACGCAAAGCGCCTTCAAAATGCCACACAAGGACGAAATACGAGTCTGTGCGGCACGCGGCGGAATTCCGATCGATTGAGCATTGTTGCAGCAGAAACTGTGGCTGTAAAGTGTATAATAAGGCCATCGTACGTAAGGGAATGTCTGATAGCAGCATCATGCCAGCATGCACCCATCCGCGCGTGCGACCGCACTTTCAACTCGTTACTCCTCCACTACAGATGTATCGATTTCCTTTATTTATGTACCACTGAACTGTGTTGTTACCGCCTTTTGGACCACGGTATTACCGTATACAATGTCCTTAAGCATTTCCGATAAGGTGAACTTTTATTGTAAGTTTCGATTCGCCATAGTTGCACGTCCAACTTCCGGCACTGAACCCTGAACTTCAAATTCGCATTGTGATAAGAAACTCTATTTTCAGGAACAAATTTCCATGTACAAGTCAATAATGGGCAGCGGGCTGCCATTACAGTTAGAATGTCAATTGTCAAACTCAAAACGAAACTTGAGCGAACATACCATCCCAGAAAAAGGATAACAGCTAGCAAAGTTTTGTGCTGGCGTTGTAAATAGTCAACATCCAGCAACTGTCCATTTGAACTTTAAACACATTGCAGCAGAAATACTTTAATAACCATGTCCCTGACTTGCTTCAGTCTTGAAAGCATCCATCCAGTGCCGCGAAAGTGACATGCGTCAGATCAGCAAGTTCCAGTTTACGGAGGTCCACGGAATCCCATCGCTGCGGAAGGTCTCCAGGGCTAAAGGTATTGAACCTGGCAAATAAAGAACAGCCAAACCAGTCCCTACTTAACGGATGAACAGATTGTCTACTTAGATGATGGGTTAAAAAAAGATTCAGTAATCTAAAGCTGATACTACGCACAGCTGCAGAAAAACGCGGATGCAGCTCCAGTCCTCCGGATAGGCCAAAGTGTTCACCCAGCGCGCATATATCGTTGTAACCTTTTCAAACACCCGCTGACTAACGGCCGGACAGTGGTCGTTGGCCGCGACTAAAAGACTGCGGGCCTGCTCAGTGGGTGTTTCCACTGGACGGAAGCGAAGACACGGAATGGTTACGGGGCATTCAGTACCGCTCGAATAATTCCCCCGCATCAGCGCCTTCTCTGACTGAGGCAAAACGGATGCAGCATCCCAGTCCAGCATCTGAATCGCGGCTTGGGTAATGAAATGCCGCGCCGATAGGTTGATGAGTACGAGCTTTTTACACACCGTCGTAATCTTCGACAGCCCACAGCATTCCCATTCTTCGCTAGGATGATGATGGTCAATGTTCAGGAAACGCGACTGGAAAGCGGTATCACGATCGGTGTTCTTCACTAGAACTACCGGAATCCGAATGCCCTTGCTGGCTAATACGGATTCGGTCGTGGTCACTAATGTGATGAGATCATAATCATCGCAAAAACAGTGAATCGATTCCATCAAAGTCAGCGTCTGCATTCGACTGGTACACATACTGTCCAACATGGCTCCCAGTTTATATGCGAGAAATTCAGCATAATCTTCTGTTTCGCTAATAACGGCAAAGTTGGCGCAGTGTTGTGATAAGGTATGTGGTTTCTTATCCCACATTGTGCCCGCATCAAACACGATGTGCCGATGATTCAAGTAATGGCGATAAAGTAATCTCCACAGAGCACAAACCCTGGTGGTTAAACAGCAGAGCAATTACTTGTGACGTACAGAGTGCAAAAGGGTAATACCGTAGTAGTTAGGCTTGTAAACGTAAACAACGCTGCAGTGGCTTACCTGCTCATCCGAAACTGGGAAGTTACATCCAGACACTGCAGTAGAGAAGCAAAGATCGGAAGCGAAAGTTCGGTGATGGAAATTTCTTGTATATCTGCAGATACTTGAGTCTGTCATTAGAAACAATTTTTAAGCAAAACGAAAGTACTGAAATACAAGGAAGAGTTAAGGGGATATACTAGTAGCGATTTGTAACATGCCAAACGCGGGCTGCGTGTCTGCGTAGTAAACAATTTTCAAGGTAGCCAGGCTACCTTGAAAATTGTTTACTACGCAGACACGCAGCCCGCGTGCGGTTGGGTATGCTTCGTATCTAACTATGGCGGCAGCTACGTGAATGGTGACTTCCGTCATTTTAAACATTTCGTTTTAGGCAGATTTGTGTTTCTGTTCAATTCTTTGTTTTTCAAAGCCCTCTCAGTTTAAAGATCATTTTTTTCTATTCTGGAAAGCGTAGTTACTGTAACTTCTCTGGGAACGAAGCAAAACCAGTATATCGCCTTAATCAGTTGAGTTCGGCACTGCCACACTGATCTTGCGAAAGTCCGTCCAGTGGAATCATGTCCCGATCCACTGCCTCTATTGCTACTTCCTCTGTCAAATAGTCATCGCAAGCTTTTTTCAGTGACTCTTCATCCCACAACATGTTGCAACCGGCTTCATTATCGTGCATTTCGGCACAGACAAAACTCACTGAGTCCAGTCCCACTCGCACGAACATTCGGCACCCCATTCCGATGAAATACCTCGCCTCACGGTGAGATTTGCAGAAAAACTGAACCTTGTCCACAAATATGCAGCGATGATAGCGACAGTTCGCATCACAACCATTTGTCCCGCGACCTACCACGAGTCGGTATGTATGGGTCAGAAACATCGGCAGAAAATCTATGTCTAGCAATCAGCTGTGCTGCGAGAAAGGGAATGATATTTCTGTACAGAAAGCCGGTAGACCGATCGAAGAAACTTTCCCCATCATCCGGCAATGGCTACTCCTTGGCACAGTGATTCCGATGCACGATTTGCTGCTGTGGTAGCCCGTGAGGATTGTCCCCGTTCAGATGTACAGCGTAAAATGGCTCTGGTTCACTGTCCGCAATGGTACCAGATCAATTCATCAGAGGTTCAGCTGGGGTAAGCCGCAGCGCCGCTTGAACCGAGGAGCCCTGATCCGGTTGATCATTAGTAATGAAATGGTGCGGCCAAAGACGGCTTGGGTGAATCCATTGAGCACTGATCCCTCTGGCATCGAAGTCCACGAAGAAATACGGACCATCAATGTCCTGAACGTAACCTAGCCACCACTGGTGGTTACCGTGCTGCACCAGCACCGTGTTCCCGTAGTTGAGCTCGCGCGAGCCCGTGAACAGTTTACGAAAATACAGTGATGTGGCGTTCATAATGTTAAACAACCGAAACCATCCATGATCCATGTATCCACATTTCAGTGTATTTAATGGCACAGAAGAAAGGATAGAATATAGACATGTATGTATCACTAATATTCATAACTATGATGAAACAGGCATTCGGGAATACGTAGGAAATTGAAATACCGTAGAGCATGGCAAAATTAAGATTAGCACAAGCATAATGAAGCATTGAGAGCACTGAGATTCGAATATGACAGCGAGACTTCGACAGATTGTACAAGACTGAGCACATGAATACCGCACGTATAAAATTGACGCGATCACATTTTCCTCGCATAGCAGCAGCAGCATCGCGGTCGCGATATATCGGGATCACGGATCAGTGCCGCTCTACAATAGCGCAGTATGCTACGAGTATATGTAGGCATAAAGTGCCCAGTCGCACACATTTGTATTGATTTCCTGTCTTTGCTGTACCGCTCATAAGACAATGAAACTTATAAAACACTAGCATTCTGGATACTGTATTGTCAGCTTTCATAAAGGGAAGATGGTACGCTTTTTTTTTACAAGCAGCTTGTACCAGTGCAACTGATTTTTTTTTATTTCGTAAACAGCGATTTCGTAAAAATGATATACTCTGTAATGGCACAACCAGACGCCTTCCACCGCTCTCTGTATTGCTGCCGTCGCCGGCTGGAGTGTGACGTTAGGGCTGAACTTGGCCCTCATGTACCGCGCCGGATTTAATATATATATGTATATATATGCATGTACTGCCCTAACGTCACACGCAAAGCGGGTGACGACAGCAGGGGAACGGTTGAAGGCGTTTAGTTTTGCCCGTTATGTAGGCAGAACAGAATGCTACATCCCCGCAGGCAAATTCAAGACGTTTTCTGTATCTGTTGTAATCATTTCGAATAGTTTCCGCTGCTTGTTAAATGTATAATGTAATGGTTCTTTTGTGACTGTTAGATTGTTTTTGTATTCGGCGATTCGCTCATCCAAGTTTAATACCTTCAGGGATACATACAATGTCATCTGAAGCAGTAAATGTACAGTGCATCTGTCCTCACTGCTTTACATTTGCATTTACAATGCAGTTTTTCATTTACATGCACATTTACAAGAACATTTACAAGAACATTTACAAGAACATTCGCATTACTGTACCATTGCCCTTGCTCCAGATGTTCGTTCATTCATTTTTCTCGAACACCTAAAGCAACGGCAATGACTGTACATTATATATTTTACGCGTACGTTGACATGCACATTCACGTGTACATAGCATTCACGTGTACTTTACATTTACATTTACATGCACATTTACCTGTACATCTACATTGTGCATAACATATGTGCATATACAAGTACAATTACATTACGATTTATTTACGTTTAGATTTAACAAATTAGTTAAGACTCGGATAAAGATCGGATTTGAAAATCCGATCTATATTGCTTGCTTTTGTACCACAATTAAGAACTACTATAAACAAACACCTTATTCTATTTGAAAATATATATTTTGGATCAGATTCGGATTTCAAATTTATATCTAATTCGTATTAATTTTCATAGTGTCCATAAGCAATCAAAGACCGGATTCGGTTCGCACCAACCGTTCAACTACGCCAACAAGTACAATATGCGCAACTCTTCCTTACGTATACATGCACCATACATGTATTCCCTTACTGTCAGTCTGTCACGATATCATTTCTTATAGCTTTGCGCCTTGATTTCCGGATGAACCATGGTCTATCGAAGGGGCAGTAAAGGTTCCAGGGAATGTTTTTTTGGCATGTATCCAGTAATGACCAGTATCCACTGTATACCACAATATCCTACCCGTATCACTCATGTACCCTCCTTATTTTCCACCTTGCTTTATGAATCACTGATAATCCTACCGCATCCCTGCAATATCCTGAATTTAGCCTCCTTCCAAAAGAAACTTAAGTAAGCTATCCGGATAATAAAAGAAACGGAACGGATAAAGAAGCGGTCTTTTAGGATAAGCTGAGGTACTGCAGTTACTTGATTATTGTAACCCCGCTGTAAAGAATATTCAGCAGGTTAAGGATACTGTTTGGATACGGCAGATACCGTGGCTTTTGAATGTGGTACGTATGCAAACTTCACTTGGTATCCTCCATGTACATACATGTACAAGTACATGTACCGTATTACGGACACAGTATTGCTTATACTTTCGTTCTTTTTAATTAGCATCCTAAAATATTCTCACAGTATCCTTCACGTATCCTTTCTCCTCCACGGAACGTCGTATCCTGTTGGTTTCTTAAAGTTTGGCACCATGTATACGGGCCATTTTACATAATGGAACATTTGTTCTGGGAGATGCGTAATAGGGAAACAGTTACTTTTGGAGTGTCCTTCGTACCAAGTGTATACGTACGCAGGTATACGAACATACAAATACTCGTATATCAGGGGCCTTAACATTTAACACAATTATCTCATTCATTATTACACTGATGACAACAACAGAAGAAATTGTACTTGAAACCATAGCATCCAGAAGAAAGCCATCGACATAATAACATGATTACCACGCTTGGTGCTGCCACAGCCAGCACTGCCGCGGTGCAGTCACAGTGGGCATCAAGACATCGTGAAACTAGTTATTAAAAAAGTCAACGCAAGGAAAATAAGAAAGGTCAAAAAGGTTGCAAAAAATAAGAAAGGTCTCCTCTGTTTGCTTTACTCATTGCCATCGTCGTCTTCGTCCTCCTCCTCGTCGTCGTCATCATCATCCTTATCATCATCATCGTCGTCAAAGCATCCATCCAGAGCTGCGAAGGTGATAGGGCTCTGCGCAGCGATGTCCAGCTGGCGAAGATCCATCGTATCCCATTCCTTCGGTGCGTCACCAGGACGCAGATGATTGAAACTGACAAACAAGATGTAGCCAAGTTACGAAATAAACAGCGCGTAGATGGACCAGGGTATGCGTAACTACTTCGTGGTTTGCTTAAAGTACTCTGTAGTGCACTAGATCTCGGTAGCTGTCTATACAATTACACATATTTGTGCAGGTAATTAATGGAATTGTATGTTTGGAGGTAGGAAATACTGGCGGGTAAAGAAACATTTCGTTTTTTATCGAGTACCCTGTGAGTCTATCTCGAGAACTTTTCTTCTGGCAAGCCCAGGTAAACCTGCTCTTTTCAACGTACATACTCTAATATCATTTTCTTTATGAAAAATTGATGCCTAAACGTTCAATCCACGCGAGTTACTGCATTACTTTATCAAACTTTGTTTTGATTACGAGACCCACCACTAGACCGTTGGATGCTAGCTAAACATAAAAAAAATCAAAATTTTCCAGTCTTTTTCACGCTGCTTACTTGAGCCAACTACAGATAGATCGAACTGAATTAAATTACTAATCTGTTTCCGGACTTGCGCAACTACCACGTACAAGTACAGGAAGACGGCAATGCTGTTCCACTGATCCGGATAGGCTAGCGTTCGCACCCAGCGCGCATGTATGGCTTTGACCTTTTCGATCACCCGCTGGCTGACGGCCGGACACTGGTCGTTGAGCGCCGCAATAACGATGCGAATGTGATCAGAGGCAGTAAGTACGGAGCTAAATCCTAGATACGGGATGGTAATTGGACAGGGATCAATGTCTCGGTCATACCAGCGCAGCAATTTTCTTTCGGAATCGGGCAAAGGCGGATCACCACCGTATTCCAAAAGGTAGTTTGCGGCGCGCGTGATAAAGTGGCTGAACGTAAAGTTGGCCAGCACCAAATGCTCACACACCGCCATCACCTTCGGCAACCCGTGGCATACTAACAATCCAGTTTGAAGGCTACGCTCGATTTCCAGAAAGAAGTCATACGCCCGCGCAGAAGCGTTCCGGCTATTCTTAATTATAATTGTGGGCACACGAACGCCTTTGCTGGCTAATACGGCTGCGGTCATTTTCATCCTTGAAGCGAGATCGAATCCCTCGTGCAAGTGATTCCCGTCTTCTGTCATCGCCAGCGTCTGCGTTCGTACGGAGATTGCGCGCTGTAGTGACGCTACCAGTGTGTACGCGAGATACTGAGCGTATTCATCTGCGACGCAGTTATAGAGATAGTCATTTACATGGCGCTCTGGCAAGTCTTGTGGTTGCCTTTCGCAGTTTGTACAAAGATCGAACAGGATGTGCCGGTGGTTCACGGGCTCGCGAGAAAGCAATCTCCACAGCGCACAGACTCTATCAAAAGCAAATTAATGTCACTCAAGGATTTAATCGATTTAGCTGGCTATTAAGTGCAGGCCAGAGGAGGTCTGGAAAGATTTTGAATAAAAATAATGTCAAAAAATATTATTACACGGTTATTACACGGTTACAATTTACACCCCGGCTAACGGTCCAAAGAACATTAGGTTAGATTTTATTTGGTTTAAGAGATATAATTAATACACATTTGCAAATGGAATTTTTTAGGTTAGTTTTTTTTTAAATTATTATCAGTTTTTTGTATCATTATGGAACCAATCCGACTGCACAGTTTCAACGTGTCTGGCTTCCCTTTGGTCTTCTAGCGCTAGCCTATAGGAGTGCAGTTTTATACCGTATTTTTCGAATTAGAAGCCCTAGGCTACTCAATTTTCAAAGGTGTCCGGAGTGAGGCTTATACGGCAGAGGAGGCTTATATTGTGGGGGAGGCTTCAGAAAGGGTAGTTATATAAGGCTTCAGAAAGGATAAAGTGTACACAGAACAAACAGAAATGGATTTTACTTGTACATTATTGAGATGAAACAGAGCTGGAGCGACTTGCCTGCTCATCCGAAGCTGGGAATGCTCATCCAAGTAGAGCAGTACAAACGCTATGATCGGATGCGGGAGTTCGCCGATGGACATTTCTTCCATACCTGCAAAATTCGTACAGTTTAGGCTTTAGGAGCAAAATAGGAAAACCCTACGGATACTATCAAGATTCAATTAGAAACCGCCGGTTGATTTCCACACTCATACACTGACCCTCCATAAGCGCATGCCATGAGGTTGTGTCCTTATCAACTGGCTGGGCTTTTAGTGCCAGTGTGAGATAGCCATCGCAAACTTTTCTCAGCGCTTCCTCATCCCAGGATACACTTACACCCTTTTCAAAATTTCGCATTTCGGCACAGACAAAGGTGACCGCATCCAATCCCACTCGCACGAACACTCGACACCCGATTCCAATAGTATAACTCGCATCGTGGCCAGAATTATTGCAATAGTACCGCAGTTCGTCCACCCAAACGCTGCGAGTGAAGAAACAGTTACCGTCACAACTGCTTTCGCCGCGGCCTAAAATCCACCGGCAACCACGGACTAATAAATGAGGGATAAAATCAACATTTGATAATGCCTGCGCTTGGGAGAAACGGATGACGTATTTTCTGTACAAGAAGCCCGCCGTTCGTTCGAAGAAGCTTTTTTCATCTTCCAAGCTTTTTTCATCTTCCGAGGTAACGTGTTTTCTGTAAAGAAATCTGGCAGCTCGTTCGAAAAAACTTTTCTTATGTTCCGGCATCGGCAGTTTTAAGACGCAGTGATTGTGATGTACGATATGCTCCCCTTGTATCTCGTCAGGGCTGTGACCAGTCAAACGCACATGATAGAATGGAGAAATGTTATCGTTCACGACGGTTCCTGGCAGGAAAACCATTGGATCAACACAGGTACGCCGCAGCGCTATCTGAACCGTGCTACCTTCGAGGTGTCGATTGGTACTGATGAAATGGTGCGGCCAGAGACGGCTGGAATGAATCCACTGGGGACTGATGCTGCTGGCATCGAAATCAACGTAGAAGTTGGGACCGTCTACATCTTGAACGTATCCTAACCACCACTGGTCGTTATCACGCTGCACCAGCACCGTGTTCCCGTAATTCAACTCACGCGAACCCGAGAACAGCTTGCGAAGGTACCGCGATGTCCCGTTCATGAAGCAGAATAGTCGAGAACATTCAGTCGCTTTTTACAGCACAGATGGAACCGAAAACGAAAAGATCAGACTACGTAATAGACAGGAATTTATTGCATGCTGTTATGCTGCACAATAAACCAGATTATTCGAAACGAAGACTGAGTATACTGAGGCTGTATAACAAACAAAGAGACCATAAACATCCATGCGAGATTCTTGAAAAAATCGAAACTTTGTCAAGCATGGAAAAATCTGGGGACCAGCGCGGGATGGCAGATACATTGAATTCAGCCTTCAATGTGCCACACAAGGACGAAGTACGGTATTTTATATGCACAACATTTTAATTTTAAAGTACTCGTACATACGTGAATCCCCGATGCAGCGTTACATGCACACACGGCACATTCACCGTGGATTTGTGGATGATCCACGTGCGCCGCCGTACTTTGTACTAACTCGTTGTTCATGCACCAGAGATTTATCGATTGCCGTGTTTTACCACTCTAACGTGTCGCCACTCGTCATAATTTTTGCGATCACGGTAACGTACAGTAAAGCATCGAGCATTAAGACTACCTAATTATAATGCTTTTTACCTTTTAATGATTCTCTTTTGAGCGTTGCTTGGATGCGGCTTGGTAACTTTATCTGCAATTCGCATTAAGTTTAGTCGCCTGAATTGGCTACATTGTTGCGCTTGATTGTTGATACTGAAATGACGCAAACCGCGTATTACAATATTTACGAAAATTACTCTTATTTATAAGTTAACTGAGTATTCGCCATAATTGCACTTCGAAGTTCCGAAACCGAACCCTGCAATTCATACGGCATTTTGAAGAAACTCTGTTCTGTAAGGATAAATTTATCTTTTCCTTAGCTGCAAGTGCCATTACACTTTTACAGTCAGCTTGTGCACTTCAAAACGGAAACATGAGCTAAAATGCCATTCAGGAAAAACGAAAACAGCCAGCAGATCATTTGAACTACACAAGCAAATACAATAGCAAATTTTGGTAACCGTGCCCCCAAGGCCCAAACTTGCATTATTCTTCGAAGCTTCCATCCAGCGCTGCAAACGTGACATTTCATGTCTTTACTATCCTTTCGAATACCTACAAGGATACATATATATACATGATGACCTTGTAAATCAATAAATTAACGGTGCATTATTTTATTAATAGTGCTCTACATTTGCATTTACACTACGGTAAAATCAAATCGTACTTTCCTTACGTTTATATATTTTGCCTCAACCTTTACATTTCCATGTACAATGTACAGTAATCATACATGTACATTTACATGTACATTAATTTATATAGATATGTACATTTACAAGTGCACATGTACATTTATTTATTATGTTATGTAAAATGTACATTTATATGTACATTTACATACCATTAATTTTACGTGTACATTTTCATGTACATTTACACGTAGTACGTTGATTTCACACGTACATTCAAATGAACATTTCCATTTACATTGACATTTACATTTGGATTTACCAAATTAGCTAGCTGGAGTCTGATAGGGATCGGATTTGAAAACATTTATTTCGCACTACGGTTATCACACTATACACCGATGCTCACCGCATGCTACAGATCTAACACCTATCTTGAGACTTCCCCTGCTGCTTCCCTTAACGAAAGCTACCGCCAGACACTGAGCTGGTCTCGTGCAATTTAATCGTCACAAAACTTACATCAAAATTCTCAAGTCCGCATTTATACAATTTGTACACACTACACACTGTGAGTGTGAACAGACTTCCAACATATTCTTCCGAACATGATCTACAAACTCAGAGCCGCTAACGCAAGAAACCGTTAAAACTTTTAAGTAGGAACAGCTATACGGTGCGTACACAACGACGAATGAGCAAACTACAAAACTCAAGCGTGTTACGCATACTCCGTAGAAAATTTACTATTGTAACGAATCCATAAGATTTGAATTTGATTTTCATACAGGAACTGCTAATGTGTTTTTTGTTCTCCCGCTGGTTTTTCACACTTTTTAGAGGATCGAGGCATTTTTTTAAAGCATTATAATCAAGCATCAGTTTTTCCTGAGATACTTGATAATCTTATCAATCTGGTTGTTGTTTAAATTGGGAAGGTGGATCTTATTATATAGATTCACGTTTCCAAATGAACTATTCTATTACGTATAATAGCTCTTTTGGGTCTTTTGTTGTGATGGTCTATTACAAATCCCACCGTATTTCAAGTTTGGTTTCCCCATAAATGTTGTGCCATTATTTTTTAAATTGAAAATTCATGACGGCATTTTTTATAACGTTGCGCCTTAGGTTTCACATGAACCATGATCTGTCGAAGGGGACCGGGACACGACTGTTTTTTATTGGGAAACCATTTTTCCGTAGAATACAGTACGGTTACGAACACCTTTACAACTTCTATGTAACCGTTTCAAATGCAAAAAGTATGATCAAGAGCATTAACAGGCGGGATCCCTGTACAGAAGTGTATAAGCAACATTTTATTCGACTCAGAACACCACACTTCGCGCTGAAGTGCTTACCATTGCAACAAACAAAACACGATCGAAACGATGGTCGCATTGGTGATGCCATGAAAACCTTTTTCTCCAAAAACGGCTTTAGTCTTCGAAGCATCCATCCAGTGCCACAAAGGTGACAGGGGTTAATGCCCCAATATCCAGTTTGCGAAGGTCCATAGTATCCCATCGCTGCGTAAGGTGATCAGGGCTCAGAGTATTGAATCTGATAAAGAAAAGGTTGCCGGTTGTAGTCAAATCAACCGGAAAAAACATATTGCTTACTAAATGTACAACTGAAAGTCCAATTAAATATTGGACTTAACACAGGACAATGTTAAAACTTCTTGAGCAGACACTACGTACATTCGAAGGAAAACGCGAATGCTACTCCACTCTTCCGGATAAGCCAACGTTTTCACCCAGCGCGCATGCATCGTTGTAACCTTTTCAAACACCCGCTGATTAACGGCCGGACAGTGGTCGTTGGCCGCGACTAAAAGACTTCGGGCCTGCTCAGCAGGAGTTTCAACAGAGCGGAAGCGAAGATACGGAATGTTTACGGGGCATCGCACAATGTCCTTCAAATCTCTGCGTATCAGCGCGCTCTCGGACACAGGAAACGGATGCACCATCCCGCTGCAACATACGCATCGCGGCTTGGGTGATCAAGTGTTCCGCCGTGACGTTGATCAGTACAAACTCATCACACACCGCCATAATCTTCGACAGACCAGTACTGCACTCCCATATTCCGCTACGATGATTACGCTTGATGTCCAGGAAGCTCGGCTTGAAAACGGTGTCGCTATCGTTTTTCACAATAAGCATCGGCATCCGGATGCTCTTGCTGGCTAATACGGTCTCGGTAGTGGTCACTACTGTGAAGAGATCGAACTGGTCGCCAAAAACGTGTTTCTTTGATTGCATCAGCGCCAGCGTCTGTGTACGCAGGACACATATGCTGTCCAGCATGGCTACCAGTTTATACGCGACAAATTCAGCATATGCATGCAAAATGCAATCTTCGCCGAGATCGCCAAATTTACCGGAGTGTTCTGATAAAACAGGTGGTATCTTATTATCCCCCGTTGTGCCGAGATCGAAAAGAACGTACTGATGATTCACGTACTGGTGATAGATTAATCTCCACAGCGCACATACCCTGTTAACGCAAGTGTAAGTTTCAAATACGAGTACTTACTCTATACAAAGCAACTGAAATACTTCGCTTACTGCCTTATATGGGCTCCCCTTATATTACTCTCCCTTATCTGGGCTCCCGGGCAATATGAGCAACCCTATATATCGGCGGTTACGTTACTACTCACAGTTTTGCAGCTGTTGTCACTGTTATGACTGAAAGAAAATTTAGATTTATTTAAAATACTTATTTTGCCAGTACTTTTGTAGCATTGAGTGTATGTTAATTTAATTAAGATATATATAGATAACAAGATATAATTAAAATATATATAGATATTATAATTATATAAATATAATTCGGATGTGAAATTTCGGAATTCTTTGGTGTGCTCACTTGTAAATCCGGTTGAAAGAAGTACAAAAGGGTTCTGCTATAAATCCGATAAATAATTTGACGGGTATTGCTCACTAGCCGGGAGCCCAGATAAGGGAGAGTAGTGTGAGGGGAGCCCATATAAGGCAGTAAGCGAAGTATATACAGAATCTGTACATCCTGCATACGACAATAAAGTCATCGCAAGATAACTGTGCATCTTAAGGAGGCTCCTATAAAATGATGCTCATGAAAATTTGCTTTTAAAATTTAGTTTAGCCCTGAGAAAATCTGCCGCGCAATCAGGTCGATATACTCGTACAATTTGGAAGATGTTGATTTGTTAACTGCACTTAGCTCTTGATATTGTTATCGCCCTACAAAAAATTAAAGTAAAGTACGTGAAAAGCCTAAAGTATAAGTAAGCTCAAACCAAACTTCACAAAAGTCATGGCAAAATTAGCAGGTTTTGTGTTACCATACAAATTGTTAATTGTGACAAAATGGATATTAGAAAGGATATTATGAACTTAGACTTGCAAATAAAGCTGCAGTGGCTTGCCTGCTCATCCGAAACTGGGAAGTTACATCCAGAGTGAGAAGTATAGAAGCCATGATCGGATGCGGAAGTTCGGTGATGGGCATTTCTTGCGTATCTACAACGATTAGCGGTACCATTTAGCGGAAAAAAATTAGGAACCGAAGTGAAGTAAATTATCACTTCGACAGTCACTCCCGGCCGCGCTGACCATGTGGAAGCGCGTACAGGGGAACTGTGTCCATATCCGTTGGCTCTACATACTGCTAGCATCTCTTCGAGATATTGATCGCATGCTTTTTTCAGTGATTCTTCGTCCCACAACATGCTGCAACCGTCTTCATCACTCAGCATTTCAGCACAGACAAAACTGACCGCATCAGCTCCCAATCGCACGAACATTCGACATCCCACTCCGATGGAATATTCCTGATGGTGGGAATTACAAACGAATTGAACCTCGTCCACGTAAACCTGTGGACTAAAGTAACAGTTCGCGTCACAAATATTATTCCCGCTTCCCAACACAAGTCGGCATGTGCGAGCCAGGAACATTTGAAGGAAATCTATGTCGAGCAGCAGCGAAGCTTCGGGAAAGGCAGTGATATGTTTCTTATACAGAAACCCGGTAGATCGATCAAAAAAACTTCCCCCGTCATCCGGCAACGGCAGGTCCTTGGCGCAGAGATTCCAGTGTACGATATGCTGTCGTGGTAGCCCGGGAGGAAGGTCTCCACTCAGACATACAGCGTAGAATGGCTCTGTCTCACTGTCTTTAATGGTTCCCGGCCAGAAAATCATCGGATCAGCAGGGGTACGTCGCAGCGCAATTTGAACCGCGAAGCCTTGGTCCGATGGTTCACGGGCGATGAAATGGTGCCAAAGACGGCTTGAGTGAATCCAATGGGCGCTGATGCTACGGGCATCGAAATCCACGAAGAAGTTCGGGCCATCGATATCCTGAACGTATCCTAACCACCAGTGGCCGTTGTCACGTCGTACCAGCACCGTGTTGCCGTAATTCAGCTCACGTGAACCCGTGAACAGCTTACGAAAGTACAAGGGTGTCGCATTCATAGTTTTAAAGTGTCGAACTATCTTTCCCACGTTTCCTTTTAAAGTTGTATGAGAAAACGAAAAAACTAGACGGATGAAAAGGGATTTATTGCTCTCGTGACACAGAAGAAAGGATTAGAAGTATAGATGTTAGACATTCGATTGCAGGGAAATTGAAATACGGTCGACCTGGGCAAAATCGGGATAAACACCAGCATAGGCTGTGTCGAGATGCACATATGACAGCGGATGCGGTTAAAAAACTTAACAAGTCTTCGAGACCCCAGCATACACGGAGGACGGCACATGAGAGCGCATACATATATCGCACACTGCTAAAATCGATGCGTTCATAACGTCTTCATACTGATCTCACATGTATGATCAGGTCGTCTACCATCGACGAAATTCAAGAATATTTCAGCGGCAGCAGTAGGGCAATGCGATATATGTACAATATGTAAGTAAAGTACTGTACAAGTGTACATACAAAAAGATCGATATCCTGTCTTTACTGAATCGGTGTTAGGATCCGGCTTATGGTTAGCATTCTCAATCCCGACACCGGCTTATGAGGCTGCCTTAACAGCCTAAAACATCGGTTTAGCAATCTCGATATGTACTGTAGCCAGTAGCGCTCAGCCTAGATGGTGCACTACCATGTTATTGCAATAAAATGACGCAGTTGATATTCCTTTTATTTTCTTAAAATACTTAACAGAACAGAATTTAAAAAAAAGTATCTTTAAACATCAGGGTTTGCAATGAAGTCTCAAGGCTCACTTAAAGGCTTTGGCCCGGTACATAGCACCAAAATCATGTACATTGACGGAAACTTTCGCTGTCGCGCACCCAAACACTTTTTTGCATTGCGTTTGTACATTTGTACAATTGTATATTTACATTTAATTGACGACAAATAGTTTGCATGACATTTGTAATATTTATCAGGTTCTATGGCACGGTTCGTACACATTACATTTTCCAGCGAATGTTTCCGACTTGTAGTATCCACTGCATTCCGCGGTACCCCGCAGAAACCTATATGCACCACTCTTATCTCTTCCATATTTTCCGTCCTAATTTTTGATTCAGTGGCGTGTTCCACCGTAACTAAGCAGGATCCTTCATGTATCATCTTTCCACTAGCCATAAGAAACCTAATGAAATTATCCGGATATTTGAAAGTAACACGACGAATACACAAATGATACTAGTACTAAAGGATAGGCTGGGATACTGCATTTAATTGCAAAGTCAAAAGCTGCACGAGTATTCAGCAGGACACATGAAGTTTAACATGAAGGATACTATAAGAATACGGTGGGAAATTGAGGCTTTCGAAGGTGGTGCGCATGCAAACTTCACATAGTATCCCACACGTACATGTACCGTGTTACGGACACTGTATTTTTACTATTGTCGTTCTATTTCATTACCTCTTTAAAATATGCCCTTCATGTATCATCCATGCATTCTGCTAATTTTTGGCTTCTTAGTTTTCTTGGTCTTTTTAGGTTTTCCAAAGCTTATTCCACAGACCACTGTATCCTTCTTGTACCCCCATGTATCCTGCTAGCTTTTGGATTTTCTAAGTTTTTCTTAGTGGAACACCTGCATGTGAGACATGTAAATTATACGGTAGTATCAGTACGGTGGGGCACGGCTGTAAGCAAAAAAAGCTTAAAGTTGAAAGGATAAGTGCAGGCGATCTTTTAGAAAATTTGGAGGCGCGGCTACCTATTCTACAGGCCGCCCAGAAATTTCATTATGTCAAAATCTGCGGTCTGAATCTGAATAGTGTCGGGATGACTGGCGACCAGCTGCTGCGGCTCCCGTCTCGAGTGCGCACCGGTCACCGGGAACTGCGGGAACCTACTATGAGTCTACGACGACGGCGCACAGTAAAGAAAAGAAAACTGGAATATTGCGCGCGGTAAAGCACGGCCGAAAATCGGATTAAATTTCACAAAGACCAGGCGTATGACGATGATCACCGTCAATCGAATGGCATGTCAGATTGCAAACCACCTCAATATTAGTGCAATCAGTTTTGTGGATAACGTAAACCTAACTTTTTTGGTGCAACCTATTAGAACCCCCTTAATTACAATTAAAAATTAAATAAGTGTTTCTATTTCAGTTATTTCAGTTTAATTAAGTATCATCTATAATGTAGTTAATTTTTACACTCATCTTAATCCGTCAAAATTACGAATCAAACTCGAATTCTACCAAGGACAGTATATAACGGATACCCGTTATATAAGCTGTCCTTGATTTTACACTAACGGCGCCAGCTGTTCGACAAGGTCAGAAAATAACAAATTCATCAAATGGTGCACTGCTCCTAACCTTCTAACATGACTGTTCTCCACTACGAGGAGAGGCGCAGCGTTTCTTTAGCGCCTTCTTTGAGGCTCTAGATCAGTCTTCCGGTGACGCAGGCCTTATTTTTGAATGTAAAAAACCGTCTGTATTATTTTTTTATTTTTCTGAAAGCGGTACTCCAACAAATTCATCAGCTTTTCTCTGTGTGACTCTTCTGTTACACCGTTGAAGCGCGATGCGAGTTTTCCCAATTTTCCCCGAAAGTTCACCGTGATTTTTTCACCGGCATAAAACTTCACCCTTAACAAACCTGTTATAAGGAGAGGGAGCAAGCCTGAGATAGCAGCGAGGCAGGAAACTCCCCTATTCTTAATTAGTAGGTTGCGGCTCTGGCAAAGCCCGTAGACTAATACAAACCAAGAAGCAGGCATACTGTATAACGCGGTCACGTAGCCACGCCAGACCAGCGTCCTTTGATACTTTTTGAAATTTATTCGATAAGCAATTCCTCGTGCAAGGCAGATGGACGCGCTTGCTGTACGAGCTGTACAAAATAATGTGGCAAAACGGATGCAACCTTTTAAAAAAATCATTCTCAAACAAGGAACTGAATATAGGAGATTCGGGAAACGTTCTATTCTTTCCATTCACTCCGGGACATTGTCTTTTTGAAATGAGGTCATGCGCGTACAGATCGTAATGAATGGAATTTCGGCACAGAGATTTCTAAAAATTTGAATGCACAAAATGATGAGTCGGTCCAAAGCCTATAGAATACACAAAGCCTGGAAGCAGGCATATAACACGGTCACGTCCTCAAGCCAACTCCACTGATCTGAAGGGAGCTCAGACCAGCCTCCTTTGATAGTTGGTGAAAATTAATTCGTAAGTTATTCCTCGGGCAAGATAGAGGGATGTGCTTGCTGTACCAGTGTAAAAACAAATGTGGCGAAACGGATGTAGCTTTTGAAAAAAAATTGTAACTAAACCAGGAAAGTAATACAGGATGCTTTGGCAAACGCCCTGTTCATTCCATTCATCGTGCGATATTGTCTTTTTAAATTCGGGTCATGTGCGTTCACATTTTGATGAATGGATATTTGCTATGAAAATTCTTTAAAATTCATGGTTTGAAAAAGCATACTTGATTAGTGCATAGAAAAATGGATAACGTTAACTTTCAGGTGGCCACCGTGCAACAGACCTGCGCATTTTGGACGGCTGAATACGATTTCTTAAACGACTTTTTCAGCCATTTTTCCGTAGACTCGTATGCTAACTCAGCTGAGCTCCCGCTTTGCTGATAAGATCAGCTTCAAGGCTTAGTATATTCTACTGGCTTTGGTCGGTCAAGGACCGGATAGTCGACCACATTATGCTCTAGGTGGTCACCGTGGAAATTGTTATGAATTTTCTAACGACTTTTTCAGTCATAAAGCCCTGCTCAGTCAAGTTGGGGCAGTTTTTTCAAAAAATTAGCAGAGGTCAGCCGTCACAAAATACTTCCTTATTTAATTTTTTCTTAGTTGCCGTGTGTGTCCGACATCTTTTTCACTTGGAGATTCTACGCTGAGACCGCTTCCGGAATAACCGTGAGGTCAAAATTAGGGTAGACCAGAGGAAAAAAGCGGCTTGACCCACTCAGCGTGGTAGCAGTAGTCCTGTTTGAAATTTGCTTAAAAATTCTGATGACGTCATTGTTCAAAAAAGTTACCTCTGAGGTGTTGGTCATTCAATGCTCTTGCGAAAGATACCATACATCAGCCGATTTCGGCCAAGCCTGGGTGACCTTTGCAGAGTGACTGCAAGCACCTTTTAATCGGGGAATGACCTCCCTTGCACGCTTCCAGTGCAGCCCCTGGATGCGACAAGTAATGATTTTCGGCGAAATCGTATTTGTGAGGCCCTGAGCATCAATAAAAAGTTTTCCACTTGTGCAATATGGCTGAAACACTCTATTTCGAGACACTGTAAGAGCAACCATACGTATTTTTTGCAACTGCTTTGCCGATTTTTTATTCTGTTCATCCGGCAACTGCACTTCTCCGTCTGGACACTTTAGGTCTGTTCAAATCTCAAAATCGTTTCAAGTGATCCATGTTTTATTCATGGAAAATATCAACTTGAAGTTACTTAGGTCTGTGCGCTAGGCAACCGCATTCTTCGGCAGGTAGGTCTTAACATACAATCCTATGGGAAGTGCACATTGTTTCACGGTCAGCCCGAGCGCTGATCGCGCTAGATTTTTTTGCGAACCCATAACGGACAGGCTTCGGTTCGCTTAGGAGTTTCCAGAAAAGCTCACGTAAAAATATCTGTTGGTGTATTCTTCAGAGTGGCCGTTATAAGAATCCTAAAACTGACCACCACACCACCCCTTAATCAGTGCTCGGCTCCCTACTGGCACACCAAGGGGTAACGGTTTTAAAACTCCTAGGTTCGCAGTAAAAAGTTACACTAGATAACTGCAAATTCAAAAACGAAACAGTGTATACAATTATTTTATAATTATTGGCTAAGGCTATTTTGCCGCAGTTTTCTACAGTGTGTCAAAATAGCCTTTTGCTATTTTGCCGCACACTGCGTTAAAATAGCCTTTAGCTATTTTGCCGCAGTATGGTAGGCAAAATAGCCACTTGCTATTTTGCCGCACACTGCGTTCAAACAGCCGTTTGCTATTTTGCCGCAGTATGGTCGTAGCTAATTCGCCACAGTAATGCGCAAAGGGCACGGCCATCTAGAGCTACATTTTCTGCTAGATTTGAGCTATTGCCGTAAGCCGACTTTGACTTTTCTCGCTGGAATTCGTAAAATCGCATTCTTGGGAAGGTTCTTTTACAACTGGGACAAAAGATTGTGCATGGATCTAGTCGCGAGCGTACGGCTTGCACTGAGTGTATGTACGCCATGAAGTCCATTCAACGAAAGGTCTGTGGCCTCCGCCAAGGCGTTCATGTCCTTCTTCCGACCGCCGAATCTTGTCAAGTACTTGGC